ATGCCGCCTTCCTCAATTTCTTTGGCGCCTCTGGGATGTCGTCGGCATCGTCGTCGTCATCTTCAGATCCACCAGTCAACTGAGCAGCATCATCGAAGTCGGAGTCGTTGAGATCGCGGGTGGCAGCCCTCTCGTTGATACGCCCGTCAATCTTGTGTGCTTGTTTGACGTCCGGGGGACAATAGGCATCACCAGTGGGCTTTGTGGTCTTAACAAGCTAAGATGTGTTGTAAGTAACGATGTTTCTTACATATAACCAAAAACGGCTGACCTGTTTGAACTTGGTCTCCAGAGACTTTAACGTGCGTTCAGCAGCATCGTTACGACGAGCCCAGTGAGTGAAACCACGGTGGATGGACTGCCACCCGCATTGGCCAAGAGGGAGCTCCTCCTCGACAAAGTCAAGGAGGGCATCAACCTCGTCTGCAGTGTAGTTGCCAGCACCCTTGGGACGGCCACGCTTGGCTACTACCTCAACTTCTTCATCATCTGAGGCATGCCTGTGCTTGCGAGCGGTGGCCTTCTCCTTTCCCTTATCGCGAGACTCGGTTAGTACAGCGCGCTGTTTGCCCTTGCCCTTCTGACGTGATCCAGCGACCTTCTTCGCAGCGGCATGGCCCCGGGACTTCACAATTGTGACCGGGTCAGAGAGGTCATCGTCCGAGACCTCAGGAAGAGGTAAAAGCGCCAGATCGATCACTGCAGTAGAAGGGCTGGCTGTCGGGGCTCGAGTGGATGTAACAATCTAACACAGCATTAGAACAAAGGAGATATATGATCTAGGAGGCTACATACCACAAGAGCCTCAGAAAGCGGTTGGTTTGGACCATCCTCCATGTTATTATGGGGGCGAGTCTGACGAAAACAAGTCAGGACTGGTGTAGACAACAATAAGATATAACAAAACGTACCGAGGCAGTTTCGTTCTGGGACACAGCAGGAAATCCATGAGTTGCAGTAGGGACAGACTGAAAGAGAAGGAAAGAGGGATTGAGACATGTAGAGACACCATATAGGGTAGGGTACCTACCTGAGAAGTCACCATGGTTGGCGCGTATAACTGAACCCAATGACCAGAGACATCTTGGACATATGGCCACCCAAACCTGTCATATCGGATGTTAGGGTTGCCAGGAACAGGGGTAAGTTGGTTGGGGTCCATAGCGGTTGATGAAGAGGTAGAACAAGCTGAGTTTTGGTGACACGAAGCCTGGGAGGTAGCAGCAACGACTCACCACTTTTATACCTATCTCTCCATGCATTTCAGCCGTCTTCCGCTCCTCATTTCCCCTCCTAAGCCTTCGATAATGTTCCTCAAGCCATTTAAGACCGTCTCGAGACCGCTAGTGAGCGCAATTAAGCCCCTGGCAATGCAGGCTGCAGCCAATAAAGGACCTAATTGCAGACCCTGCTCATGATTGGATGTGATTAGCATGGTACGAGGAAGTAGTAGCATGTAATGACTCACTCTCACACATGAAGGGGGCTTTGGCAAGCTCGATGGGCAACGATGGATGACAACGATGGACGATGACGAAGGTTAAGATAAGAGCACGGCGTAAGCAAACAGGGAGTTGTTTGGTTGTGCATCACGGGACAAGCAGTTTATTCGACTGAAAAAAGTCTATTCGAGGGGGTAGGACCCTCTGAATAGATTAAGGTTTATTGAGGGGCCCAACCAGCCACGACGGATAATCTGCGTTGACATGTTGGCAGCGGCATCGCGGCATCACTGCCAAGGAGCACGAATATAATCTATTGCGGCGAATAAATGCTTACGGACAGTCATCCAATACAGTATCTGATATATTTACCTGGCTTATAGAAGTGATCTGCATAAAAAGCATGAAAATCGTCCACTGTCACATAAATACATCAAGTAAAAATAATATATATACCTAGGCATATACTCATACATTCTAAGAGCCAGCTGAAAAAGAGTTTACGAAATTAGAGCAAGATTGAGGTGAGATATGGCAAAGGAACTCCCAAAGAAGGGTAGATAGTAAGCTGCAAATTATAGTCACATGTAGTGACCGAGTTTCTGCCCTTCAAAATTCACTGTCTCATCCATATCTCACCTCAATCTTGCTCTAATTTCGTAAACTCTTTTTCAGCTGGCTCTTAGAATGTATGAGTATATGCCTAGGTATATATATTATTTTTACTTGATGTATTTATGTGACAGTGGACGATTTTCATGCTTTTTATGCAGATATCCTCCTTGCTTTAATACCATCTCACCCAAGCATCTATTCTCTAACTGTGACTACTAAAATATCAAGGTATACATATTGCACACCCATAGAGTCTACCTAGAGCATGCAATATGCACTATTCGTGACAGGAGGACATGGTAACTGATGAGGTATGTGCTCCTCCTCCCCCTCCTCATATCTTTGCCCACATGTGTGGCGCTCCATATTTAAATACATATATATACTCAAGCATAATACTATTAAGTATCTACCAAGTCAAATTGGCCATAAATGCATGTATGGTTCTTTAATAAAATATCTACTGTTGAGGGTCATGGGTCATACCCTCTCCCTTCAAACCACAAATGGCTCAAATAGAGGGCCCTAAAAATGCGCTATTGTAGTACCATTAAATTGAGCTACTAACCATAGTAATAGCTGCATTATTGGTGTGTGGAAGAGGGGTAGGAGGAGAGGTACATTAATCACCATGATACTGTATATCCTGCCACTCCCATAACCTGGATGGTGGCCTTCCCACTCATACATGTGTCTATATTAAATACTCCAGATGCTTCCTGGGCTGGGGAATATGCCTAGGCTGGGTATGGATGAGGGACTGTTATTCATATTATTTTTTTCGCATTTTATACAGCTTATGGGGGTTTACAACAGTATATATGTTACATAACTTCATTAATAACTACATACATTGATACTAGCCAAAAAAATGGAGGGAAATGGACCGGAAATGGTGTGAACAGCGAGCTTGCTGTCCACAACAGTAATGAGAAGGGCGGGAGCAACAACTTAGTCAGCGCGCCATGGGACCCTGCCAATCTTAGTCAGCGAGGCATTTCTTCCCCGCTGACTAAGACTGGTGGGTCCCCACGGCCCGACTGTTAGTCAGCATGCAAGCAGAGCAGCCGGCGTAGGCCCGGCATATGAAACCCACACATGGTGTGGCGCCATGGAGGCAGTTCGGGGTCTCAGAGATTCTTGAAGAAACTGGAAGAATAGGCCAGGCCATGTCAAGACAAATTCTCATTTGTTTTGGCCTCTGTCAACAGATCGGTGACAAACGGTGACATTCTGCGGGGTGTCATTCTTTGATTATTGTTAACATCCTGCCAAAAAAGGTAACTTTCTGTGCCGATCGTCAAAGAACGTCAACATTCTTTGACGATCATGACCGTTCCTTGGCTATCGTGACCATTCCCTGACTTTCTTCCGCGTTCTGCCACAATCGTCACTGAAATTCATTTACATTGTATTTTTGTCCAGCACGGACCACCATAATTTCGATTCAGCTAGGCTGCGACATGAAATTGAAATATTATGCAAAAGGCAGGCAAGTACGAAGTCGGGTATAGTGGGGTTTGATCATCTCCAAAAAGTCAGCAACACCGCGAAGGGCGAAGTAGTGGAAAAGAGGAAGGTAGAAGTCTGCTCTTGAATTCAGTCGACGAGAGAGCCTGGCGTCCTGGCGTCTCCAGTCCTTGTCCAACCTGTCAAGGGACTGAAACCAAGAATCCAGAACCGGCGACCACTGTTGCACGATAGGACTGTGTGACGTTTCTTCTGGATCTACGAGGCCGCAGATGTTCACGGAAGCAGCAGCCCTAGCCTCACTCCCCTTTGTGATCTTCATTCTCCACCAGAGCTCATCTTCAGACTGTTTGGTATGGACGTTGTTGAGGATCGCCCACAACGCCACCCAGTAGATGGAAAAAAGATCGTCGACAGGGGACTGGAGATACTTGGTACCGTCCTCCATGGACTGGGCGAACTGCGAGGACACGAATTCTGGGTTACCCTGTACCCAATTAGAGGAGACAATCGCCGCAAGGAATGGCTACCCACTAATATTTCTTGATTGTCACGCCCAGAGTCCAAACAGGTCTCCCAAGGAATAGCCATATCGCTGTCGATAATGAAGGCGCTGCAAGTGGTCGTCACGCCCAGCTCTTGCACGAGTTGCTCGACCCGCATGATCTTCTCCTCGATGTCGTTCAACTGATAGGAGCATTCATCGACTAAAATTCCTTTGAGGAGCAGCGTCAAATCTTCAACCGATTTCGTGGCGGTCTGATGGAAGTCTGCAGAGATCTCAAAGGCGCGCTGTTCAGCAGGACTCGGACAGAGAAACACGGTCCTGATGCTGATATCCCGATGTAAGTATCCAGCTTGGTAGAAAGAGAACCATCCTGCGAGAAATGCATCAGAGATCGCGATAGGAGAAGGACAAGTCCACCAACGTACCAAGCACGGTGTGGATGAGCGCTTCACAGAGCTCTGCAGAGCTTTTGGCATCGACGAGAGAGTATCGATATTGTGGAGGCAACAGGTACTGGATGGACGGAATGACTTTCGGAGGGAACCCAGCGGCGGCGACCTGAGAGGGAGGACTGAGAACGGGGATAATTTCTCCTGGGGATTGGTTCACCATGAAGATCGTCTCGTGTGGCCACCAGGAAGCAGATTCAGAGGTAGGGCCAAAGTTCAAGGTGTGATGGTGGTGGCGGTGGGTGGTCATCGATTCATCAGGTGGAGGACGTTCAGTACTCACTACTCAGTCCTGGGCCTGGGCAAATTTAAAACGAGAGGCTGGTCATCGAGACTAGTAAAACAAAAACTAGAGGCAAAGGCAATAGATTTGGTTGGTTGTTTGTTTGGATATAGAACTACATACTTGTGTTTATGAAAAATATAAAAGGCCATGCGACCGATTTGCTCGGGAAAACCCTATTATTCACAATTTCGAGCAAATACTCTCATCCCCATGCAATAGTCGATACACAAACTCCTTGGAAGGGGAGTCTTATATATTAATGCTCTCCTGTTGCAAGTCCGAGTCTGACAGGATGTACAACTGTCTTCACGATTCCGTATCTTGCGCCTTTCATGGCAGAAAGCAAGGCGAAGGAAAGGTCAATGGCGAACAGTAGGCAGGAAACTTGGAAGTTCCTGCGCCTCGGGAATTCCAAAGCAGGAGAAAGATGGTGGTTGGTAGTCTACGGGTGATTGGCAAAACGAGTGGAATGCGAGACTAAAAGTGCAACATAACGAAATAATGGATCAATTAAATATGTAATTCTTGAAGCCCAGAAGACAAACAGCTGAGTGAATCGTGTCGCGATCGTATGAGTGGGTTACAGGACTGTGTGAGCCCAATCCTATGTAGCGAAGATGCCGATGATCTTGAATGAAGGAACGCCTTGTCCTTCCTCGCCGCTTAGCTGACATTCGACGTAGTGCGAGCCTCGTGAGACATAGTGGTCGATAATCTCCAGTCTGCGAAACAGTTAGGTCAAGCAACACTGAAAGCCAAATTCACTTACGCAGGTGTCGGCTCCCCCACGTCCGCCGCGTTCTCGATCACCTTCGCCCCGCCGTAGTTGTCGTCCACCCAACACTCAACTGCACTTCCTTCTCCCACCTGTGATACTGGCTCCTTCACATAGTAAATCCCAATGTCGCCGGCGCCAACCTGGATCGGAATGCGAAGCTTGCTCGTCGGCAGCGTCGAATACCAATAGTGAGCAGCCGTCTTAAGTGCAGAACGGCCTGATCCTGATGGGTGGTATGCGAACCATCCTGAGCCGTAGAAAAGGGAAGGCGGCAGTGGGTTGATAAGATCGTTCGCGGAAACACAGAAGGGTGCAAGCTTCTTCGTAGGCACGGTTCGAGTTGGGCCGAGTGTTGATCCTGCCTGGAGGGACGCCCAGGAGTGCATGATGTGGGTCCTTCGGCGCCAGCGAGTCGACTTTCCTGTTGTTCTCGTCGTCCTCGTTCTTCTTCTTGGGTTCTGGAACACCCTTCCTCTGCCCGACACCACCAAACAGCCCTGGCGTGTCGCCAGACTCCCCTGGGGTATGGACAGGCACCGAGTCGAAAGCAGCGCCATGGGCAACGGACCAGGCTGTGCAGATTTGCGACTGCATGTATGCGATAAGAATTTCCGAGATGATGTCGTGACCTAGCGGGTTGGCGAGAATTGGGTCGGTGTAGTACTTGTTAATGAGCTTCGTGTCCTTCATGTAGTCGGGGAACAAGGCTGATTTAATGCTGATGTGTGGAACGTCGTAGAATTGGGCGACGATACTGTGCCAGTGGTCTGGTCCTGCAAAGCCATGAGCGTGGTGGACTTGTGGGCTGAAATGGCCGAGGATAACGACTGCTGGCTGATCGGGGCGAAGGAGGATAGAACGGATGAGAATTTCAAAGTTCTCCATCATCTCTTGACCACTGGGGGTAACGTAAGTAGGGAAGAATGACATTGCATACTAAGAAGACTTACGGTGGGTCTTCCGTGTCGAGTTCGACGATGACGAGGTCTGTGACATCTGGCAGATGGTGGGAGTGGCAAAAGCCAAAGTAACCCGAATTGGTGCGTCTCATAGCGCCATTTGTGAGTTCCGAAGCAGGATGGGGGAAGACAGAGTTCCACCATTGGAAGAACTTGGATGGGTAGCATTTGGGCGATATAGGATCGTCCCCGGCACCGTGGCAAGCAGATACTAGAAATTGTCAACAATAAGTAGGCTAGCTGAAGCCGTTCTACTTACTCGAGCCTCCAAGAACGCTGATGGTCACTGGTTGGCCAGCTAGCGCCCTGTTGAGAACTCGCTGAACGCGGCCGCCACTCCCAAGGTGAAGTCTGCTCTTCGAAAGCGCCAGCGCGCCGTACTTGGCTCCCAGCTCATCCCCGGGTCCATACACAGGGCAGAACGCGAATGGGTTTGGCCCTGCTTCGGTTGTATTGAAGTAATTCTTCGCTTTGAGGTCGGCATTGGAGTAGTTTTGCACCACCGTCGTGCTTCCAATCGTCGGCCAGATGAAATGCGTGAAGGAGAGGATGCAAATGAGGATGATGAGGAGAACCCATATCCGATTCGTGACGCCGAGACTTCGCTGGCCGAATCTCGAGGACTTTTCCAAGTCTGAGCCCATTGTGAGGTGCTGCACTGGAGGTGAAATGTGAGCTTGTCCTCTTCCACGTCGTTGCATACGACGCCGAGAAGCCTTGAAGCCTTGAATGGAGAAAAGATGAATGGAACCTAAAGGTAGAACGGAAAGAAAGCTCAGAATGGCAGAATTGAGATGAACGCCCCTGATCAGCGGAAATTCAATTGAACTTGCCAGCGACCACCACGTCTTCATCGTCGCCGCTGCCGTCGACGACCTCGTATCGTCCCAATGGCACCAATTAAAGGCGGCATATCCCACCAGGTACGGCGGGTACCAGCTCCAGTTGCCTTGGCCGTCGGCATTCTCTTCGGTTTCCTCTTCGCTCGGCTTCTACCATGGACAACGGTAAGCATTCGTTCTTCACGAAAGCGACAAGGAAATCCGGGCGGTGTGCTATTTCATGTGCCAAATATGCAAACCGAGGAGGAGACACTGATATTTCATTGCAGACAACAACACCGATATGGCGGAGTGGACATATCCCTTCAAAAGCGCGCCAACAGACTCGAAATCCTATTCAACTACCAACTCTAGACCAACGGGCCCGCATATTGGACCTACTTACAACCTTGTCACCCCATTATACCAAGGAATGCACGCGTAATTCACAACCGCTCTACGCCCAGCAAGCACTTGAGCGATACCGACCTCTCATCGGACACAACCCACCAACGAGCGGCTCGTGGCTTTCGGGTCTCCTTGGAGCAGATGACGACCATATGGGCACTGTTCGGCGGGATCTCTCAGGCAGCGAGCATAAATACTTCTTCGCAATTAATCTCTACAACTCTTTCGACGTCATTCCCGACCTATTCGCGACCCTCTTCCGCGTAGCCGCCGTGCTAGGATACCACAACGTCTTCGTGTCCATCTACGAGAACGGCTCGACCGACCAGACTAAAGCCTTGCTCCGGATCTTCGATGCACTCACCCGCAGTGTCGGCATGCGCGTTATGATTCGAACATCTATGCGCACCCGCGGCGCCTTCAACCACCGCATCGAGTACCTCGCCGAGGTCCGCAACTCCGCCTTCGTACCTCTGCACGAGCTGCGCGACTCGGAGGGAGAATATTTCGACACCATCGTGTTCATGAACGACATCCTGCCATGCGTCGACGACCTGCTCGAGCTGATCTGGCAGAGTAGGCGGAACAACGCAGGCATCACCTGCGCGGCGGACTACATGTACCACGACGAGATCGGCTCGCCTGTGTTCTACGACAACTGGGTCGCACGCGACATCAACGGCACAGCGCTCGAGAACGCGCCCTTCGAGCGGATTTTCCACCACCTCGAGTCGTCACAGCGTTGGCAGCGGCATCTGCCCATCCAAGTACAGTCATGCTGGAATGGTATTGCCGTTCTCGACCCGGCACCCTTCTATACGCCTCCACATGTCCGTTTCAGGATGGCGAGGATCACAGAGGGAGAGTGCAGTGCCAGCGAATGCAGTCTTATCTGCAACGACTACTGGGAGTCGGGCTATGGGCGGATAATGATGGTACCGCGCGTCAAGTTGGCTTATGACAGCGTAAATATTTTTTTCCTTCGCAATGGGACTCGTTCTCATCTTTTATACAGAAGGTGTACGATATTGTACATCCCACTCGACGGAACCTCACTGCCATTCGAGGATACGTCCGTCTAGGAGGGCTGCCCGACGACCCTCGCACAGATCCTCAAGATCGTACTTGGTTTGGCCCCCATGACCGTCTATTCACGGAAGAAGAAAGCGAAGAGATTGGATTCGTACCAGGACCGTCACATGGTGAGCTCCTTTGCCTGTGTTGTAGATCGCGGAGAAACTGATTGCCCTTCAGTTTGGTGCTGGGGTTGGGATGGTGCTGGAGACCTAGAAGGACCAGATGTGGACCCCATCTGGGAGAAAATGCCCAACAAGTCAACGAGGGCAGATGCTGTTCTCGTCCGGCACGATCGTAGTATAACTTTGTAATGTGTATATCATTCTGCTGCTCACCGGCTCGTGCTGCCTAGACGATTATTGGTATTGGTCGAGTAATTTATGCGCAGACGGGTAATTGCGGTGGTTCTGAATGGATGGGACAGCCAAGTTAATTTGATATAGAAGGTGCTACAAGATAGAGTGAGGAGTAAGTAAATACCGGTGCAAAGGTCCATGATAAAGTATAAATAGAGCTAAGAGGAAAACGTCATCTAGGAGTCAAAATGCCGTCCTCGTTTAGGGTCCGCACGCCTCTTCTCTAGCGCTGTGCGCAATTTTCTTCCTGGTCGGACGACAATAACCGGGACTGGAGAATGCGAAAGGCAATATCTAGTAGATAATCAGCATAACATCCCGTGTTCCAGTAAGCGTTAAAACGCACTTGCTAATACTCCCGATACTTGCGCCTGTACCGACGCCGAGCCCTTGCACCAGCCCCGCCCCAAGTCCCTGAACAAGTCCAACACCAAATCGGCGGCCCCGAGTGCCAACAACGAGAGAATCTGGTCGGTACAATGCAATTAGGCGGTCGATTGAGTCCGTGATCTTGCCAGGGATGTATTCGAGTATCAAAGACAGTTTCCTGTCGGGATCGGCCTCTACACTCTTTTCCTGGATCTGCTTCATGAGGTCTCGCGCCTCATCGCGGACGATATCATGATCCTTTTCTGTTTAAAATAGTTGGGGGGTCAAATAGGCACGCAACGAGACTTGAAGGAGCAGATGACATACCGAGAACATCTTCATCGACACCGCGAAAGATGATTAGCTCGTCTCCATCCTGTACCAAGGCCTCAAGACACCACTCGAGAGCCTCACTACCGCTCTCGTCCGGACTAGATGCGCACAGAAAAACACGAGTATTCCGCGTCCGCCGATACCCCTCGGTCTTCACTTGCAGCGTGAAGCTGAACATGCTCGCTGCGGGGTTTTCGAAAGTATCAAAGGAAACTTTTGGAGTATAAGTCGGCAGGGACACTGCATGATGCGGTAGAGGGGGATGGTTAGCGATTTGCGTCTGGTGGGTCTTATGTATTGAAGAGCTGGACTGCGACCGACTCATGCCCCCGGGTGTTGGTGCGGGCGAGTCTGACGGCAGGTGCACTCGCGATATGACTGGCGAGGCGATTGGGCTTGTCGTTGGTGAACTGGGTCGCGAGGGTTGCTTCAGGGCACTCCGAAGAGGTGGCGTCAGTGTCGCAGACATGATATCTGACGGTAGGGTGTGTGTTTTCAAGGCTTTTGGCGGTGCGGGACTCGGAAGACGATTGGGAGAACGAGGAGTTTAGGGGAAGGTCATCGCGCAGATCAGGTCGGACCATGGAGACAAAATGAATCGGAGATTAAAATTGCGCCCTCACCGACCAAGACACCAGCACCCTCCTTTCCCTGCAATCCATCACGCGTCTCTGGCCCTTCAGCAATGCCGCCGAAGCAATCCGTCAAAACTCTAAGCGAAGAGCCAACAGAGGAGTCCCAGCAAGAAATAGCAACGGATCCTTCCACGTCTCCTAAGCCAGACCAAAACAAGGAGAAACCCAGCGCGTCTTCGTCGAAGTTACCCGAAGCTTCGGACGAGAAGGATAAGGAGGACGAGGGGGAGAAGCAGGAAGATACTTCTGACTCGACATCTGCACCAGCAGCCGATCCGTCACAATGGCAAGCAGTCTGGGCGCCACAGTACAACGCCTACTACTTCTACAACTCCGTCACTCAAGAGACGACTTGGGCGAACCCATTACAGCCACAGCCTTCAACCTCCCAGACAACACCTGCTCCTGCTGCCTCAACGTTCGAATCTGCGGCAGAAATCAACGCAGAGGCCAGTACCAGTACAGGACCAGCGTTGACTACTGCCCAGGCCCGTTATGCAGCACTCCAGGCAGCAGCGGCCCAGCAGGGTATCGACCCCTTACTGGCCCATCTTGATCCGACACTCTTGACACCTGCTGGTCCGGGAAGTTCTGGCGTCCCAGGAGGTATGTTCCTTTTCTGAGGTCGTTCCCAGTGCCTGATCGTTTTCCTTTCTAGATCTGCCGACCTTCACGGCGAGGTTCAATGCCAGGACCGGGAAGTTCGCCCCAGATTCCTCACGCACGCCCGGACATCTCTCAGAGTACGAACGGGCGAAACGTATGAGTGAATTCTACTTCGACGTGAATAAATGGGAAGAGCAACTGGCTGAACGCGGCGGAAGTAATATGGCAGAAGAGGGAGATGAAGGAGGATCTGGCAAGAAGAGGAAGAGGCCTACGAAGAAAGATCTGGTACGCACCTTGAACGAGGCATTTTACTTTGGCACAACTGACGGCTGGCTTCAGGAACGGTTCAAGGAACAGAAGAAGCAGAAGAAGATCGCAAAGACGGCATGGTTACGTACTTGACCAATATTTGCCTACGAAACTTGCTCCTCGTCTGTACGACCACTTCAATATGTTAGTTTGGTTGTGACAGGGTTGTGAGGTGCCCTAATGAACCCTTGTATGTCGCTTACTTTCTGGCGTGCACGCCACCATCCAGCCTTCGCTTGTCTCTGAGGGAAAAAAGGGAAGATGGAGAGTTAAGCAGATTTGACCGAACTGATCGAAGATAAGGGTCTCAAGTGTCCATTGGTTGTAACCTCCGAGTCCACTCGGAGACCTTGCTGTACCTCACCTACGCGCTTTTACAGGCTTTTACACGCTTCACTTCCGATTCAGCGCGGCTTCCATCAGTCGGACTGATTGCCTTTCACTCGCGTAAAGTGTGGCGATCTGGCAAGCCAACTGACACAACTGACACTGGTGGAATGGTCCTGCAGCCAGAATCCACGTCTGACGCAGCCCTCTAACCGCCCTCGTCCCTTCGTAAGTCGCTTTCTTTATCCATTCCGCGAGGATGATAACATCCCGGCTTGCTTTCCTAGCCCGAATCTTGCTGGAAGACCCGTTGAAACTACATGTTCATTGCAGCAGAGCCTTCGGCTTTTTACAACTCCGAACTCCACGTTCGCAAGGGACCGTATGGATCTACTAACATGCGTTCTCTCCTGATTGTCAACGGCGATAAATTTATCCCGCTTGTATCGTCTTCGCTGGAGCAGCATCATGTTCATGTGTTGGAATCCTCGGGTGCGACGGGCGTGCAAAAAAAAAAAGTCACCCGTTCAACTATACAGAACCGCGAACTCCAAGAATTGAAGCTATGGGACTCAAGTACTTACGTTCAACGGTTCAGACTTTCTGACAAGAACTTTGACAGAGGGTAATTAATTCTCTTTCGGATTCCGGCCTCCACCAGGGCTCTCTGCGAATCCTCGGAGTCGCACCTGCCACCACTGCCACAATATCAAGATATGACCACAAAAATTTCCTGCCAATTAGGTGGGGGTTTATACTTGCAATAATCGCACGACACGGCGCCACGGTTTTCTTTGTAATGTCGTCCGGATTCTCATTAGGTGCCGTCTTCTGAACCTCTCGGTGTTTGCTGTCCCTTTCTTCCTTGTACTTAAGAACAAGACGGATTTTCCCTCAGGTTGGTGCACGAAGAAAAACGGTGCCCGTGATTCTAAGGACAGAGCACCGAAGGGGATCAAACAAGATATTTAAGCCAAGGAGGTCGATCCGCAAATCATTTGCAAATCATCTTGATGGATCATCTGGACAGCCCCGAAAGAGTATCCAGATGCCAAAAATAGGCTATAGCATGCCGGCTATGCAGGATCATGGGTTTGGGACTTGGACGTCTGGACAGATAAGCGATTTCCCTGGACAATGGACCAGGACATCGCCTTTCCCAAGCCTTTCCTCATGAAACGCCGGTGTGTCTGGCAGGGGTCGCCTTCTGTTCGCACGACCTGTTCACCCAGTGAGGTATAAAAGGGCGGAAGGAATCGTCTGTGTTTCCCCCAGCTCAGGTAGCACAGTCCGCTGGTCGGTCTAATCCAACAACCTCACACCACTTTGCCTCTTTCGTCGAACGACTACCCTTCTATCTTCTTCTTCTTCGTCAAGATGTTCACCAAGACTCAGTTCATCGCCGCTACCGTCGTCCTTGCCTCGACACTTTCCGCTAATGCCGCCCCCGCCTTGGGCCAGGAGCACTCTCTGGAGGCAAGTAGATAATTTATCTGTTCAATTTAACATCTAATATTTTTATTCAGCGGAGGACTCACGGTAACGGTGGTTGGATTACGCCCGCTCCAGGCAAAGGCCGCGCTGGCAAGATTCGTCAAGCGCACGAAATTGCCGCTGTGGAAAACCACAAGGCGTCGGAGCCCCACCACCATGCCGTTGCACACGGTAACAAGGCGCACGTCCACGACACTTTCCATTCCACGCACGGGGGCCCCGATCACGCAACTGTCAAGTACTCAAACGCTCATGGGCACCATGTTTCCACCCTGCACATTGCCAAGGACGGTACTCGTCTGCAGGGTGATGCGCACCCACCTTCCCACCACAGCGGCACCCATGCTCCTCCCAACTCCCCGAGGGAGCTTAACGAATACATTGAGCTCCTTCAGCGCGCTCTCGATTTTTATGACGACCTTGACTAAGAGAGGATATCTACTAGTAGATTCACTTACCCGTAGTACTAACGCACCCTTCAACGACGAAACATTTCGCGAATCCTTGTTTGGTGTGACTGGACTACATACAGTACATGTTCTCATATTGCATAACGTCGGTTCTGGGGTAAAAGTGATGCATTATTAGATTTGTGCAGAACGACAATGTGTGACTAATGTGACTACTGTGACTTTGGCTGTGCGCGTGACATCAGTTCGGCTTGAACCAGTTGGTCAGTGTTGTCTGCTTCGCTCCCATTGCCTCCCGCCTCCTAAGATGTATTCTGAAGCGTCTAAGCCCATGGAGAAAGTCAAGAGAGGTCTCCGGATCGTTCTCACTGATGCATGCGCGCTCAAGCTGGGTGCAAAGGTCCATGATCTCGCGGGTTGACAGTCGAGGGTGATCGTCATCCTCTTCATCTTCGGAATCCAGCTCAATGACCTCTCCTCTAGCCACAGCTTGTTCATGACGAACCCTGGCCACGATCTCATCATCATCCTCAAAATGAAACTCCCTTTCTCCGATCTCGTCACCGCCAACCGGGTTCAGCATCTCCTCCAACGTGAGAGGAGCCCCAATGATCCTCCTTCGTGCCTTCAAATCTTGAACGACTTTCATCAAGTCTTCTTCTGCGGATTGGAGTTGGGGAAGAGGTGGACGACCTTCTGCGGCTTACGCGGTTTGTAGGGGGCATGCTCGGTTCGGACTTTCCGTTTGCGCTCGTCTGTGTTACGTTTGGCAGGCATGGGAAGACAGAATGTGGGTGGTGGGTTCCCCCGGCGGTTTTGTTGGATGCGCGGTGCTTTTTAGAATATTCTCGAACACGATCGCATAGATATGTAGTGTGGATTAGATGAAAACGACCCTACTGATAATGCATAACTTGGCCCGAGCCTTCATGCATTATGCATTATGCAATTTTCCCCCTGTACGGAGTCAGTTCTAGTCAAAAGTCCATGCACTATTAGAATTATGCAACATGAGGTCATGCATTATGAGAACATGTACTGTACTAGTATTCCGAGCGTCGGTAGGCCTCGTGTCTTTGGGCGTTTATCATTTTGAGCTCCGATAAGCCACCGCAAGCGAGCTTGAACTTCGAAGTTCAATCGTTGAAGTTTCGTTGAAGTCTCCTATCGTTCGGTGAGCAATCACTTAACATGACTGGAAAGGAAAATATCACCGGTCACCGGTCATTTCGTGTCAGGCATAATTGCTTCCCGCAAGATCTGTGCTGTTTCCGATAGAAGGCTAGAACTCAAAAAGGCTCAATGTGGTAGCTGTTGACGGTGGGTACGGATTCCGAGCGTTGACGGCGGTGTACATGTCATGATTTCATTGAAAGGACTGGGGGATGGGGTTCCTGATATGGCTATTATTGCCTTTTCTGAGCTGCATCCGTGCCGAGCCACAGGTTGAAACGATCGATTATCCATACTGTTGACATCTGTATAAATACAGTCCCCTCGAAGTTGTTTTCGTTGTACCTTAACCAGGTACAAATTTCGTATACTTTTTGCACAATTTATTGGTCGCAATAGAACTCGACCTTGACTAAAAGAAGATAGTTAGACCCACTTCTCTGTAATATGAACGACGCAGTATTTCGAGAATTTTTGTTTGGTGGGGCGAGGCTCAGTGCTTGAGCAAGGCATCGGCTTGCCAGTGAGGGCCCGAGGGGCGCTGGACAGGTCGGGTTCACTTTATTCATTTCAAGCTCCGCTGTACCCAATGATTGTCAAGCTTCGAAGTTGAACCAAACTACTTCAACCTGACACTGGCACCTCTAGTACTCGCCTCTAGACTCAGTTCAAACTGTCTTCATGTCCCGAATTTGCAGTGCAGAATCTCCCTTGTAAAGATCACGTCGTGCAGCCAAGTTGATGCCTTCGCAGGAAACGATCCTTGTCCACAATTCTCCAGAGGACGAGGTCGTTGCATCAAATGCAACGAAAACGATTCCATTCACCCGGTACCCACCGTCTCCACTGTTTCGACGCTCCCTCATCTATGCTGAAAGTTCCGCGAAGCTCTGTGAAGCGCTCATCCACACCGTGCTTGGTACGTTGGTGGACTTGTCCTTCTCCTATCGCGATCTCTGATGCATTTCTCGCAGGATGGTTCTCTTTCTACCAAGCTGGATACTTACATCGGGATATCAGCATCAGGACCGTGTTTCTCTGTCCGAGTCCTGCTGAACAGCGCGCCTTTGAGATCTCTGCAGACTTCCATCAGACCGCCACGAAATCGGTTGAAGATTTGACGCTGCTCCTCAAAGGAATTTTAGTCGATGAATGCTCCTATCAGTTGAACGACATCGAGGAGAAGATCATGCGGGTCGAGCAACTCGTGCAAGAGCTGGGCGTGACGACCACTTGCAGCGCCTTCATTATCGACAGCGATATGGCTATTCCTTGGGAGACCTGTTTGGACTCTGGGCGTGACAATCAAGAAATATTAGTGGGTAGCCATTCCTTGCGGCGATTGTCTCCTCTAATTGGGTACAGGGTAACCCAGAATTCGTGTCCTCGCAGTTCGCCCAGTCCATGGAGGACGGTACCAAGTATCTCCAGTCCCCTGTCGACGAACTCTTCTCTGTGTATTGGGTGGCGTTGTGGGCAATCCTTAACAACATCCCTACTTCTAGGAGGTCTGACTATGAGGTGAGGTGGAGAAGGAAGATCGCAGAGGGGCGTTGGGCTAGGGGTGATGCTTCTGTGAACATCTGCGGCCTCGTAGATCCAGAAGAAACGTCGCACAGTCCTATCGTGCAACAGTGGTCGCCGGTTCTGGATTCTTGGTTTCAGTCCCTTGACAGGTTGGACAAGGACTGGAGACGCCAGGAGGCCAGGCTCTCTCGTCGACTGAAACCTGAAAATTCGCGTGGAGACTTCTACCTTCCTCCTTTCCACCACTTCGCCCTTCGCGCGGTGTTGCTGACTTTTTGGAGATGATCAAACCCCACTCTACCCGTCTTTATAATTGCCCGCCATTTTTCTAGTTATCTCAATTTCCATGAACTCTACGAGTGCTGAAGAATGTTTTAGTATCCGGCAGCTGTGGATATACATAGGTACATGCCAGGTACTTACACTCGCGGAAGTATTGTAGAGCATCATAGGCCCTATTATTGGCGTGGAGATCCCATGGGATGTGAATGAGTCGACTGCAGCTACTGCAGGAGTCTTATGTATGGCACGTGACCCAAAGTTTACCAACTTCAATTTGAACGACGCGTGCCGCTTGACTCGCGACAGCCACCACAATGGCACACTCTACTCCTGTCAAACCTAGCAGTCGCACTGGGAACAATCAGCCCTCCTCTGATGCGCTTCGTAAACAAGAAGTGCTCAAGAATCTCCTCCAAGACGAAATTGGTGATCAAACGTGGCAGTTCGACGCCGAAAGGGTCTCCCGTATGCTTTCTCCCAAATGTCTCAAGCCGGGCGGGGACTATCACTTTTTGGACAATCACGACTGCGACGTCGACAAACGCTTCTTCAAGGCGGCCCTCACACGAGCCAAATCGGACCTAGAAAAGACCCTCTTGGAACAAAGTCTCAATTGGCCGCCCGACAATGCGGGGGAGCGGCAGTACTATCAGCCCCTGGCCCAGTTCATGAACACCTGCTTGAAAGCTTGTCACGCCGCCCTGGACTCTGATCCGTCAGCTCCCGCCAGGGATGTACGGTGGTATCACGACCTCGACTTTATCAAGTACGACAGAACAACAGGAGATGGGATTCGTGCAGCTCATCCGCTGAAGCCGGATCTCGCAGGAGGACGAAAATTGGTTGTGATATTCCAGCAGGACCCCTCAGCCACACTCTACTGGAGTCGCATCGACAAGAGCCATCACCAGATCGACATACCTGTGGAGGTCAAATTGGACGAGAAAGACATGGTTGCGCAAGCGGCGTCGTATGCTCGTTGCCTGTTCAGCGCCAGCCCGTCACGTTTATTCTCCCTCGTATTGTGCTTCAATCAGAAGAATAAAAGCCTACGTTTTGTCATCTTCCATCGTGGGGGCCTGACGGCTTCCCTACCTCTTTACCTTGACACACAAGGAGGCAGGGAAGGAGCGTTGGAACTATTCCTCTCCATCACTTGTTGGACGTCTGCCACCGACGCTGGATTCAACCCGTCGTGCAACGACCTCGAGTACATGATCCCGTTAAATTCCACGGGCACAGAGGGGGTGCGAGCTACAATCCTGGACAATTTATACGAGGCGATATGTGTTCGGGGCTCCTCCACCAAGGTCTCGCGTGTAGTTGTCAAGGATATTCCGACACAGCCCCCTAACGTCGCGCCTGAGACGACGTCGCAAGGTGCTCCTTCGTTGAAAGCCTTTACCACCGCTCCTCTCAGACGATCGCCAAGGCTTCGTACTCCTGCCGCACACCAACCGAATGCAGAGTCTTCGTCTTCGAGCCAAATCAAGAAACCCTCTTCAAAGCAGACCAAGAAACCGCCTTCCAAGACAACCGCTCAAGCAAAGCCTACCACCGCAGAAGGAACACCAAGCGAAGGCACGACGAAGAATGAAAAGACGACACAGAGTGGTACGTTTATCTGTTGCTGGTTGCTCCTTCGCCTCCTAACTGCATCGAAGCAGAGTCATGCCCCATCACGCCTTACAAACGAGAAAACGACATTGGATACTTCGAGCCTAGAGGATTTACCCCGTCACACGAGACGCAAGACCTACGAAAAGAATTTCAGAAACCACTGATCGTCAAGATCTCCTGGCAGCAGGACGAACTCAAAGAGGTTGAGCCGGGGATGTACAAGGCATCCAATGGGAGGTTTGGTACTGTTTCCCATCTCTGCTCGTACGAAGGGACATACGAAGGCGGCCGGCCTATCTCGAACCACATTTTCCTTCCCAGAAAGGATGAGATTGAATCGGCGTTTTGGAAACTTTTCCGAGATACCCCGCCGATTGCGGCGGAGACCCGCACTATGTGTTACTCCTTCTTTTCACTCGAAGGCCGCTCGCTTGTTGAGGCCGAAAGCTCACGCGAGCTTTGTGAAGCACTCATCCACGGCGTGTTAGGTAGCGTGATCTTGCTCTTTGCCTCACAATCTGCTGATACGTTTTGCAGGATGGTTGTCAACCTATCAAGCTGGATACCTGCACCGGGACATCAGCATTGGGAACTTACTCCTCTGTCCCAACTCTGTTGAGAAAAGTGCTTTTAAAATAGCAGCAGATTTCCGCCAGACTGCCACAAAGCCAGCCCAAGATTTGACGTCGCTCTTTGAAGGTCTTTCGATCGACTCTATGCCTCCTAAGTTGAGTGACCTGGAGGAGCAGATGACGCGGGTGGAGCGACTTGTCAAAGAATTGGGGGCATCGACGAAGTGCATCGCTTTTGTGACCGATGGCGATAAGGCTATTTGCTGGGCATCCTATTTCCAAGGCCATAACCGTGGAAGCGATGAGAGATCGGTAAGCTACTTGTGTTCCATGTAGTGTTTTTCCAGTGACAGACTTGTGCGCAGGGTACATCAGAGTTCATGTCTCCCAGGCTCCTCGAGTCCATAGAGGACGGTACCAGGTATCTCCAGTCCCCTGTTGATGATCTCTTCTCTGTGTATTGGGTGGCGTTGTGGGCAATCCTCAACAACATCCCTACTTCTAGGAGGTCTGACTATGAGGTGAGGTGGAGAAGGAAGATCGCAGAGGGGAGTGACGCTAGGGCTGCTGCTTCTGTGGCCATCTGCAGACTTTCCCCGAGGGAATGGAAATCACAGAGTCCTATTGTGCAGCAGTGGTCGCCGGTTCTGGATTCTTGGTTTCAGTCCCTTGACAGGTTGGACAAGGACTGGAGACGCGCGGCAGATCCCCCAGATGATGTGAAGGTTGAGAATTCCCGAGACTTCTACCTTCCTCTTTTCCACTACTTCGCCCTTCGCGGCGTTGCTGACTTTTTGGAGATGATCAAACCCCACTATACCCGACTTCGTACTTGCCTGCCTTTTGCATAATATTTCAATTTCATGTCGCAGCCTAGCTGAATCAAAATAATGAATGCAGTAGCAAAAATATTGTAGTATCCGCTTTGTAATTGGAAAAGTAGCAACTGGCCAAGTACGTCATCTTCACCGCGCCGCATCTCGACAATCAGAGGGAGCTGCGGCTTGTTGGTGCCACTGTTAGCGACAGTCGGAGTAGCTATGTTATTCATCTGCCAATAGATTTCTGCACTTTGGAGGGCGAGAACTTGAAGGACTCCGACGGAGAGAGAGAAATAAGATATGGCATAGACCGCATCCAAAGAGTTGACTCAAAAACTCACTCATTTCCAGCTGCGAAACTTGAATCTGCTGTAATGCACATTTGTTGAGAGATACTATTATACAGCGCAAAGGCTTACTCACATGCAGGCTCTTCCACCTCCAAGGAATGTCATTCTGTTGTCTTGATTCAGTAGTGAAACCGTAGTATAACCGTGAAGGAGCTACAAGTTCGAGTAAATTCCAGGAATATGCGCAGCCGCCACGCTCTCCGGCAGCGGCTGGAGCAACCTCTCGGGCTTCCACTCGTATGAGTCAGGTCCCCAGATTTCGGCGTTACGGTTGGATGCCATAATACCCACAATGACATTTGTATTCTTGGGGATAGGTATGTCGCTGATCTCTCGCCCGTCCAGGCCAACGATGGGTTTGGAGGGAGGGAGGACAACGTCTTCTCGCGTTCTGAACATGACCGAAATAAGCATGCAATAGGCGCGTTTGATTAGAGTCACAGACGTACGTCCTATTGACGACTGACACAGGGGGGTACTGTTTCTCTTTTGTCAGCCGGTACTGTAGGGTCGGAAAAAATGTCTAAGTACAGCCGGAGAGTTTCTCGACAGACGACGTCCAAGTAGGGGAGAGAAACGAGCTCATCGTACTGTAGGTCACCATTCTGTTGCCTAGCTTCTCGAATCTCGTTTCTAAGCTGTTGGCGCAGTGGTGGTGGTTGGTGGTTAAGACACGATTAGCATTTAGCGCCCGTTGAGAGGGCTTATATACCTACGTACAAAGTAACTAGAATATTCTAATAAATACTATTCTAAGTAATTGTCCATTAAGGGAAATAAACGAGAATGTACTCGAGGAGTCGGGAGACGACTCTTCGAGGGCGGAATGTCCGAGTACCAACTACTCGGTTCTATTCCGACATAAGCTTGTCTTGGACGCCTTGGTTCTTCGAGAGGAGGTCAAGCATACGCAACAGTGCGCCGGAGGTCGTGTCCATTGCAGCGAACGTCAAGGTCCTGTCATATTTAACGACAGCGAGGGCCTCGATATCAGAAGATTTCCATTTCGAAACAGAAGGAACTAACGACATCTGTCCAAGAAGCTCTTTGTCGGCCAGCTTGTCCTCTTTCGAGGCGGCCATGTCGTCTCTCACTGTCAAAGTGTGCAGCTTTTAATTCAACGCTCAACAGTATAGGACGCACTCAAAATGCTCAGAATATCTTTGCCTTGACTCAACTGCGCCTTGAAGACCTCGTCGCCCTCTTCTAGGGCCATCTTCTTAGATTCGAATATCTCAACAGATGTGTTATGTAAAACGTCGACGACATCGCGGAGCCTGTGCCTGGTATTCCAGGGGATCATATTGACAGGCTCGGCAAAAAGGAGATTTAGAAAACAAATATTCCTCGTCTTCCTCCCATGTCCTCTAAATTTCCCCTTGTCGTCGCCTACATGTTCCCGACCTTTTCCCTGCAGATTTCTACCTTTTCACAGCGCATAGATGCCTCGGTCTTGGTGTTTTAGCGGAGGCCGGGATCTCCTATAGATGAGAAGAAACGCTCTTTCAAACCGAAGTGAAGCGTCGAAAGCATAAGGGTGCCACTTCATAAAGAGAGGAACTCGAAGGATACGAGAGGGATCAGCCTGGTCCTAACCTGGACCAATGGACGCTGGAGCACTCGCTCCGATCCGCTTTGAAATTGCCCTCATGACACCAGATCCTAGAGTCGTCTTCAGTCTTCAGAACGTTCCCGAGGAGCCCCAGAGAATGGTTGCCCACAAGCCAGGCCTCCACCGCGCTCTCGTAGTTCAGCCGCAAGCTACGTCAGTGGCGCGTGTAATGGCCGAACCCTCGATGCACTCTCCTACGACCACACCCGTGCTCGCTGAACTACATTTGGCCGACAGACCGTCTCGCACTGTACAACGCTTCCAGAGCGTTCATAAGACGCAGAGAGCTTATGTTCGACGTTCAAGGGCAGTTGGCACCTTCTACAGTTGTTTATAGGAGCATCCGAGGAGCGGCGGGCGACATCAAGAGATCTTCCAGCAAGCACAGCACCCCTTTCGCTCCTTTCCTACTGCCACATCCGCCGCTTCGCGCCTGTTCTGCGAGCGATAGACACCTTGCCGCCGGCATCGAGCAAGATGGCCGCCATGTTCCGCACAAGTGTAACGATTCGACACCAAGGAGAGACCGGAGAACTTTGCAGGGCATCAACTATCTCAAGCAGGTGTAATCTCTGTGCGCCCTGCTGAGGTTGCTATCTCTATGAGCATGAGAATCGATGCTTTCTGGAGTCGGCAGTGGTGAGGGCGCGTTATCGCTTATCGTCGTCGACCTCAATCCGACTTCTGCTAGAAGCTCCAAGCGCGGTAGAGGAGGCTGCATCTGCGACACTGGGGAGAGCATTGTCTACAGCCCAGTCTTCTCTTTATGATCCTCGTACCTGGATGCCCGGAATCAAACTTGAGCTCGATGCACGTCCTAGCTTCTGTTACTTGTACAGGTCCAGAACCTGACAGGTCATCAACACACTTGAAATTGTCGTGGCATCTCTAGTAGCAAATGTTGAAGAGGTCGACATGTGGGGTTTGCATGGACAAAAGAAGGAATTTGACCGTGGGTGCGGTTCATATACCTGGTAGTGACAGGCCGCAGGGAGCTCTATCTTGCTTTAGCATCCTCCGGAGCTCGTTCGAAGAGGCCTCTTGTCTCTTGCAACCATTCTTATGACTGTGTCCTGGTCGCATCCAAACTCGTGACAGCGGCATAGCCGTCCAAGAGGTTGAGACCTCGCAGGCTCTAAGGGACGAAATCAAAGAGTTCCGTGGAGGTGTTACTCGAGAAAGGATCGCTGGTGGTTTCGGTTCACCTTTTGGTCAAAGCCGAATTGTCCAATTACAGGGCCACGCCGTCACCCATTTTTCGACGAGGGATCTTCGTCGCACTTTAAAGCTTCGCCTGTCCTTCGCGTCTCTCGCCGCGGGAAAATTTCCAAACGTAAAATCGGGCTAATCCTCGCCTTTTCGCCGCCATCTCTCGAACTGGAATTCAGCGGCCCAGGAATGATCCTCTCGGAACATGAGGTGGGAAAGCGCTTTCAAGCAAGGACCAAAACTCAAACCTGATGCCTGCCCCTTACCCTCGCACTGGCGGCTGATCTGAGCACCCTCATGGCGGTACAATGCGTGCTGCCTTTTCGACTCCGTCACCCAAGAAACGGTAGATGAACATCCTATAGCCACACGGGTCGTCTTCCGAACAAACCCCTAGTCATCCTTCCAGCTGCTTCCACGCGGGGCGCCACCAAAACAGCTGCCCTATCACATAGTATAGGTCGCGCTGCTTCATCGTTGGGCGTATGCCCTTCGCCCCTGCTGTTCTAGCGGTCGCGGACCCTCCTGGCTGCTTGCAACCAGCTTGCTGGTCTCGTTCAGATGACCGGGATCATCTACAATTAGTCCTCTCCCAACATCACCGACCTTCACGGCAGGAGTTCGATGTTAGAACAGCGTGGCTCGCTCGAACGCCCAAGTCAAACTCATCACGTACACCGGCATTATCTCTCGGTATGAACTGGCCAAGCGCATGAGCAAATTCTTCTACTATGCGAACAAATGGCAAGCGGACTTGGCGAATAGGGGCGGTTGCAGTATCACGGAAGGAGTGAAATTGGCGGAGGAGAGAAAGGCGCCGACTTGCACTTAAGCTGGTATGTTGCTCAAAAATATCTTGCAGTACGTGGCTGATTTCTGGTCATTATAAACAGCTCCCAGGTGGCGAACAGACTAAAGACAGTGGCGTGTTCATCCTTGGTCTTTTCTTCTAGCGAATTGCGTTTCAAGACGCTCGTTCAATTGCGGAGTATGTTATCAGATAAAAGGTTGGGACTTACCTTTCGAATTCAAGCTTCGTTTCCGGTTGATTCAGCTATGAGTCACTGGCGGGAAGATCTCCCTGGGGCGCATGCTCACGACTATGCAGCCGACTTTGCTCATACGCCGAATCGTGGGCGTCCCAGCAAAGCGGCATGCCTTGACAAATTTATCATTTTTGGCACTGTGCCACGCCGACGGACGCTTGGACGTTGACGCCATCGTTTTCCCTTGTCTTTACTAATCATCTTGAAAGGCTCGGTCTGGGCTTGAAAGTTGACCACAATGTAAGATGACGTGCAAACTTCCGTCGATATTGATGCGACTAGCTCGTGTTAACTTTTGGTGCACCACCCTCGGAATTATCACGACGCGATGGTCGCTTTGAACTAACTTTGTCGCCGTACAGCGCGTAAGTACGACTGATTTTTCTTGCTTCAGCACCGCGCCAGACTAAAACATTGATTTTGACAAGCGCCTGCCACTCGATTCTCGAGATGATGCGAGACGAATGAACGGACCCCCCCATGTTCTTTCTGCGACCAAACCACCTATGAGAAATTAACGACTCAACTAGATCCACAGGTTTCGACACCTTTCAACACCTTTGGCAAGAGCCACACCTTTTTGTGGGACGACTGAATGTATTCTCGGTCAAGCACCAGCAGTTTGGATACGATCTTGGGTCTCGTCTAATTGGGCCAACCATGTGGTATATGCACCCTCTAATTCCTCACCTTCTCCAAAACCACTCGGACATTTACGGTTCTCCAACTCTTTCATGTCGGTCGAAGTCGGTTCTAGATCCGTGAGGCACACGCCACCACTGCAGCTGATCAGTTATCTGATAACAGAAGCCCACTTGGCGTGTTATCTGATAAGGAACATCTCTTCCTTGGCAGGCCACCAAGCCCTTCGAGTCGTCACATAAAAGACATGGGGGAACAGAAATTCGGTCGAGCGCCGGGGTTCCTTTCGCACCTCTGCACTATCCATCTCAAAAGCCAACTATGCTTACCGCTTTCGCAGTTGTCGCCAGCGCCGCTTGCGCCCTTGCCCTCCCGGTCCTCGAGTCGCGCCAGACCGATCACAGCAATATCGACCTTTCCAGGTACTCCAAGGGTGCGTGGGTCGCCGCTGATATCGCCTCTTAATGTCCTGACGAATCCTCGCTCATAGTCGGCTTTGTGTACCCCGTAAGCACTCTTTTCTCTTCGTCGATCCTCTTGTACGAGCCGTCGCTGAATACTGCAATTAGAGACCCCGAGGATGGGTCAACGAGACTGATCAAGTCGCGCCCTGCGGTGGTCTTCAAATCAATAATCGCACGTCCTTCCCTCTCAGTAAGCTACACGCCCTTTCTTGTTTATCTCCAGTGACGAATTGTGAACCGTTCCTTCATAGCTGGGGGACAGTTCTCTCTGCTCCTCGCCGACGAGGCTTACACCGTCCAATTCTCCTACTCCACCTCCAGCAACCCCACCTCCGACAGCGATTTCCGACCTTTCATGCAATCCCTAACTGGTGGTGACCAAGTTGGCCACACCTGCTTCAACGCTGCCAGCTTCGCCGACTTGGGTGTAACCGCTGGTCAGGATGTTACCGTTCAGATCAGGTACAGTGGTGGTGGCCGCGACCTCACGCCTTACTACCAGGTCTAGCCACCTTATTCTTCCGTTGGACCTCCATCCCCTTGCTGACGGCCGCGATTTTTTCTCTAGTGCGCCGACCTCAGTGTTGTTTCCACTGAAGACTACGTAAAAGCCAACTACACCTGCGTGAACGCCCTCGCCTCCCTTGACGACTTCACCTCCGGTGCGGCCACAGGCCACTCCACGGCCACCTCAAGTGATTCAGGCCTTTCGTCCGCTGAGGCTGGTGGTATCGGTGCTGGTGTAACCCTCGGTGTCGTTGGGGTCGTTCTTGTCGCTCTGTACTTCCTTGGTCTCCTCGCCTTTGGCAGGAAGAAGAAGGCTGCTGCCCCGGTCACCGCCCCTCGCGCGAAGCACGACGACGAGAGCGTGAGTAGAACCCACTTGAACCTCCATTCCACGTTGCTGACTCAGTTCGCCCTATTAGTCCAAGGCTTCCGTCACTGAGGCCAAGTTTTGATGAGTATCTACCATTTACGATGCTATGTAATGTTGCACCGAAGACATTCTTCCGGGCGCTGATATGACCTTGCCTTGATTGATTTAAACAATGCAATTGTACCCCTCTTCCAAGCCTTATCAGCTTCTAAAAAGCTTGAAGTCTCCCTAACCCAGACCTCGTCGATTGCGTCAGTGGAAGACGTAACTCATGATCAAGTACCAAGAGCACTCGAAATCACGCTCACCTGTCAACATGGTGTTCCGCGACCAAACTACTAGAGGACCTCTGAGAGGACGTATGAAACTCGTGGGTCACAAAGGTTTTAATGGGTTGACGAAAAGTTCCCTAATTCCGCACAAAAATGGGACAGCATACCTGATGTCCAAGTGGTGGCGAGTTGCCAACAATATCCGACCCTCATAAAAAAAATGAAGAAAGAAATCGTTAAAAAATCTCTCGTTGTCTAATGGGTGACTTCCCGTAGGCTTTCGCATTAAAATATAGCGTAGCGGAGTTTGAAGTCGCAGGTTCCTCATGAAAGTCTATTCAGCCACATAAACCGTAATGCCCAAAGATTAAAATAGTCGCGAATAGATCGGTTGATCTTATCATGATCTTATCGGTGTCCTAAAACGGTATTTCATGGAAAAATAAAATTTCCATGTGCCAACGGCATTGCTTGAGTGGCATGAGTAGGACAGGTGAGGTATGGGCAGTGGAGACAGCACGCGTCTTCATCGTTGAGTCGATGTTGGGGAGAAGGGTGGGCCATAAATGGAAGGAGTTTGTGCTTGCTGTGCTGACTAACATTTATTCTGCGTCAAACGAATCTATGAAGGGGGTAGGGACCCTCTGAATAGATTTGCGTTTATTCGAGGGTGATCTAAATACTAAAACGGTATCCCTTTCCTGGTGGACAACTTCAAAAGTTGACTCCGTCAACTTTTGTGTTACCCTTCAGTCCAGGCCCGGGCCGTGTCTGTTAATTACATAATTGATTACGCGTCCATCATTGCTCGAACTATCGTTGCGGACAACCTCGACGTGCCCATCCCCTCGACTAGGGACCACCTCGAACCACCATGCTCGCAGACAATGAACGCTGTCAAAGCACTTATCATTTCGATTGATCCATTGCACCCTGGGCTAAAATGAGATGCGCAAAATAGCGGGCGAAGGCATCCAGTGCGTCCCTTCAGCCCACTCAACTGGCGCTGAGCGTTGACTGACATGGCACATTGACAGCAGCACCTAATAGGCCTTTACAATATTGTAACCGCTTTCGAACTTCAGGAACGACAGCAGCTACAAGAACGTGAACGAGCTCAGAGCAGAGACACGGCATGAGGACCCGCCTCACTGGCTACCAACCTCTGAGCAGCCAAGCGAAAGTAGTGGTGCCGGCTCATCTGCGTCATCAGCTAGCAGTAGAGGTATGTTTCGCTGTCTAATTCTATATGTTGGCTTTATGACGGGTACCCCCTCAAGGACTTTTGCGATGGTCGAACATCAGGGTGTGTATGGCCACCCTGTACCTGTATGTTCAATCATTCGTTTTGCGCTGTCCAGGTCTGACTCAGACACCAGCACCCTCACCGTTGTTGTTGTTGAGCTGATCTACAATGGCCCAGGATCCATACCCTTAAACCTGTGGGAGGAGCGAAGGCGAGCAGAGTCGCAGAGGTAAAATTCCAGTAAAATCATAAGGAATTTCAGTATGTATATGATGATGTGCCTATGGTAGGGTGATCGTGCGAATAAGGAATGGCAAACACACACCCAAAACACCGCAACGAGTGGCTCTGAGGTGCGAGGACAGTTCCATGGTTGTGCGGCTCTAACCAGATGGCATGCGCGACTCAAAGACGGGTGACGAATGTGGGCACTAAGCATGGGAACGAGACGAATGAGGCAGCAGCGCCTCCGAAATACGGTCGAAACAAGGACAAGGGACGAAGGCAAGAAATGGAAAATGAACTAAATTTTCTATTTTGTGTGAGTGAGTGTGTAGACATAGTTTATATCTATGAAGAAGGGAGAGTCCAGGAAGGGAGATATCCAAACCGGTGTGAAGGAAGAAAGAAAAACAGAAAATTTCAGATAAGAATGAAACAGATATGGAAAAGGGGAGAGGCGGCGAGGTGGCAACTGTGTTGATGGGAGGAAAAGACTACCTAACAAGGAAAGGGAGGCGCGCCGAGCGTCTCGGTGAAATGGGAAAGAGAGGGAAAGAGGCGGTGTCGGTCACAGGACGGCTGCTTTTGCTCTGAGGATTTCCGGGTGTGTCGAGGAATCATATGGTGCGACGGGAAAGGTGTCTGGAATCGAGGGAACAACGGGAATGCGATGACAAAGGTCGAAAAAAGGTATTCTCCGAGGCCAAGCAGCGGGCCGACTCATCAGTGAGTATGCAGTGCCATTTCTCCCCAACTCCCCCACACCCCGTGCTTTGCACAGGTGAACTTCTCATTAAGGTCTGAGATGTTATGATGGGTTCTGCAATTGTGCAGCTCTAACTAGGGCTCGTGCAACCCGAACATGGAGGACTATGTCCGGCAGGAAATTTCTTGCTGAACTAGAATAAGTAAATTTACACTGGCAGTGTCTCACCAGCATCGAATATTGAGTGGCTTGGACAACAAATTTCAAGTAGGTCAATTCACCTCCCGGAAATGCGGAAACTTCCAATTACTCGGCATAAAGCCGAGAATAACTAGCAGGGGGCCCATTTGAGTGAAGTTGGTTAGCACCGGAATGAGGTAGACAGCCTTTCCAGTCCGAGCCTAGCATAAGGACACCACTCAGACTGACGGCACACATAATTTGCGGCATTTATTTCTCCTACATGGGGCTCGCACGGAGAAAATCCATGAACAACCACGATGCCTGTACGAATTGAGACCGCCGGAAGTCGCTCGGCACGACGGAAAGGTGAGTGGCCTTGAGTGAAATTCAAATAAAATAAATTTTGCGCGTATTGAGTATTCTCTCTCGGCTTATTAGAATACCCAACCACGAGCCCCCGTGCAAAGCACGGGTAATCCTCTAGTTGGAATAATCCAGCTGCCAAGTCCTGCCTAATTGGGCCCGGCATCACGGCACCGTGCCTTTGTCAGGTTTGATTTAATCTATTCCCTGGAATAAAAGCCTACGGGAAGTCACCCAATATCAAGGGTCACGTATGTACTTACTTCCTGCGATTTTAACGAGTCAGATTATCTTCGCTGATCTCGGATATGCGCTCATTTCCCGATGTAAAATATTCATCCATAAAATTTCAAAGTTTGGGAGCTTGCACATAATTTTAGTACCTATTTCTTTCCTGTTCCGGATACCGTTTGGCTCTGAATAGATGAAGGTCGGAGTCGATAACGCACAGGAGAGCAGTAATGACCAAACGCGGATATGCCATGAATGGAAAAAAAATGTCGGAAAAACCTAAAGTGGCAGGTTACGCGTCACAGCGGCCGTGACGCCGAAAACGCTTGGGTGCCTGTCCCGACGCGTTCTGACAAAGGAGATCTCCGTGATGACGCCCAAAAACAGTTTAAAACGGTTTGTAAAAGGGTGAATCCCCCTGCCGAGAACATCCGTTACTCTAGGTCATCACGGCACGATCGGCGTCATGACTCGTTGGAACTCCGCCATCACTTCTTCCGCGTAATGACTCTCAGATTAAATTTCCGACAGAAGTCCAAGAGTGGCGCTCTTCTCGCAGACACCTGTCACTGGCACTAGTACTTCTGGAGGTGCTACCCGAGACAAGAATGTCGACAATCCTGCCTCGATCTTATCCCCAGGTATACTGAAGGACCTGGACGGTCGACCTCCGGGTCGCCAATCGTGGGCATAACGGAAATTATGATTCACATACTACTTACTATGGGTTACGTATTGAAGCCCCAGTTAATGTGCGACCCAGTCATAATTAGCGTGTAGGTATAAAAAAAGGATTATTGGGCGTTGCACGATCGCCTTCGCTTGGTACTTTGTAGCCTTTTGTAGCAGTGAAAAGTACAGGAATTAACCGGTGGTTTGAATACCGAAAACATTATGTCAGACGTACCTCACTCCGGAGAATCCCGTTCTATTGATTGTTGGCATGCACCCCCACAATTACAGACCCCACCTGTGTATACAGTTCTGTGCTGATAGAATACAAATTGCACTACAGGGAAGGCGAAAATAGGTATACAAACCGGTGGGAAAACGCAATTTAAACTTCACTCAGAGTCACCAACTTTTGTGTGATCAATTTTGAGTTTAAAACATCATATTTCGCTTCAAATAAAAACATGAATGAGAAGTAAGAAAGTAGTTGTAAGTGCCTATATACTTATTTTCTTGAAGTAAATAGTAGATGTGGAGGGGAGGGCCGTGCAAAAGTGTACAAAGGAATGATCGCGTACAAAGGTCCCGTGAACCCCTGTGTTCTAATAATGATTGGATTTTGGAAATTTCTGTAGCCTCCGTGGTCAAATAATTATGAGTGAATTTTGGGATAGGAATTCGAAGGGTACTTTGAAAGATGGAAGAAAACCCGATGACTTTGCCGAAAGTCCAATCGGAAGGCCGGTCCGGACTGCTGCCACGATCACATGATTTCGACGCGTCCTGTGTTTCGGTTCAACCACTTTAGTTGAAATTCTTACTCCAAGTTCCACTCAACCAAGGTATGCACCCCGTAATGCTTCCTTCCTACCTTCTAACAAGGCATAGAGGACAAGTAACCATCGAGAGTAACGATGGATACGTCAGGATTCAGCCAAGTTGGGCGACATGGAACCCTCAGCCTCATCAAACGAAACGCGACGCCACCAGAATCGGACGTGATCACCTCCTTCGGAATTGACGATGAAGAACTGACGTTCGGAAGTGTTACTACATGCGGGGTAAGGCTGTACTATCCAGAGGTGGATGCACTGCATTGTAAGCTCGTGTTCGAGGAGCGCAAGGTTCGTGTTGGCTTCGACATAACAGGAAAATAATGCAGATTGATCGTTTTATTTCAGGCTTTTCTTGCTGTAATTGGCTCTGAAGGAGCGCTAGTGGATGGTTGCAAAGTGTATCCGCATACATCTGGTGGCAACTCACAGACCATCATTCCGTTGACCAACAACTCGGAGTTCGAGATTCACAACAAGCGCTTTCGGTTCACATATCCCCCCAAGGAAATTCGCAAAGCACTATATGCTACGCCTGCTCGTAAGTGCCTTCCTTCGTGGAAACTTTACTACTGTTTTACCTAGATCGCCTAGGACCACCCAAACGCGCTCTACGTCTGTCGATGATTCACTCGGCTCAAGTTTTCTCTCCTCGACCATCCAAAGACCCGCGCGAGAATCTCAGAATTCTCCAAAGCCCCATCAAGAACATGCTTGGGATAGGCAAGAGCCCGGCCAAGTCTGGCAACCCCTCTCCTCTCAAACAAACCGCTGCAGCCACGCTCGAAGACAGCGACGACGAAGAAGAGGAAGATATCGTGTTAGTGCAGACAAATCATCCCCGTGTTGTTGAGGAGGAACGAGACCTGGTTATTTTGGAAGATGTGCCCGTATCGTTGCTGGACGTGCAAACATCTCCAGCAAAACTGCACCAGCCCGTACCGCAATGGCCCCAACCACAACCCCAGCCTCCGAAAACCCCTCCTCGGCGCCGGTCTCTTGGAGGAAACGCGCTGCATCGTGCAGTGCTCATCCGCAGTGCGCAGAGAGCAGTTCTGAAAGCAGAGAAAGAGAGAGAGGAAGAGGAAGAGGAAATGGAAGTGCTAGACAGCGTTGTCGCAAGCGTTTATGATGACGACGAGGTTGTGCACGATGAGGAAGAAGATGGCGATGTTGAAATGGGGGATTCCAACGAAGAGGAGGAAGGAGACACAGACGACGAGGAAGAAGAGAAGAGTCGCGATGAACAGAAGCCTCTCTGGCGGAAGAGCCTGGAGAGGATCATTCCTTGGCCATTCAACTCAGGACAGGTACATTTTAAGTTTGTTCTCAAAACGTGAGTCTAAATAATTCACTAGCCCGATGAAGAGGAACCAATGGAAGACAGAGAGTGGCACGCCTCACCAGAAAACGCTGAATACGACGACGACGACGACGACGAGGAAGTTGCCCCTTTACCTGCACCCTCAGCAACGCCTGTACGACGTCCTCTCGGCTCCTTCATGACGCCTGGGCCTAGGCGGGATGTCTTTGCTCATTCAACCGAACCCTCCGCTGCCCTGGGAAGGTACTCTCTGGGTGGTGGCGAGGCCCAGCGTGTGCTCGTACAACAGCCATGGCGGGTCCGTGACCTAGTTGTGCCGCCACCGGCTGCGTCTGCCGCTCCGGTGCCTGCTTTGCGCCCCATGGACCCTCCTCCCAGTACCCCAGTCCGTGCGGCGTCTAGCTTGGTAACAACCCTTTCTCGTCCACGCGCAACACCTGCAGTATCAGAGGAGGAACGCAAGGCAATCCAGGAGAGGAGGCGGAGCGCGTTGAAGGAACTTGACAGTTTCTGGGTGGATGGTGCTCCGGGCATGAGCCCCGCGAAGAACTCCTCGAGCACCAGTTCGAGCTCGAGCTCGTCCGCTGCTGCATCTTCGCGCAGGAACAGCACATCAGTTGTCAAGCCCAGTACAACGCCCGCACGGCCAGCAAATTTCGGTTCGCCAACGAAGGGTCGTCCGTTGGAGAGGACCATCCTTGAGGAAGAAGACGGCGATCTCTCTGGTTCTGGCGCCTCTCTCTTCAAGTCTCCTGGTCCTGGTCCTGGCTCGAAGCCACCAACCGCCGCTACAGAGAAAGACTCAGACGAAGAGATCGACACGCGTGGCCTACTGGAGAGGATGAAGGAGACTGTTGAGGGCATGAAGCGGCGCCGGAGCGTCGTCCTTGGTGGGGCAGGTGGCGTGTTGGCTACCCCGCAACCAGCAGCTCATGCTCATGCTCATGCAGGATCGAGAATGAGTCTTGGGCCGGGCGTCAGCACTGGTCTCGACGAAGGGTTGAGTGGAATCAAGAAACTCGATTTTACGCGTATTACACCTGCTAAGCCCCCCTTAAAGTCATCTGCTCCTGATCCTGCAACCCCTGCCACTCCGGAAGTTGCACCAGCGAGACCCAAACCTCTTGAGGCTCCCGCTCTTACCGAACAGCAAGTCAGGGACACTGAGCCCACCACTGATTCCGGTGGAGACGAACCATTCAGCCTTCTGCGTCCAGGAGCACAAGAAGAGCGCCGACAAAGTCTTTTTGCTGCCGCTGCGACTGCTGCTGAGCCTGTTGTTGAAGAAGTGGTTGTCCCAGTTGTTCTGCCCACTGTAGTTGTTGACGGAACAGTGGATGACGCCATGCAAGAGGATGAGCCTGAGGAGGAGAGGAAACCTATAGAGAAAAAGGCACGCGGAAGGTCGAGATTGTTACGAGCTCCTAAAGCCGCTGCTGAAACTCTGGATGTATCCGATGAGGATGTCGAACGAGTAGACAAGCCCGTGAAGGCAAGTAACAGATTTTTTTTTCCGTCGCACTCTAATGTATGCTAACATTTTGGGTTATACAGAGGCCCAGATCTGCTACAAAGATCACTGCGCGTCGTCACAGGTCAAGGACGCCTCAACCTCATCAATCGACGGAGGAAGAAAACCCAGAACCAGCCAAGCCAAAATCTACTGCGAGACGTACAAAGAAGGCTACTGCCGAACCGGAAGAACCCACACCTGCGCCTACTGCAACAAAGAGAGGAAAGAAGGTTGCAGTTGCGGATCCGGAGCCCGATCAGGATGACGAACCTCAAGAGGAAATCAAGGCCAAACGGGGTCGTAAGCCTCGTGCGCCTGGTACAACTGAAGAGGAGCCAGAACAGGGCCAAGTGAAACCAACACCTGCACCCGCGAAGAGAGGTCGTCCGAGAAAAGTCACGTCGTCGACTCCTGAAGAATCTTCTCCCCGAGAAGAGATGGCAGCCTCCACGAAGAAGATTAAGGCCGGTACCTCGAAGGCGACGGCTGCCGGTGCAAAGAGGCCTCGTGCTACGAGGAGCAAAGCTACTGCTGCAGAAGAAGACGAGGATGAAGACCCTCTGGATTCATACGACGTTAATGTCACTAAAGGCACCCCAAGAGCGGTAGAGGAAGAGGACAATGAGTTCGCTGACCTGCCTGCTCCGCCACCGCGTCTGACAGCTGCAAAGATGATTCCAAACTCAAGAGCAAAACGGCCACCAGGAAAAAAGCTGCTGTGGTCAAGCAGGAAGAGGACGGCATTTCCTCCGCGATGGAAGAGCCCGCAGCCCCTCTGGCCGCTACGCGTGGTGGGCGAGGTGTGAAAGCGAACACTGGCACAGCTGCTGCGAAGACCCCTGTACCAAAGACGACGACTACGGGCAAGACGAGAGGTAGAGCGAAGACACCCGCGACTGCACCTGCCGCTGTCGGTGCTGCCTCGGCCACAGATGAGAAAGAGAACACTCCTGGAGCAGGGCCAGCGGGCAGCGAAAAAGACTCGGGCAAGGCTTCTCCCGATTCGACGGAGGAAGCACCTGTGAAGGTGCGGGTGTCCAGGACGCGCACGGCTGCTGGCCCTGCTAGCACGAGGAAGACTGCAGCAGCATCGAAGGTCAAGGTCGACCCAGATGAGGAGGATGAAGGCCGTACTGTTGCAGGAGGGAGGGCAAAGGCAACAAGAGTCATGAGGACGAGGACGAAGACCGGATGAAGCTTCTCTGCCAATTCTCTCAGTGTCCTAACGATACCCTTTGTTATTTTCATTCTTTCTCCAGTGGACGAGTTCCTTTTGACGACGATTGTCTGTGAACCCGAAAGATAATGACTGACGTGTATGTGTATAGTAATGAATCTTAAACGAACGACTTTTCCCTTGCAACCGGCGCGTGAAAGATACGTACTGATGGGACCACCAGACAGCCGTATCAACTGAAAACCCAGCCAAGGCTATCGACCTTTTCCAGAGCGCCTCTGGTAGTGGGATTCGTCAGCTTGTAGCGAATTCGAATTCTTATCGACCTCCGACCCTACTACGAAGAGTTTTCGAAGTCCAGGACAAGTGGGTAAGTTAAGACCATGACTGGTCCATGAGATTACTTATTACGAGATGAGCCGTTGGGATTCTCGAATAGCATGCGATCGATATCGATTACCTGCTCATGCCAGAGCTGGCCTAGTCTCTGCCCTCCCAGGTAATTATCTACTTCCTAAAAATATTCTACATGCAAGTTAACAAATGGCGTTATCAATGTAGCCAAGTCAGTATGGGCAAGGAACCAAATTCCGCTAGGGAAACAAAAATCCTACGCTACATCGCACTGACTGATGCCGTACACTCAGCGCAGTTGAGTACTTATCACCACGCGGCCTTCTTTGTTATCGAGACGACCAGTTTTTTTTGTTGCACTATCTGTTTTTACTCCGTGATTTAAAAACTTGGATAAGACATAAAAATGTATCCGAATTTCGGGACCAATGGTACCAGCGGCTTGGACGCATATTCCTATATTCACCTACAAGATTCACGTATCTGAGGGGAGAGGGAAGCCTTACATAAATAATGAATTCGTAGAACCTCCCAAGCGGTCGAATTCATCATCACCGTCACTGTAAGACCGAGTTCTTCGTGATTCCAGGACAGGAAGAAGCACGCAACAAGTTGACGCCCTGAGGTGTCGGGAAATCGGCGATAAGGGCCTTCTGAAAATTATTCAGCAGCTAAGTATGCCCACATAAAAGGCGTCCTAGCATCTGAGGGTACTCATACTTTATCTTCCCAGCTCCTCCGTAACACGACGCGACACCCAAATTGAGTCTCAGCAAGCCAACACTCCAATGTCTTTAAACTCGCTCAGGCAGTCTCCGATGTACTTTGTCTCTGCATGTTGTGGAAATTTGCGATGTGAACGTGAGTGATTCTAACCCGCCGCATTTTCATAAAAAAATTTCCCTGCTGATCGCCATTTTCGTCGAAGGTCGCATAGTACATTTATCTATGGCGCGGTTGGAGACCCGCCGGCGAGGCTCAGCAAATCTGCCTGATCGCCGCTGTCAAGTTTACAATAGGGGCCGACCCAGTACGCCGCAGGTTACGGGTATGATATCCGTGGACTAGAATTGTCTATGCGATATATATGTAAGCATTTTTAGAACCTTCAACAAATTTAATCAGTGCGCCTTCGCACAAGGTCTCTATCGCCTGGTCGGGTAGATCATGAATTTCATTGGCTTGAATGATCGCAAGACGTTAAATAGGAGCATTTACCTTCTCGATGTCTCGTTCAGCGGGAATGAAGCAGTGTCGGAGATGTAAATCGATATCACGGAAGAGAAATGGCCGCAACATCATCTTCCTCACTTTCATATTCTGTAGTAATGTGATGGGCACGTCACAAAGGATTAGTCGAGACATTGAGAACGCACCTCAAAATTGTTGCTTGGATGACGCGTCTTCTGTCGTTTTCTGTGGCGCTGAAGATCTCAGCAGACTCTGCATCAATTTCAGACTGAAGAGGAACGTCGAGTCTGCCACGGATCGTCTTTGACTTGAAGCCTGCATCAAACCGGTTAGCTTTCTGGACGGCATTCAGATAGCAGCCAGCGTCACATACCCATGTTAAGAGCGTATCGGTTCAGCGTCTTCTTGACCAAAATCTTCCTCTTGACAAGGACAGCCAGCACCTCCAACAGGAGATCTTGCGGGATCGAGGTGCATGAAACCAGCTGGTCGAAGGACATGTTATCGCTTGCATCGTACGGCAGCAATACGGACATTTGGCGTGGGCTTGTTAGGAAAATGTACGTCTGCTTGAGGTACTTCGTATGTAGCTCGTCCCCAGAGCGGTTCCGTAACCAAGTGAATCTATGACCATGCTCAAGAAGGTTTTGTTCGTCCTTCCCCTGGAAGCGGGGTGGAATCTTAACTGTCGTACTGGTGTCCGTCTGTTGGTAGTCGTGGTTCTGCAGTGGCAACCCGCGTAGAGCCTCAGTGACCATTCTCATTTCTATACGAATCACCGGAGAGTCGGTCCGCAAGATAGCTATAGAGAAGAAACAGACGAACCGTTGGCCATACGCTGAAGATGCCTCGCGTTCTCAAACCCGCTAGCAGCCTTGAGCATAGATATCATACTGTCTTCCACCGCCTCCGAGACCGAGATGCCGCTCCTCGACCGCTTGGCAAGCCAGGACATGTAGACTCGATTGAAGACGTCCTTGTCCTCGATATACTTGAACAGAACGACCTTAAAACAATGAGGGCAATTGGGAAACCGGGCAGACGATGACGTACGAGACCCTTCAACGCATCATTTAGCTCTTCCTCGCTCGCGATTTTGTTATTTTTGCGCAAGAGCATATCCGCACGTTTAGCTACGAGCTCGGCCGATTGTCCAGACCAGGTCCGTGAGGCTGGGTTCCGATTGATGAGTTCTCTGTAGGCCCGATCGAAACTGGCGATGAAGATACCGTCTCCGTGGAACGGCCCTTTCACAATTGCGGAGTACTTGTGGAAAATCTGCAGCAGCACATCGGTGTAGGCCTTGGGAGATGGTTGCGTGCCTCTTCCCAAGCTAACTAGGCCAGAGACAGCGGCCAACCCAGCTTCGCTACGTTCCCTGAGGAAGATCTTCTCGCATACAGCTATAAGCTTCTCCCGCGTGCTCTTGTGCAGATACTCTTCGACGACTCTTTCCTCTTGCTGGAAGCATTCTTCGGCTCGCTCGAGATATTCCAGGATCGAAGTTTTCAAGAAGAATATTCCGGACTCTCGCATGTAGTATTGCTCCGAGGCCCGAAGAAGAGGAGTCTCAAAGTGTTCCTCGTACACTTCTAAGCACTCGTTTTCGAGCTTCGCGGTATCGATGCCCAACAAGACGAAGGTGGCGATGACTTTCTTCACGAGAGCTTGATCAATCGTATCGCCGACTCGATCTTGGGATATAAGGCGAATGGCGGCATCTGCTAGTCTGGTGTCTCCCTTCCGCAGGAATTGCTCCCTCCATTTTTGCAGAGCGAGCTGTTGTCTCTCAGGCGAAGTCGAAAAGGCATAGGATAGGATGGGCTCACCTTGGATATCGTTATAACTCTTATTTCTCCTTCGCTCCGTTGTCTCTGTACCCAGTTACGATCCATAACCCGGAATATACGGTGAAAGGGTCGTGTTACAACCAGATAATATTCCCACTCTGCCACATAATATCGCAGCATATCAACGCCTGTAAGCATTTGCGATTTCTGCAAGTCGCGGAGTGAGTTATGGTATCTGCGGAACAAACCCTGACAGACCTGCCATCGTGGCTCGAGGTATTGCGCAAAGTAGTCGCTAAGATTCTCGTATAGCCACAGTGCATAACCATCCGAGTCTACGAAGTTGTTAGCCAAGCGCCATGGGACCTATAACGAGAAACACACCACTGCCACGCCCAAAAAGGTTGTAGACCGCCGTGTAGAGATTGGTGGTGAGTGTGAAGGAAGGATTTTCTGGTGCGTTCATGATATTATCAAGCCCCGCCTCTAGGTAATCCCATGTTTCATCAAAGCTGACGTTTCGTGGGAGTGTCCTTGACAGGTCAATCGAGTCCTCGTGTGATGTGGCGCTTGAGGAAGCCATAGTAGGAGGAGAAGAGAGCGGAACGCACAGCCGTTCTCATTCGGTTCTGTCCAACAAGACCATGTTCCTCAGCTAGCAGTCTCTTCCAACACTACTCAAAGTAGAGCTTACAGCACAGCACAATACAGTAGCTCCATGTGCTGAACACCCAAGACGACAAGAGGGGCAACATTGTTGGGTAAAGCGTCAAGGTTGGCGTTGAACGTTTGAATGTTGAGTAGCCTCATGTCGAGACTTCTGACAGTGACACAGATGGGAAAGTTTCGGTGATAGCCGGAATACAGTCTCTCGGTGCACAGACCACAATCGTGCCACACTACCAGTACTGTACAACCAGTGGCTCTGTTTCATTTGGACCTTTACGTTGATGCTTTTGCGTCATGAGGTGCTTTCACATTCCTGAATTTCGGGCTTCCGGCTTTGAAACCCCCATGATCTGAAAGGCCCGACCTTCTGTCATGATTATACCGTGGTCCGTGGAGAGCACTCGAACCTTCAAGGAAGATAATATGATCTTTGCGTCGAGTAAGGACCGCATTTTTCCCTGTTCTTCTCTGCTACTTGGCGTCTGACGAACGATTTTTTATGCAGTTCACATTTGGATTCTCTTCATTAAAATTTCGACGATATGTGGCGCTCTTTCACAGCTTTGTTTTTTGCTATTTGACGCGTTTTTCCCAACGAAAAATGTCACGAGAACTCTTTTGCCCCAGATTCGACGTCTTATCGAGATGTACCTAGTATCGATGCACCCCAACGTCCCGGCCAAGGAAGACAGATATTGGAACTTAGACGGTCGCTGGAAAGGAATTGGGCACGATGGGCGTTAATGTTCTGGCGCTTGATTTGGTACTTTTTGGGGCGACCAACCAACGTATGGATGTAGCGACTATCAAAGAGAAGCACCAAGGTGCGTCGTCGTCTCTTCATCTCCAACCCCCTCGTATTCTTCGCACTGAATGCTGTCGTTTCCAATCAGATAGAGGCTGGAACATGACACAGGCACACTTTAAATATCTTGATGGGAGGATTCCTACTCTACGAAGATGACAGACCTCTGGGGACTCTTTCGAGCAAGAAGCTGGGTCGCCTGTTGGACCAGGGTGCAGTCGACTTCCCAACGATCACAGCGGACGAAATCGAAGAACGGAGTAAAATCGATCCACCCGCCAAAGATTTGGTTTTTCGTTCAACGCATGGCTCGCATGACCTATCACCTACGCTCGACGAGGATCGGGGTCTTCACGATTCTGTTCACCAGCTATGCCGGTCCAGTGTACTTTGCTGGTAGCACAAACTCCACAACATTTGTCTTGCCATTCCTATTCAGCTGAAAGTTGCTTTCACCGAGACGGGCGCTGTCGCGTCGCCAAGTGCACCACCATCGACCAACGGAGTTGAGGTCAGTCCTGACCACCAATTACGACCAGTACAATTGTGAGCGGTGATGTGCGTTTATGATTCCTCTCTCTAATTCCACGATTGCAGGTGTTCTTCCATCCGGATTACACAACATGGAATCCAGAGGTGGAGCCCGAGAGGAGGCCTATAGCGAACGTGAAACGACTTCCCCACAGCCTGTCTACACATCCCGACATCATGCTTCTGTGCCGTCTACTACGTCCTCGCAAAAAACTTTCCCATCATCATTAAATACCACCCCGAGCATCTCGTACAGCCAGGAGATCCCTCTGAACACGACACGCGGGTTCCAGTGAGTTCCAGTGGCGAGAAAGCGAGGTCTGGAGAGCGCTCAAGCTCCTAGGCCTACATCCATACATTGCTTTGATCGGCCTCGATAGCACCGGCCCAAAGTTGAAGATGGTGAAGCGAGAATGCACACCTACTACGCCCCAGCTGTAGGTCGTAAATGGAGGAAAATGAGTTTCACGTCTCTCTCTTTCAGCACCTCCCTGCACAAGCTGTGGATTCTGCGACCTAGGACACACCGGCGACGTTCAGTACCGAAGAGTTCGCACTGATGGCGGCTAGAATTGTCGCGATCATTTCGGCCAGCGTCATCTTTCTCACATCCCTTGTTTTTGCCGGAAGAAAGACTTCGCCTACGTGCCGGCTGCGCTCATGTTGGCGAAATTTGCCTCCTGGTGATGCTTACGAGACTGCCAGACGACACCTATCTGGACTTCGTTTCTGTCACCTTGAATCATAAAATAGATCCAGGTGGGGCAGAAATCTGACGACAAAGAGAATCCGGGCCTGGAGCTGAAACCGCGCGTTTGTATTTTTGCAACTCTGAACCCTTTGTAGCATATTTTCGATCTGAATATTTTGTGGTTTACAGCATGCGGGCAGTAAGAAGTCCTACCGCCCCAAGAAGCACACGTAGGATTGTATATGTCCTGGGTCGTCCACTGCGATTGCGTTTTCCCTTGGCCATCCTTCTATCCTAGGGTGTATGGGTATCCGCTCGCTTGAAGATGACCCCTTTCGAATGACTATACTTCTTTCGAGTGAAAGGGGGCATATACGGGGATTTAAAGGCGACCCTTTACGTCCTTCTATTCACTGACCTCCGTCAAGACGGTCCTCGTTTTTTTAACATGACCTTAAAGCCACCACACCTCGGTCCAGCACCACCCGCTAAACCATGGCGGCGACGCCTCGAGGTATATGTCGTTATCATTTGATCAATTCATTCTTCCAACTTGTGGGCCTTGTAGGCCTTGTGTTACCCTCTTTTGTGCACCGTCCATGAACCCTCGGTTCTATCAAGACACCGTTTGCACGAAGCCTTCTCGTAATGTAGAAGGCGCCCGTTTCTCCAACGATCATGTAGCAGCCCTTCTTTACTGCTTCAAGAGGCGTTATCGCTGCCTGCCTCCAAATTTTGACAACGTCCGGGTAGATCGTGTCCGTTTTGGAAGGCCATAACCAGTTTCGCGGCAAATGAACTTGTGGGCCCCTTTGGCTGATGCAACTGTATACTCCGCTAGGACCTATGACCTCTCTGCTGAACATTTACCAAAACACGAGGAAAGGCTCCTGCATCGCATTCCTACTGCCTATCAAAAACGCAGCCACTGCCGTCCCGGGATCTACCATTTTTTTCCTATCGCAGCCCATCTCTCGACTAAGCGTTGGTGCGGACCAACAGCAACCGTCTTGGATTCGTCCTCGAGGCACTCTTCTGCGATTTCTCCAGGACTGACTGATAGAAGTCTGTCACCGGCCGAGATAAGGCGGTTTAATGACCGTTGGCTCAAACTGTCAGGATATGTCATTTGTCGAATGTCTGTACCTGTGGGCCCTCTTTCGACAAGACGCCCTCTCGGGTGCGCTCTGATGGAAAGTGGCGATTATTTCGCGCCGGATTCCGGATCGTGGTGTGGGCTGTTGTTAGACTTGTCAAATGCAGATGATGATCATCCTCCTCTCTGAACACACTCGGAAGAGCTTTCGATACCTTGACTGAAACTGGGATCTGCTTGACGACTCTTTTCCCTCTAGCAACTCAACTTAGGGGCCAGCCGAGGTGATGAGGACCAACAGCGCTTACTGTGATCAAACTTGAAGCGATGATCTGCTTCACTCATCCACTAACGATCATGATCAGTGCACGTTGCACAAACGCTGTCAGAGCACCCACAAAAAGAAGGGGGGACGAAATAAGATGAAATCCGGCGGTAGTTCGATTTTGCGAGGTTCACGGTATGATTTTGACGGAGACTGCGGGATGCAATCCTCCGATTCTAAGAGTTTGCAAACGTCGGGTGGAATCAAAGCAAGAAATAGTAGGTCGAGCACCTATTTCTGGGACGGTGATGGTGGCAACCAACGGCTAAGGAAATGAGGCTGGTCTCGTACGTACACGCAAGAAGTCTGGAGAAATCCAGGACAACTCGAGTAAGCGATACTTCTCAGACTTCAATTGTTATGTAGCGCTCAGGGCTCGAAGAGTCGAACCCCACGTGGTGCATGAATGAAACGTTAAAGCTTAGTATCAAGGTAGAATACGTTTTGCTTTAATACGGAGTGTGTACGCGACAAGGTAATAGGGATTGTTGTTTGCGTCTAGAGTATAAAGGTCGAATAATAAGGATTAGTCCAAGCAATCAAGAATGAGGGGCCAGTGTTAGAAGGTGAGTAAGTGGCAACAAGTTTCTAATGGGCTCTTGGCACAGGGGTAGCGCGCACGCTTCGCAATCTGCTCAGGCAGACGAGCAAAATGCGTGAGGTCGCGAGTTCAAATCTCGCAGTGTCCACTTTTTGAAACACCTTTTGCGTCGGCCAAAAAAAAAGTCATTTGCGACCCCGAAAGTGACAAAACGGCTTTCATTTCCCTTTCATTTTACTGCCATCATCTCGCTACACTGTGAAGTGACTGATGGAATGAACCATATTGGGAAGGCACTTTCCCGTTCTCAAAGTCGGTCATGACATAACAAGAACAAGTAAAGAAGAAATGTTGATTGGAGAGCAGAAAATACAGGTGGCTACAGAGAATGGTAGTAGTAGATTGAGACAAAAAATCGCACGACGTGAGAGACTAGGTTCCTTGAAAATGACGTTAAAGTGGGTACAAGGCAAGCAGATAATCAACCATCAGACCGCCCCAAATTATCCAACCGAGTTGTCCATTGCAGTTAAAGTTGTCTAATCACGAAACTGAGATTCAGACCCGAAATTTTTGGGATGATGAACTTACGCCAACAACTGGCAGGCACCTCTAGGTCGACGGTGCGGTATTGCCACAGCAAGTGGGCCGCAAGGCCTCCAACGGAAATAATAAAGTAGCCATAGCCCTGATGATTGAAGTAGCCCGCCAGGGCGAACATCGAGAGAAAGATCAGTCCACAGCAAACGAGGAGCGGGCGAATCCAGGTGCCGAAAAGTATGGCGGTGGAGCGCACTCCCATTTTCACATCATCTTTGATGTCCTGGCAAGCGTAGATGGTGTCTAGCATATGTCAGCGGTGAGGAAGTTGTATACGGCGACTGGACATACCGTAGAGCATGGTCCACCTTGATGAGAAAGGATCACATCAGAAGACCAACATCGAAGAAGAGTGAGCATGCTCACCCCCAACAGCCAGCGATTCCAGACCCCAGGACGCTGGCGTCGGCACTACCTGTCGTCGCGACCCAGGCAGTAATAAAACCAAAGTTCATAGCGAATCCTAGCCACGCTTGGGGCCAGTGCGTGCATCGTTTAAGGAGGGGGTAAATGGCGAACCTATAAACCATGACGTTCAGCAAATAGTGCCCTCGATCGTTTCCATCCGCGCGCACTTACAGCGGAAGAAGTTGGAAGAGAGCAACCCAAAGGCTGCGGTCAAACTATAAGTATTTGACTGCAGCAGTGAAGTAAACGAGACTCACGCAAGACCCTGTACAGTGGAATAGAAGAACGCTACGCCTATCGCATATTGTAGCAGTAAATATACAGAGGCTGCAAAAACCGAGATACGTCCACTTGCAAGGGGTCGGTTTCGCGTTCGCTCTGAAAAAAAACGGTTGGCGAGATCCAGATCTGGAACGTGTAGAAGAACGCACCAACGCCGGCATCCATCTTGCGGTCGAAAATATCATTTATCGTACACGCAGAGCTTCGTAAAATAAAGGCCCCAACGAAACACTTGAAGAGTTCGAACCCATAGGAATTGATCGGAAGGCCGGTACGGTAGGCGGCCATTGTAAGACCCCATGCTATAGATAAGATATGTTAGTAAATGAAGGGCAGGGGCCGACGAAGCTTCTTACCGAACGGCCAGAACATAAGAATCGTTCCTGTGGGCTACGCATCGTGGATTAGAGTACTGTTAGACCTATTGAGGGATGGACTAACCTTCTCGAGTCTGATAAGCTCAAGGTAGGGTCGCAAAGCAACTGGCGCCAAATTCAGCGGGAATTTCGGAGGGGGAGGAGTTGGCTTGGAATGAAGGAGGAGGGTCGTTTCGTCGTTCGTTTGGCCCATGACGTCGGAGGTGATGATACAATAATATGTACAGCGAAGGGGAAGAGGTGAGAGAGGGCCCTGAAGCAAAGAGATCCATCCCAACTAGATTTTATATGTTTCGAGGTGTCCCCACGTGTAGATGGACGAACTTAGCAAAAGGGGAGAAGATCTTCATCTTGCCATCTTGTGCTGTGGGTGTCGCTAGTGCTGGATCTGCTGTCGCTGAAGGCGGAGGCCGGAGGAGGCCCGTAGTCGACAATCCTAGCGGGGTTGGGCAGGCCTCATGGAATCCAGGTTTTCGAGTTTTCATAGAAATCCTTCATGCGGTAGCTGATCCTGCAAGAACCCAACAGGTTAGGCCGAGCCTTACGTCGCCACTCGAAGTGGGGCAAGGTACCACTATTTCTTCCACTTCAGATAAACGAAATCTTCATCTGATCCCGGATCCAAAGCCAACTGTTATTAGTGACGCGTCGACCAAAGAAAGATGTTTGAACCCACACGTTCAGAAGGATGGGCGTCGTTCATGGGTGTCTTCATTGACAGGGAAATCCCGTCAGGCCGATGATGGTCATAAAACACGTTGCAAAAACAGTGCAAGAAGTCTGGAATGTCCCAAGTACTTCCGCAGACTTGCCGGCCCACGTGGGGCAGCTGGGAGGCTGCAGGATGGTATGTCGCGATTACATAAGTATCTCTTGCCCATGATTTCGGCTCCGCACCTGATTATCTATTTGTAAACGCATCATCCACGCGCTCTCGCCTATGACGCGAGCCTTCAGTCCGCGCGATGCGCACAAGAAGGTGCAAGGAGGAGGCTGTACGATGCGGTCAAGAGACGGGCGATGGTGAATAGTCCGAGTGAATAATTACCGGTATACCACTGATTAAAGACACGTATTCAAGAAGGGGTCAGATCTAAGCGCGTGAGGTACCCGACTGGGACACTTACCTCACACTTGCCCTCAGGACGCTTGAGGAGCTGAAGCTCTGAAGGCCCATCCGGACGCGCAAATTCCCTTGAAAATTGTTGACGGTTTGACGACACATATGTGAATAAGAGGAACGTTTTATTCTGTGATATTCAAATCTGGGTTAGTGCATATTCGCAATAGAAAAGACAACGGTGGCAGTCAGGATTCATCGCTGACAATGACATACCGCATGAACATTCGCACTATCCGAACTCCTACGGGAAGCAAGTGGTTAGAGCGAATTATTCTACTGCTGTTTGCATACTTGGCCGTTCCATTTGGCTGTGGGCGCTTGATGGCAAAGAATGTGCAACCTATACGCACCATACCTTTCAGGAAGTGCTCAGTCACTTAGCATCGTCAGGGTTTGAGATGGCGTACCTTATGCACTGGATTTTTAGTTACCGACGTAAACGACAGCGCTTGACAAGTCTGAAATGAACCTATGAAGTGTGTAGACACCAACTGTCATAGAGAAGTCATGTTTCCAGCTACATAGCTATGTATCCCGAGATCAATGAGAACTACGCTCAGAATGCTTGGGTGAGATTTCCCGGGCGCTTTGATAGAGATGAATCCCAGGATTCATCGGGTTAGGTGAGGAATATGAGTTCTCGGCTCCACTTGAGGCTTCATGGACGGCTCCGCGGGATAAGTCGACAAATGCTCGACGTGAGCTTTCAGATGCCTCGATCAGTGACCATACGCACATCATTTCTGGGCAGTCTGGAAGAAAGATGGGTGTAGCGATATGCGAACTGTGGAATGTTACGAGAATACTTCCTTGGGATGCGGTCAGATATCGCGACGGAAGACGATTGTCGACTCCTAAGAGTGGTTTGTCGGTCACTCACCCTATAAATGTCGTGGTCCTCCAGAACCTTCAAAACGGCGGTTAAAAGCATCGTTGACAGAGGTGCCTTCAAGAAACGATAGACTTACTCGAGATGAAGTCCTCCCCGGAAATCTCGGGCTTTTTGGCTAGAAGCGAGGCTGCATGCGTCCAACACCCATCCTCTTGAATCGGATCTGTTCATGTCGGCGTTTAGAAGCAGGATTGAATCATACGTATGCGATCCAATGGCTGAGAATGGCCATGGCATTACTGCCCGATTGTCCTCCCACTCAATGGAAAAACATATTACAATGCGATTCGTCCAATTCAAAGAATTGCTGTTAGAGAGGTAGGAAATCAAAAGGATGCAGCACAAGACTACTTGATCCGCGAAGCGCGTGTACGAGTTCTGGCAGGGGGACGAACTTTCTTGGAGCGCATTGCTGGTACGAGAAGGTCGGAGTTGTATTGCGGGTTGCTCGGATACGGGATAAATAGTAGAACACTTATTGACAGTCCAAAATCATATTCTTCTATCGGCGATTTACACTCCCTCTAAACGGCCTGGGGTCCGTTTTGAAGGTTATCTTCTCGTCGCATATAGTGAGGAGAAGTGGGAGGAGTACCAAATTCAGCGGCCTTAGGATATGAACCATCACTGTCGTTCTGGCTTTGAGTCGTGATTTTGATAGTCACAGGGCGAAGCGGATGCGCGTTGCCGGAAAGACCTGAGCGCCGATATGAGGGTACTGAGCTTCCTGCTCCAGCTCTATGTGCTCGAGTTACGATCATGCAGAAAATGATCCCCTAGGAGCCCGGAATGTTTTGTCAGTTGATCAAAGAACAGAAGCACTGATAAATAAGTACTTACGATGATTGGGTTGGTCTGTTTTAAAAACGTCCTCGTCAGTACTTATACCTGTCACAGAGTGAATTAAACGTCTTTACCACAGCAACCATCGCGTATTGAGTATTGGATTCCGCAACATAGGTCGCCAACGACAGGATGACGCAGCAGCTGCGCGAACATTCAGCATCGGAACGAAAATGCGCACCCGTACAAACCTGTAGAGTGCTGCGCTTTCGACTAAAATTTCCATGATTTTCGACATCCCCAAGTTATCAGTTTTGCCTCTTCCCAGTTTGCGATTGGTCATAAATATTTTGAAGGCAATGAGGACTAGTTCTTGGTCATGAGTGAGCGGGTCTCTCGAACGCCGGAGAACACCCACAAGTTGAATAAAAGTTACAACTAGTAGTGGAAGAAGTCATGAGTCAACTGGAGCGTAGAGGGAGATCGTCTCTTACATGAAGGTGAGCACGAAACACGAGGTAATCCACGCTCCGGCCGTAGCAAAAATGGGTTCCGTGGATTGAGAGAACAGGTAGGTAACCATCGAGCCGGTCACTAGAAATAGGTTGTCAGCAAGGGAGTGCACTGGAATATTTCAAGTCGATTTACCAGCCAGAGCGGTACACAGAATAATGGGAGGAATGATAATGTATTTGTTCCTCGACCAGACAATATACAGACGGTAGATCTAGAATGAAATAACCTGTTATCAACAAGCACTGGTAGCAAGGCTTTTGACGCACCATGAACATATCACCAAGCAGTGTAGTCGAGACGTAAAATGCGGAGCCTGCAACCGTCTTCGGGTCCGCCAAAGTCAAGTACACCGTCTCGGCGGGATTCAGAGAGAACGCTTGGACGGTGTACTCGACATCTTGAGGGAGGATGAATGCTTGGAAAGCCGTCAAGAAGTCCATAAGCCAGTGCTACATAGCGAGGAACGAAAGTACCGTTAGAATCGAACGAACGCCCGGGGAACACAGGAAGGGTTGACTCACACCGGTGATAGTAATAAATAATGCGAGGCCAGTGAAAGTCATTGGGCGGAAGAAGCTCTCGTGTCGGGCCTTCGCGCGACTCCAGAGGGCCTCGACGGCTTGAACAAGGAGAACCCAAAAAACGCCTAGTGTAAAAAGCGGGACAGGAAAGGAAAGGCGAAAATCAGGTCAGCGCAACGTAAAGAAAGGGTCATAGAAGTGGAGCGAGTAACTTAGGCGATCGATTTCATCGATAAACTCACCATTGCAAGCCGTCTCGAATATCAGAGCCGCAAGTTGGCTGCCGTCCAGGCGCGGTGTGTGGTCTCTCGGTGACATCAGTGGCAGTGGAAGAAGACCTGGAGGGCAGAGGGACCGAGGTGAGAACGAGTGTGGGTTATAAAGTCGACACTTCCTTGTTTGTTCTGCCGCAAGTAAAACGGCGGAAACCCACACGGTCTTGCACCTGACAAGGGACCATCTCACGGAAAAGATTCCCGAGAGAAGTCAGTGATAGACACTTTGGCCATGGAATAATCGGATGTGAATCAGCGTCTGGCCGATCTGAGATAGACTTCCATGGCAAGTCCTGCACGACATTCGAAGTGTGCCCTCGCATCATGTCCGAGAAAAGGAAAATGAATGCAGATAGGAAGAGGCTTTCAATGATGCGCCTGTGGTTCTTTCGACCATCCTTGATCAAAACAAACGGAAGCCTGGCCCTCGAGACTTGCATAAACGGAGTGAAAGATTTATCTCGTGAGCTATAGTCGCAGTTTGCAGAAGCAAACATCGCACGCGATGTGGTCTTGATGAGAAACGGTTGACAGAGAGTTGACACCTGTGGGAGACAAAAAGTCGATTTTCCCAAACACAGACTTGGCACCGAGATGAAACGGTGGTGGTCATCGATCAACAGCGTGCGCCGCTTGCCCCACACTGGCGCACCGAATGGTTGATCGAGCGAAGAGGGAAGATAAGACGAATGAACAGGAACTGCATACAACGTCGAACAACCGCGATCCTCAAAATCTCTGAGTAGAAAAAATGAAAACGCACTGGTTGCATGGAGTCCTAGATCAGAAGCAACGTTTGAGCGGGCAACAGGGCTCCCGCGGCAATGTCATCTTAGAAGGAAGCAGATTAAGATGCGACGTCGACACAAGGTGTTGAGACTCTGCGTTGCTCGGGAATACTAAACATGGCCTGTTCAAAGAGTAAAGGGTACACCATAGGCGACGTGCGATAAGCGGACGACTTAGGTCGCATCTCCGAAATATTCTTCCACCAAAGCTTTCTTTCGGAGGGTCAGTAGAATGCTCTCCATTTCGGCGTGTGACGGCAATTTTGGAGGTAGAAGGTGGTCGACTTCGAGGAAGGAGATATACGCGGCGGCAGCTTGGGCGTGTATCCGCGTCACGTCCGTATCCGAAGAGGCGTCCAGATTGGTGGTGATTGAAGGCGTTGCAGTAGGCGACGTCTTGGGCTTCTTCGACTCGTCGGCGTCCATATCCATGTCTTCACTTTGGTCGACAGCCTTACGCTTAGAAGAGGACGATTGGGGGTGTTGAGTATCATGTTTTGTTTCCCGTACGTTTGCTACTGGTCGGGGTAGCGGCGGAGGAGGGTCATCTGTCGGTAGACCTAGATTCTCCCGTAAAGTATTGTACGCTTCCTCCCAATCTGGCATTCAGGATTAGCAGGGTCGTCAATGGTTGATCAGGGACGACATACCCTCGTCCTCTACTTCTCGTTCGTATGCCAACAGCTTGCCATCAACTTCATCCAGATCGCCATAATAACTCGGTCCCTGGTTCATAAACTTGTTATAGTATGCAAGAGCTTGGTTTTCCTCTTCGGCCTCCTTTCTACGGCTTTGGAATAATTCACGAACGCCAGGAAGTTCTTTCGCTCGTCCAAAGTATCTAGAGTCGCATTTCGATTAGCTCCCCTTTTTTCCAATAAAGGATTGAAATCTGCGCACTTGTATCCCTTTGTCCCAGGAACCTCCTTTCCATCGTCGTCTAACATCGCCACATTTCTCCGGTAGTTGGCACCACCCAGCGCCACGATTTGGTTCTCCCAATGCCGCTTTTCACGCAAAAGCTTGTTGATTTCATCGTTCAAGTCACGGACCTCGTAGTCCGACAATCCAGCTGGCAAAAGAATGTGATTGACACCCAGTCAGATTTGAGGCGCAGAAGTATAGGTTTCACGGCATACCGTCTTGAATTTTCGACACCTTACGACTTATCTCTCTCAATATTTCTCCTCTCCACCTCTCGCAGTCTCGTAGACTCTTGCATGTGGCTGCCGTGCGCGGTCGTCTATCAGAACGCGTTCCAAGCCCAAGCTCTGCAGCCTGCGCTTCCCGGAAACGGTACAACATGGATTGGGCCTTCTCCTCATTACGGGCCTGTGGAAAATTATCAGAAAGTCCCTCTCAGAGAAATCAAACTACCACTCACCATTTTGGCAATCTAACGACGTGGACTGAAGCTGAAGGTGGTTCTGGATGAGAGTTTGGTTGAATACCGCGACAGCAGTTTTGTTCTCACCTAATGCTTATATAAGACAATCGTTCCGAGTCCTGCTTCACGCCGAGTCACGGTCGTCACTACTTACGGCCCCAAGTCGAACCTGGTCTTTAGACGGGATTGCCCATTCAAGGTAAGCGAATCAGCATTCTGGTGCTTCGCTCATTAATCCTGCCAGACTTATCTTCGGTTCGACAGATACTTAGCCTGTTCAAGACGACATGGCGCCAAAACTCGAGGACGTAGAAGAAGGTATTTCCACAAAGGAGACAGTCAAATTCATACTGAAATGATCGCTCTAGAGCAACGTCACTTCGCTAATGTCGTTAACACTTTTCGTAATTATGCACAATACACGGTATATCGCACTCCTTTCAATCTCTCGTCCGTTTATTAACTTTGTCGCGTAGCTCTCTGCCAACAATCGTCGACGGAAAGACATCTACAGACTTCCCCAGGCGGATCAAGAGCTTCTAGGTCAATTGGGTTACAAACAAAAACTCGATGCTGCCGATAAGGCCATTCTGGCCAATGCAGATTTTCTAGCGAAGATTGTCGAAGACACCCAGATGTTTGGGGACGAACCTAACAGAGAGGACGCAGAGAATACTTTTGGAGAGATTAACCCGTACAATTCGCTCTCCCATGACGATGATCTGGGTAGTTTAAGCCATTCCAGCGGTATTGTTTTGCTAAGTTATCGAAGACAGGTCAACCTCATAATCATTCCCACTCGGACTCTCATTCACATGCAGGTGCAAGACATGGGCATGGACCTTCTCAACCTGCACGAAAATTCAGACCTGCTGAGTTTGATATGGACAAACTGAGGAGTACCTTGAAACAGTTCGTACGGGATTGGAGCGAAGAGGTTGGCTGTGTCACCAGTTTACCGTCTAGCATCTCTTGACCTCACTTTTAGGGCGAAGCTGAGCGAGAAGCGTGCTACAAACCCATGAAAGATGCACTTCTTCAGCATTTTGCCAATGCTACTCATGAAGAAAGGTTTCTAGTTCTTCGTCTGTGTGTCCACATTTTCCGCTTATTTCCCTTCTGATAGACGCAAATTGAGGGTCCTTGTGCCTGGTGCAGGACTAGGGCGCCTTGCATATGACGTTGCCAAACTAGGTGTTTCGAGTTCTTTATTTCATCTCCAGAATCTCACATGTCATGCAGGATTCGTATGTCAGGGGAACGAGTTCTCTCACTACATGCTGCTATCTTCCTTTTTCATCCTCAACAAGTGTGTCTCTTTGGCAAACACTTTCTTTCTTGTGTTCAATAACCTCGCACTGTTTCCTCAAGGACCGATGGCGTCAAGTGCCACACATTCTATCCCTATGTGCACTCGTTTTCCAACGCGCCAAACAAGGTGTCTATCCTGCAAGCCGTATCAATTCCAGATGTTTCTCCGTCCGACTTGCCAGCCGGGTCCAATTTCTCTCTTGTTGCCGGTCAGTTAACAGAAGTTCGTCAAAGACCTTCTCGCCCGATCTCTCCGCATCTTTACAGGCGACTTCGAAGAAATATATGGTACAGAGTCTGATCCTGATGAACCCCAACACGGCCAATGGGACGCCATACTGACCTGCTTCTTTATCGATACGGTAAGTCATCCATGCCACCACCCATCATTCTACTCGTCGACCTCGGTGTATCAGGCTAAGAACATCGTTAACTACCTTCGAATAATTCATCGCATTCTGGCTCCAGGTGGTGTATGGATTAACCTCGGTAAGTCGTCCATGTGTGGCCGTGTTGTCTCGACTCTACTCCTTGCACATTGCTGATCTCATCCTGGGTTTACAGGGCCGTTATTATGGCACTGGGAAAACAACACGTCGAACGACCCCTCCGTCGAACTAGATCTGGAAGAACTAAAATCCCTGGCCCGCAGGATCGGTTTTGAGTTTTCGGTGAGAGGTTCTCGTTGATTGAGCAACTAGAGCCGAGGAACAATCTACTCAACCCTGTCTCTTAATTATGTCTCGTGGAGCGCAGAATGAAAGGACCATCGACGCGACATACACGAACAACGCACAGAGCATGTTGGGATACGTATATCAGTCGGCGTTTTGGACAGCGACGAAGGTCGGGTAGGACGTTGTACTCCTGCCTCTTGGCTTCTCAATACAGGGTTGCTACCCAGTGCGAAATAACACAGCTTCTGTCGCTCAAAGCAGAAAGGAACGTGCCCGGAATCTGTCCTCTCAGTCTGACTGATGTGCCCACAGAAGTTACCCGTCCATCTCCTTGAGGTCGAGTCGAACTCCATTTGTCGTTATCTTACCGATGACCGTGGCGAGCCTTGCGAGTTCACATGCAGCTTTTCGCTCCATCCTTGCAAGAGCTTGCAAGTCGCATCTCTCTCTGAGTTGAGCGCCTCCCTAGAACCCTATCATCGAATCACATGCTTTCGACAGTCGCCTCCTCGCTTTACGTTGGATGTCAGTCTGGCGTGCATACTGCATTTCCCAAAGCCCAGACCGTCCAACAATTGCCAGAATCTAGGCTGTCTCTACCTTCTCATTTCTCTTCCTTTCCTTTTCCCTATCTTTGATCTCTTGCTTCGCCAGCCTCAGTCTCTGGCTTTCCTTGATTCCAAACCCAGTTCTAAAGACCATTTTAACCTCCTCCAAACTTAACCCCGCCGTCTCCGGGAAGCAACACAGGACAAAGAGCCATCCGAGGAGGCAGAGGCCTGCGTAGAACCCGAACGCACCGGCGGGCGTGATAGCTGCCATCAACGATAGATAGGTTGATCCGATGACCAAGTTGCCTGCCCAGTTGGTGGCGGTAGACAAGGAAGTGCCGATCCCGCGAACTGTTGGACAGGTAGGAAGGTAATAGTAGGAGCCCGAGATTCATGGAATGGGATGGGATGGAGTGGGCATCGATTGATATTGATGTCAGATAGGAGTTTCGAGGGAAGGTAAGAGAGAATTAACCCACCTTCGAGTCCAAAAAGCTCGCCCTGTTGCCATGGGACATTTCCGAGGCCAGTCGCGTACGAAGCTACGAATACGATCATGGATAGCAATACGATCGATGACCAGGCTCTGGAGTATTCCGTCCCATCTATCAGATTGCCGCTCGTTTTCTGGGTCATGACTATATTTATTGTTCTCAGTAAGGACTCCAGTGACAATTTGAGCTGTACTCACAATGGAAGGCGATACTCGCGAATGTCAAGCCTACTATCATACCCGGCGCGCTCCACACCATAATCTTCCTCCTCCCAATCTTGTCAATCCACTTGAGAGCTACGAGCGTGAAGATGAAATTCGTCCCAGAGATAATAAGCCCGACGGCCGTCGGCTGGTCGAATCCTATCTCCTTAAACAGCGTGGCGGAGTAGTACATGAGCGTGTTAAACCCGCATAGTTGTTGGAAGGCTTGCATCCCACACCCGACAACTGTCAATGCAAAGCGCTAGAAGGTCAGAAACTATGGAAGGCCAAGTGGCAGAGGTAGACCTGAATAGACGTACTGAGCGCACGTCTGTTGACGGGGTTGAATATCATGGAGCGGAAACGTTGCAGGAAGGTAGTACTCTTTGTAATCTCTATACTTTGGTGTACAGCAGCTTGAAGAACTTTGACCTATTAACGTTTCGATATTCAACACTCCGAAGTTAACTTTCAGAGTGAAGACTCTCTCACCTTTAGCTCCACCTCCTCGAGTTTAGCATACGCATAGATCTTGGTCATGACCCTGTGCGCGCCTGCTTTATCTCCTCTTCGCACCAGAATCCGGGCTAAGACACGTTGTCAGTGCCTGAGTCGAGACTTCAGCTATGCATACCTACGGCTTTCTGGCAAGAAGAATAGGAAAAATATTTGGACTCCTGCAGGTACAGCACCCAGGCCAACCATCCACCGCCATCCACCACGGACATGGAAGAAGCCTGCCCCGATACCATAGGCAATGACTTGTCCTAATGTGATCATAACAACACTGATACAACGTTATTCAATAGAATGAAGAGAAATGCAAGTACGTACTTCAAGACGACCATTCTTCCACGGAGCCGAGTCGGTGAAAGCTCCTGGATGTATAAGGGTGCTATGCACGCAGCCAACCCGACACCAATTCCGATAAGAAAACGACCACCAATCTGCATATAGAAATCAATCGCTGCCTCCGAGGGAAAGTGAAATGACGCACCATGCTCCATACGTCATGGCATACGGCTTGAGCAATTGCTCCTCCGATGAAAATTATATCTGCGATGCCCAACACCAATCTCCGGCCTGTCCAATCTGAAAGAACACCGGCAACCAATCCGCCCAACAAAGCACCCAAAGTTGTCGCTGATGTGATGAATTCCTGTCTTAAAGGTCATCATCAGTTGCTCAATCCCGAAAAGTCTTTGCTTGCCTTCTGTCCATTAGAGAGTACTTCAGGCCCTAAATCCGACCCGATCGTAACCAGTGCACCAGATATCACCCCAGTATCATAACCTTAGCCACCGTTAGCTCCAAGTTGACACAACGAGGGCGGCCACACACACCAAAAAGAAGCCCGGAAATGGTCGAGCACGCCACTAAGATCCAGACGAACCAAGTGGTCTTTTCTTCACCTTCTGCGACGACCGATAGCTCGTTGATCTCTCCCGAATCGATGTCCCGGATGACGTCCTTCAAGGAGTTGACCTCGCTCACGCTTCCTTCCGTCAACGCCTTCGTGTCCTTTCGAGCGCCTTCCGTCTCTGAGGCGTCCATATTCGTAAGAGGGGTATCGTGCGTTATCGTCAATCGTAGGTCGTGTAATGGGCGATGTGGGAGAGGAATGCAGGAGGAAACCGAGTTTTTGCTTCCTGCCCGGGTCATAAGAGCAAAAAATAGGCTAGTATGGGGTTCGAGAAGCCCTGAAGAAGCAAGCACTAAAATATGCTTGTGTGGTCCTGATGTGAAAAAAACCCCACAGAAGCACACGTAGCGCCTTCTTCAGCGGGGGTGGGGTCCGGCGTATAGATACGTTGGGACCTGTCCCGCCCGGTGGATTAGGAGCTGCATAACGATGTCGAAGAATTTTTTTGGAGGAGGGGATAAAGATAAGTCCGTTCCGGTCTGCGTCCTGCCGATGCCTCGCTTCCGCGAGCGGATACTCAGAAGACCTCGTGGTTGTTGAGAAGGCCAAGGATAGACCGTTGAATGCGGGATTCTGAAGGCTCCCAAGATCTTCGAAGGGTTTGCATTCAGCTCCTGGGATGTTGGATGGTGTTCGAGGATAAGGTCAGTGTCGTGACTCTTTAAACGGGCCGAGAAACTACAAATTATGTCATCGCCAAGCAAGTCTTAGTACCACCCCACACATGCACGTTAAAGGCAGCATGAGCAAGGTGTGACATTCAGAGGCAATCAGACTAGGTTTTTTATAGGCCTTGAAACTAAAACTAAGTAGTAGAGCTCTAAAGTCATAGTATTGCGTTAATGGAAAAAGTTCTTGGAAATTTCACCAAGGTTTTATTCGTTACACATCTTCAAGTTTCCTGTTATAAACTCATAACGTTGGCACCGTCGGAGAAGTAACAGTATATCAATCCTATTCACTGGAACTTGATCACAATCCAAATATTCATAGTCATCTTTTTGGCTTAATGCCTGGACACCCCTGGTGTTCAGGTTCTAGGTTATGGCCGATTTCTTAATATAGTAATGTATCCTGAGAAATAATTTCCTTCTTCGTTCTGACTCGACGTGCTGGTAATACATTGACGCCTCAGGGTGTATCGAGGGGCTCTTGTTCGTTTTCATAAAGAATGACGGAATTAACGCCGACTGCCGAGGCGTCAAAAGCCGCTAACTATGACATCGCGCCTACGCGCGAGGGCACATTTAAGGCGTTGGCGCCAGACTTCGATTACGATTTTTTGTTTCTCGGAAAAGGTTCCCCCACTTGTCAATGAAACTCCAATCTCGCCGTGTCCAGGCCTGCCCGGAGGGCTATATAACGGTATACTCTAGAGCTCAAAGAAAACCGGTATCAGATCGATTTCCACTCTTGGCTCACTTCGACTTCCTATCATGCTAGAACAACAAAGGTTATATGTCTACTAGCCGTCTAGCTTTAATTTTTGTAATAAGTAATCCGTGTTTCGGAGGAAAAAAAAGACGTGATATTATTAGGCGCCGAACTTATTAGCGCCCGCCATATGGCTACTTCTCGGCACGAACCTATTAGAAAACAGATCCGTGAATGTTATACATTGTAGTAATGCATTCTAATGCATTCGATCAGCGTCCCCTAAAAGGTGGCGTTACTTAAATCTATCCAAAAGTTCAAAACTCGAAGCTCGAAGCTTAAGAACTACTGAAGTTGATGATCTGGGTTTTGCTGATTTGTCACTAGGAGTAAAATTGTTAAATGATGTGTTCCAGGAAGGGCCGAATGGGCGACAGAAAAGCCACGGTTTCATGCCAGCTGTCCTGGCATGATACTACAATCCCATAAAAAGGCTTGGGGCTGCATGGGCGTCTCCTTGCATGGCCATACACTCGAGAATACAAGGCAATTTCCAGAATAACATTCCTTCGGGCGAACCCACAACAACCCTTTCTCTCATTGTCGCAACATTTTCGTAACGGAAGAAAAGTATAATAGCCCCTATATGGACGTAACTTTAGTCAGCAAGACCAAATAAGTCAAGAAAAGGCACTGTTGACACTGGCAGGTTTCGCAAGTTGGTCCTTGTTCCATTGAAGCCCGTCACCACCAACGACGAGCGCGCCTTGACGCTGAGTAGGCCGTCGTCTACGTCGATAATCACCATGCGCTCCCGACAACGACTGAGCTGCATGGGGTTTGTCCGCCGAAATAGTGGATACATCTTCATGTTCTGCGTCCTCTTCCTCTTCATGCAAGTTGGTTTCCACAGCGGGCGGAAGCATAGGCCAAAGGTCGAGCGACCGGTGCTCGTGCCTAACGCACCAGAAAACTGGATTCCGAGCACTCTACCGTTCACGGACGACAGGAAGAGTGTCATTGACGAGCACCCTATCCCGAGGCTCATGGAAGAGGCGGAGGCGAAGTACAGGAATAAGCTAGGCAGTCAAAGCAAGACGCTCAAGGCAGCGGTAGCGGAATACAAGAAGCGGTATGGGCGGCCACCCCCGAAGGGCTTTGATGAATGGTGGAGTTTTGCGCAGAAGTACGAGGTGAAGATGGTGGATGAATACGACGGGCTCATGTCCGACCTGAAGCCGTTCTGGGACTTGCCCGGCGAGGAAATTAGACGGCGAGCGGCGCAGGTGGGCGAGCTGCCTTCGATTGACCTGGTGCGGATACGGAATGGAGTTGCGGATGTCATCAATGTGAAGTCGTTCAAGGACAGCGAGGTGAGCGCTCGTGCGCGAGGTTTCAGGAGTATGATGGGCAAGTTTTTGAGCAAGGTGCGTATCCCGCTTACTTTATTCTGAACCCTACCGAAGATGCTCTAGTTGCCTGACATGGATTTCCCTGTTAATGCTCTGGCCGAAGGACGTGTGCTAGTGCCTTGGGAGCACCGTACATATCCCAATCTCACAAAGCAAGATTCTTCTCAAGGCGTCGAGTCGATGCTGGGTGGTCCATTCCGGGCAGACTGGGGCGACGACGGGAACGTATGGGAAGCCTGGCGGCGCACATGTAGTCCATCGACGTCGGCACGACGGCTGTTCTCCTCCCTCCGCACACCCTTCATCGCTCAGAACAAAAATCACTTTGGGACAAAGGCCGTCTCGCCGGGCTCAGCGTTCAGCTTCGTCGAAACGACATCCTCAAACACCGACTACTGCCAGATGCCGCATGCACACTACCAGCAGGGCCACTTCTTCTCAGACTGGCGCTCTATACCCGCGCTCTACCCCGTGTTCAGCCCCGCCCGCGCGAAAGGGTTCCTCGACATCCGTATTCCGAGCCATTACTACTATGGTAGCACACAACGGTACACGTACGGGTGGGACTCGATCAACTTGGAGCTGAAGGACGTCGACCCGATGGAGGTGGCCTGGGAGGACAAGATCGACAAGATCTTCTGGCGCGGGGCAACAACGGGTGGCGGCAGCCGTCCGCCAGGATTTGCGCCACAATACCAGCGACACCGCTTCCTCCGCATGGCGTCCGACCACTCGAATACGACACGTGTTGTAACGTTTGCGGACCCACCGTCGTCGACAACGAAGTGGGTCGCGGCGGAGGTGCCCGTGGGGGAGCTCAATGGGGAGATCATGGACGTGGCGTTCGTCAAGGCTGTCTCAGCTTCCGCCTACCCTGGTGGACTTGAAGCACTACGGAGGGACCACCGGTTCGGCGACTCGGTCCCACTTGGGCGTCACTGGGCTTACAAATACCTTGTTGACCTGGATGGGATGAGCTATAGCGGGCGTTTCCTAGCGTTCCTTGCGAGTGACAGCGTTCCCATTAAGTCGACCGTCTACGACGAGTTCTTTACTGATTGGATTCAACCTTGGTGCGTCTTGGTCCAGAATTAAGCGTGTATTTCGTATTTATGCTCTTTATAGGGTCCATTTCATCCCCCTCTCGACGTCTTACAAGGAAATTTACAACATCCATGCTTATTTCTCCGGTGCTCCCAAGGCAGCACTCCAGGCCATCAATTCGACTGTCGCCAATTTGCCAGCGGACCAGCGGATATCGATCGAAGGTGACAAACGTCTACGAAGAATAGCAAGAGCAGGAAAGCGGTGGAAGCAGACCATAGGTCGTACTTTGGACCTCGAAGGTGTGCACCTTACCTTCTCTATTACATGGCGAAGCTAAATTTTCGTTTCAAGCGTACGTATACCGACTTTGCCTCGAGTGGGCGAGACTATGGGCCGACGACCGAGATTCGATGAATTTCACGGCCTGATGTCCGCAAAGAAAATGCACTCGCAAGCATTCTGTTCTGAATACTTCAAATGACCATACACCACCACCTCACCCGCCTTCCTTCTCGATTGTTTTTCGCCGAGGTTTTCCAGGTTTTCACATCACGCATCCTTGTTTGTCCGCAATTTCGTCCAACCGTCTCCATCTGTACAACCACCCGTCCACCTCCACAATGCAACCCCATCGACCAGTAATCGCACCACGGACAGTATAGTAATAGATAATCATATAAGCATGCCAAGCGTGTTATTTATTATCCTTCGAGTCTTCGACACCCGTCCACTCTTTTTGCATCACAGATTCACACTACATAGAATTTCGATTTTTCATCAGTAAGATATTTTTGATCAGACGACAGTTGTAGGGAATGTAAAGTCATGTGAGTACCTCGATTTTTCCTGGAAACTAACGGCGTTGTTCTCGTGTGCTAATCGCTTCTACACGCTCCGCAGTAATCCTATCTTGTTTTACAAAAAGTTACGGAAGAAGGAACACATGCATTCGGCACAACGTCAACCTGATCGACCAATATGCCCGTAAAGATGTCGACGTAGTTTCGGCGCTGTATCTCTACCGTTGACCACTGACCATCACTCACACCTTTCAGCATCCCACCTTTGTCAAGCACACAGATTTGTGCCGATAGGCAATAATCGAGGCAGTTCCATCATTGAATCCTGGGCACGTTGCAAGGTGCGTGTTGGATTTCTCCGGCTTCCGATGCCCTAATTCACTGATAGTACTGCTTTGAAGAATCAGATAGCGTCCAAGATACAAGAAGGCGCTTGCAGCATCCTTCATCCTTTCACTTCCATTGTTCCTGGCTGGTCGTCTTTCCGTCCTTTGATACCTCTGGCATTCCCATCCTAGCCATCGACAATGTACCAAACACCCATCCACCAGCCGATCAGCAGGAACACCTCGCCCGCTCCTGGGATCATGAACCCCCAGGCAGGATACGGTTATCCCGCTCCGATTGCGCGCCCGATCAGCAGAGCTGCGTCGCCCATCCCGCCTGGCGGCATCGCAAGTCACCGGTCACCTATGCAGCCCGATCCGCAAGCCTACGGCGGATATGGTGCACCTGTTCATGGGTACGCTGCACCCATCGCCCAGCGTCCCCTCAGCCGGGGGCCGTCACCAGCACCTCCAGGTGTTATCGCTGGCCATCGGTCGCCGATGACGGACTTCCAGGTGGAGAAGAGAGCGAGGTCGCCGAATCCTTATGGACGCACGCCCCTGGGCCAGCCGGAGCCGACGGTGTATAGGGATGAGCTAGTATATCGCGACCATGTGTCGGCGCTCATCGCGGCGAAGGACACGCAATTTGGGGTTAATGGGAGGATTCCGGTCGATCCCGCACAGCTCGTGTTATTCTTCAGGTCTAAGGTGTGTTTTACCTACCTTTCTCAATGATGATACCATCCTAATGCATTTATCATGGCTATCACAGACTGGGATTACCCATTCTCTCGACTTCCCGGTGGATGTTGCCTATAACACACCTCCAGCCCTGGATGTGCTCATTGCAGCCTGCAGGCCCCATCCTACATCCGATTACGACTCATATGGTGCTCGCGAAGGTCTTTTCTACCCAACCAACCTGCCCCTGACGGCCTCACTCGAGATCGCCAACTACCCTATTCTCGATGCTATCCGTAGTTCTCTCTTCCCGAACCTACCTCCTGGCCAATACCTCACAGCCTTGATCGATCGCCTGGACGTTGTTGAAAGCGGCAGCCACTTGACGAGGCACTCACCTGCGCAACTGAGAAACGACGAGCGCGCCGCGACGATCGTTGTCACTTTGCCAGTACGCTTCCGGGGTGGCGCGATCGTTGTTCGCGATTCGCAAGGACGAGAAGAGCGGTTCATTGGCGGAGGAGGAAAAAATGCAGACATCGACTGGGTAGCCTTGCGTGCTGACTGCACCTACGAGGTCGAGCCCGTGCAAAAGGGAATCCAGCTGTCGATCTCATATGGAGTTTTCATCAGGTCGTTTGGCCCAGCGAGCCCAAATGCAGATACTCTTGTCACCCCAACAGACAGATTCTTCGATTTATTATCGCCGATTTTAAACATGTCGCGAGGACGAACCATTGCATTCTGCCTCAATTACGACTACACCGTAAACCCGGCTGAGGTTGTGGCGAATACTGTTGTCACCCAGGTACACCTCTTCCTGGTACTTTCACTAACACTTGACTAAATACTGTCTTATTTCTTACAGTTGAAAGGTGCTGATGCCCTCCTCTACGACGCCTTCAAATTCCATAAGCTTGCTCCTGAACTACACTGGACGGCAGGTGGTTACGTCTGGCCTCAGGACCATACCCTCGAATTCTTCGGCGATGACGTCGCCCAGCGACCACCCAACCCTCGCGGGAGCCCCAATATCAACAGGTCACCCTTCGGTGGCCCTCGGGGTGGTGCTAACATCCCTCCTGTTCGGGGTGCCTTTGGTACCTACGGTGGCAACCCAACGGCGCCGTACAACAACGAGGAAGAGACAGATACCCTTCGGGCGAGGGTGGAAGGAAGTGGGGCGGTGTCTCTTGAAGCGGCCAACATTACACTGTTGACCGATTTCAATAATCCTGCGCCGACGATTGGGCGTGAGCGCGTTTATTTCGTGTCAAATGGAGAGTTGGAAAAGCTTGTGGTCAACATCCTGCTGGTGGTTTATATTCCTTGATTTTGCAGGTTGGCCGCTACGGGCGATTTTCGCATATTTCATGCCTTGTGGGCTTTTTTTTCTGGCCTCTAAGCCCTCGCATAAAATTGAACTTGTACACCATACCGTTCTATCTCATCGATGTATGATTGGTCTCGTATAAAAATAGCAGCTGGTAGTTGTAGTCTACTTCGGAGCTAGGGCTGGTCACCGTACCGTATACGGCTACGGCCGTAAAAATACGTCCGTACTCAGCGTGACAAAATCTAGGTACGGTACGGTGACGAAACAGGGCGCGTCATATCCTAGGGGATGAACTAAGGTGGGCCCGTCGGTAGTAGAGAATCAGCACTGTGCGACGCTGCGTTAAGTCCGCCCGCTCTCTCGCGGTATATCTCTCTGTCAACGGGACCCAAACAGGACCTAATTGAGCCATTTGAATAACTTCAGGAGCTTCATATAGTATAGCAATTGGTTTGTTTCCCCTAGCATATCCATGTTCTTTCACATCCCAAATGCCATAATCCATCTTGGACTCAGTATGTGGAGTCCGGACGGGCGGCCACTCGGGCCACTGCTTTGTTCTAAGAGGTCCATGGTAATTTTACCTATTTGTAGATTATGGAATGCTCGATATCGTAGATAGGCGACGAATCAAGTACTAATCTCATGACCATTTGTTCTCGCGGTAAGGCAGCGACTCTACTGAGAACTTGAGTTCATGCAGGAATTTTTGGGATAGAGACAGAAAAGCATTAAGGAGGCTTGCTCTTGAGGGCCCCTTATATATATCCTGTACCTAGACCACTTCAACATAATTCTACATAATTCCTATACTTTCCCAATGAGAGAATGTCAGAGACGAGTGTCGAAGGTTCAACCTCGGTCATCTCGGCGAGAGCAGCAGTGTTCCCGGCCCGCTGGATTCCAACAATCTCGCTGCTTATTTCAGATTTACATAGGCTGCTTCGAGCATCCAAAGTATTTCGGATTCTCGAGATCTGGGCTCTTTCTGGTAGTGCAACACCATTGCCGTATTTACGGCCGTTACGCCGTCTATGTACGGCCGTTACGCCGTCTATGTACGGCCGTTACGCCGTCTATGTACGGCCGTCTTGAAGGTGTCTCGCAGCTTAGACGGTACGGGACCGTAATTGCGTTACGGTGCCGTACCACCGTACCAGTACGGCACGGTGTCCAGCCCTATGAATCGGAGCCTGTACTGATGTTATCTCAAACTTTGAGAATGCTCTTCCCACAAACTACAACTGTGAAGGTGAATGTCAGAGAAACGGCTACGACTCATTGCCATGCTAACAAACCAGGTCTTCCTGCAGAACAGCCCCGTCCCATACGGTAACACCGTCAATTTGACCACCAATAAAACTATCTCCAACGGAAACAACGAATCGTGGAACCCGACTTGCCTTCCTGCTTCCAACCATCTCTGAACGATGGCCGATTCACAACTCAATTTCGACGTCTATTCTCATCTCCTCACTTTCGTGTCCTCTCCTAGCGATTTGCTTTCGTTTGGCCTTGCGAACAAGGACCTTTTCGAACTCGCAGGCCCAGAAATCATATACCGTTCCATACGATGCAAGCTTAGCAACAACGCTGTCTGGGAGCACCTCATCGCCAATTCAGCACAAGCATCTAGGGTGCGCGAGCTCGAGATCCAGAGGGAGAACCCATCCGGCTATGGGCCTTTGGATGAAAGAGAGCGCTTGCCTGAAGGAAAGAATTTGGATAGCTCTGGCCTTTCATCCGTCGACTATGCAGAGGTTGAGAAATCGGAACGCCTATTGCTTTCGGCAATACACAAGATGGTCAACCTGGAGTCGTTCACCTGGGATCGATGGGTGCCGGTTGTAAACCAAGGCGAAGAGGTCCAGGAGTCGAGAGAGGTGCAACCGGCGACGTATTCGGAGGATATTTGGACTGCTCTCCGAGATCATGCGCAAATCAAAAGGCTGAATGTTGTAGATCTTGGGAGATCAGAGGTTCTTTTGGAGGGCATCCGTCCTATTTTCGAGAGCACGGTAGGCAACATGTCCTTGTCGAAGTATAGCGATTCATCATTATTTGCACAGATATTCACACTAGGAAATCTTACTCATCTTGACCTCAAAATAATCTACTCTCCACTCAACGAGAACGAGGGAGCTGAAGGCGTGAATAACCACAACGACGATGACGATGACGAAGAGGAGTTATTGCCTGGACGGGTCAGGATCGAACGTCTGCAAGATCTTCTTAGCCGCTGTCCCAACTTGGAGGTGAGAATCGTATTTGCCCGCCTTTCATGCCCTAATGTTGTGGCAGACTCTCTCCTTGGCTATCCTCGACAGGAGTTTCTACTACGACTTCGACGGCAACCCATTCACCAACATCAGCTCAATCCTGTCATCCAACCCCTTACCACGTCTATCATCTCTGAAGCTACAGGATATCCTTATTGATGACGACGTTTTGGCGCACTTCATCGTTGCCCACCCCAATCTCCGCCATTTTTCTGCCTTCTTATCGATTGACGGCGATAGTCTGCCCAGCTCTCCGTTCGCCTTGGAAGGATATGAGGACGAACTTATCGATATCCTTCCCAACCTCCTCACCATCGATCTTCCTCCTGAGCCCCTTCGTATAATTCTGAGAGGGCTGAAGCGACCTTCGGTCATTCGCGAACTCAGTGTCGTCGAGCCATGCGACTGGGATGCGCACGAAGACGGCGAGTCAGAAGAGCGTGTTTCGTCTCTCGATGATGTATGGGGTGCGCCGGAAGAGAACCTTGAGTCGCCTATGGAAGGAACTCATCGCAGCCAGCTCAAGAACTTGCTCATTGACATGCCTGGGCTCCAGTCAATCGTGGTCAAGGACGTAGTAAGTCTTTCGCAGTTGGACAAGCTCTCAAAAGCTACACCAACTGTTGAATCTGTTACTTTCCGCGGCCCATTCATCGGCCACTTGGTGCGTTCTCGCCGCTTATAGACTCTCGTGAGCTTCTAACTTTTGATTCCTATATGCAGGCGAACCACCCGCGCCCACATGCAGAGCTGCTGCCATACATCGCGCGCTGGCCCCGCCTCAAGAGCTTAAGAGGCTGCCACCTGTTCGCTGGAGCATCGGTCGACTTCGCTTCGACAGATACCCTGGCAGCTGCCAAGGAGATTGCACAGGCTTGCCCTCTAGTTCGCTCAGTCTCGTGGCACGGACAGAGCGTCAAGCTTGTGCAAGCTGACGACGGCGAGGTTACATTGGAGGATAAGAATGCGTAGGAGCAATAATTTATGACCCCTTGACTGCTATTCTATCATTTGCGGAAAACCAGCGCCTTCGTGGCCGCAGCGTTAAGACAAACCGAATAAAGCTTCTGCAAGGCGGCGTTTTGCGTTATGTAGTGTTGTCGCACTAAGACAGACCGAGACGGCGAAAGGCTACTCGATGAACAATTCGTGTGCACTTGAAGAAGTCGCCGAGCTCTCATACTGCGTAGGTCCCAACAAGCTCTTCTGTTTTGGCGAACATAGAGTTCGCAGGGTTGTCATCTATGCTGAGTAGAAGAACTCCAGTAAGAAAGGAAAAGAAACGTCGAAATTGACGTCGTTGCAAACGCCTCTCGACGAGTTCGGGGTGCCTCACGGCCCTGGGGATACGGTGGCAGGCCTGGTCGAGACGATTGAAGACATTTCGCACAGTGCATCAGGATCCAAGCCAGAATCCATGTCATGAATGCTGAATGTTTGGGAAAGAGTGTACAAGAACTAAATACATACACAGGAGATAGCACAAGGTATAGTACATGTTTGGGCGGGTATAACCAATATTTTGCTGTATGAAAATGATAATGCTTGCTGGAGCCCGTGTAACCAAGAAAAAGTCAAGAACTCGAGTTGTAAAAGGAAGAAGTTGTCATCCCGGGTCAGAGAACTCATCGCAAGTCGACAATTTCCAATGCAGCGTCTTTGATTTGTACATGGCCCTTGTCAGCATCCTGTTGAAAAGGATCGTCAGTCAATTTGATCTGGGTGCACGCGACGCGGAACGAGAAAGGCCCATGCACGGTAATATGCAGGCGTCCAAGGTATGGCTGCACGGTACGCATATTTCTTTGAAGGCGACTAGAAGACGCAACGCACCGTGTAGATAGGCGTGTCAGGATGCGGATGAAACGCCTCTTTTTCAGTACATGCAAGGATGGTTTGTAATCCTGGAGGATCTGTCAAACGGAATATACCAAAACTATTATTTGGCACATTTCGTGAATAATGAAAAATCAAGAAGAAAGAGTCAAACCGTACTTCGGATTAGATTTAGGTGCACAGACAACGGCAAATGACTCCGGAAGCATGCGTTGGAAACCTGAATGAGTGTGTAGGTCAACGGATGACATGAAACATGACTGTGAAGGATGCGTGTGTATCTGAGAAACGTAGTCAGCCGGCCTGCAAAGATGACCCGTAACATAAAGTATACCCAGCCAAGAGTGATCAAGTTCCTTTCTTCTGTAAATTGAAGGACTAGCTCCTCCTCGTCCATCGTGCAGGTATCGCTCGTCGAATGTTGCTTGGGAATCAGCAGCGTCGTGACGGCAAACTTATGTCCTCTGTCCTTGCCCAGCAGCAAACCGCACGTCTCTCTGTTCATCTCCGTGTTGACCTTCGCTATGATCAAGAACCGAGGCAGACATTCGCGGGGCAGTGTAACCAGCTTCAGTGGTTTCACAGAATCGAGCTTCGGATCTGATATCCGGATGATACGGTCCATATCCGCCTGTGTCGGAGGTGCTGACTGTGGGGGTGCTGTACCGACAGGAAGAGGCGGGGGTGGTCGCGTGTATGCATTATTCGAACCTTGTGCCTGTTGTTGGCTGTAGGGATACGGAGGTCTATTGACTGGGGCTGACGAAGGGGGTAATGCGGGGTAGCTCGGTCCTGCTCGGTTCGCGTTCGACCCGAAAAGCATCGACGACCCTGTAGAATTGAAGTTGGTTGCATCTGCGAACATTGAGCCCAGCGAAGGGTAATATCCTTGTGTCTTCTGATGCGGCGACATAAGGGCCGGATAGCGAATGGATGCTTCTCCAGGAGGCGGCGAGGTCGTGGTTATAGGTGGTGGATAAGCCGGACTGCGGGCAAATTAACGGTAAACCAGACAGAGTCAGTAAGAGACAATCTGCGGTTGAAAACAGACAGACTGGCCGCTGCGCACCTTCGCATGTTCCTTGCAGGCGGAGCAGGGGGCATTCGCTGCTTGCCTTGTTTGCGATAATCAAAGTGGTGTATTGATTCAGAGTCCGTGGAGTCACCTTCATATCGTGAAGGGCTTTCAAGTGGCATGATCATTGGCGGATTGGGATGTGGATCCAAGTATCCATTCTGGCGTCCAGGTGGTTGGGAAGGTGGTTGGGGTGGTCGGGCTGCTGGATACTCGATAGTTGGAAAAGAAGGTCCAGGGGGAGGAGCTGGGATTACAGGTGGAGGAGGAGGCGCTGTGGGCGTGACAGCGGTGGTTATATTCTGGCGAGCAGCACGGGCAGCTTCCTCAGCCTCCTGCTGGAGTCGAGCAATTCCCTCCTGCTCTAGTCTTCGCTTCTGCTCTGCTTGCCGCTTCGTTATCTCCTCCTCCCTCAGTCGCATCTCCTCCTGCATCCTCTGCTGGCGTGTCATCTCTTCGGGAGGCCGGCCGTCGGATAAGACAATCGTATTGGAGGACCCGTAGCCGGTGTTTTGCATCGGTGTTCTTGAGAATGCAAGGTCGGGGCCAGGTGCAGGCTTCGGGACGTTGGCTTTGCGTGCAGTATCGGCCTCTCTCTTACGAGCTCTTTCAACTTCTTCTTGATGTAGTCGTTGTTGCCGCCACCTCTCCGCTTCTTCCGCTAGGCGCCGCTGGTCGCGAGCCCGTTCCTCCGTCTGCGCACGGGCTTCATCGTCGGCGATTTTCTGTGTTTGAGCATTCGGAGTGCGTTCATGGTCGATGCCGTCCGGATGCTTCTGCAACCACTTGTCGTATCTGTCCACAAGCGTAGGCTTGAGGTCGCTGAGGTTGTCCAGAATATCTTGACCGTTCTGTTTATAACGAATCGTGGCGTGTAACACAGAGTAAGAAGATGGACTGTTTGAATAAGATCTAATAAACATACCAAGCCTAGGTTGTGGCGCTGATTGGCGTTCAAGACGACATGGTAGTCCTTGTGCATGGGCAACTTCTCGAGCACGAGGGTCGCTGCCCGGGCTAGCTCGACGAAGGCGCCTTCGAGGTCGCCACGCTTTGCACATTCTTTTCCTTCCCGCCTATATTTCTCGGCCAACCGAAGGTAGTGCTTGAAGTCCTTGTTCTCGTCCCACAAGTCAAGCATCGCCCTGTCCGCCAGCTCGGCAATTGATGAAGGACGTTTGGCAGCAGCATTTCTGTGGTTATGGCGGCCATTCGTTGGTTGGGCAGCGTGATGGCTCATGACAGGACGGAAGAAAGTGGACGAAATCGGCGCACCAGGAAGATCTATATCGAGTCGCTGCGCAGCGACTCCAGAGCGACACTTCATGCAGGCGGTGCGTTGGTGTGTGCCCATCACGTGTCGACTAGAAGGAATCTAATCAAACTCTTGGCGGAAATGTAGATAGGGGACTTCAAATGCTTCAATCTGGAATTTGTTGTGCTAGTGCTCCACCGTCGCTTCAAGCATTTGCTACTAGGACGAAAGCGAGAAGGCACAAATGGTACTGTATAGTGGTCAAATTAGCGTATTAGTGACAAATCCCGCGAGGTAGTCACAGATCCTTCTTACCTCCGGTGTTAGAGTCTACGAAAATGCTGCAAAATACGACCGGAAGGAATGATATTCTGGACGGTAGCGCCTTTTATTCTTAAGCGTAGGTTTGTAATGATACCCTCACTCAACCACAAGCCTTTTTGCGGGATTGTAATGTTGTGGCTGTCCTGTCTTTGGAGCCGTAGAGTTTCTACTCATTCAACCGGCGTCGGACCCATGGAACTACTATGGATAGCATTGCTTGCAAGCGAGTTCAGTGCTTGGAAGATACGACTCCCGCAGTATCTTTCTCATCTGAAAAAAAGCATATGTGCCTCATTTTGCTCAACTTGAAGTGGGATATGATGGACTCACTTACCGCAAGCCGAAGCGAGACAAAAGAGATAATAAGAGAGGATGGCAGTCGGAGATTTTGAATTTGATTGGTGTAGAGGGTTGCTTCATTCGGAAATGTAAGAACGCTATCACTACTGGAGGCGGCATTTGGCAAAGGATTCAATATTCAATGCCAATGCTAGGCGTCGATCAAGTTGATCTTTAGGACGGAGATTAAATTACACGTTCTACTGGGAAAACAATTTATGTAACACCCCATAAAAAATGCATCAACTCTAGATCTGCCAGCGACTCCGAGTATTTCTTTTGAGACCTTAATAGCTCCGGATCTAATGCTGCAACTTGAAGTTCGGAGAGACGATCCCGGCTTGTTCATAAACTATCCAGTGTGGTTTATTTAAATTATTTCCCATTTCTCGGAGGTAGACGTAGTCCGCTGCCAGACTCATGTCATATAACTGAGAGTGAAAGGAAGAGGCTTGAGAGGCTTTCCAGGGAGATAACGGAGGTGCTTGATCCATTGTTTGTAGGCTCGTTCTTTGTCTTTCTGCAGAACATCTCAAATAGCACGTTGCTCTGTATAGTGAATTGACATATTCTTAGGGAAGAGTCAGAGAGGTGCGAGTTCGGAGGGAAACCCCATTCATTGATTGAACACAGAAAGGCTGTATGGCAGCTCCCTTCTCATAGACCAGCGGAGTCGCTCTTTGAACATCTCGTCACGGCCCAAAGAAGTTGTGAAAGCCTAATACCTTGAATTCAACAGAAGGGCACATTCTTCTTATTGGTGCAGAATGGTTCCAGGATAGAGCAGTAGGCCTTCTTGTAGTCTGATTTGGCATGCAATTTATCTAAGAGGAGTGTGCATTGAAGGAATTTTAAGTTACTTTTTGCATCTGTCACCTCGCTGTCCACTAATGTTGGTCACACCAAGGCATCGGTTATTTAAGAATATAAATACTAATGATACACTAAGGATTAGATGTTGATTTTCTGATTCTTGAGTTGAATTGAGGAAATCCTTGGCGAAGATTGACGCCACACTATGAAGGTTAGTCATTGTGACGTCATTTACCTCCATTTGGTATAGGTACATACAATTCATTTCCTTCGTTTCTTAGGATTTCGGGAAACATCATAGCCAGCCGTGAGCTTGAACTCTTCCATCCTTAGACTATTCGCGCCTCACATCTTTCGGACATCAACGAAGAGGTGCGGAGTGATGGCCTCCTGATGACTGGCCGTCGAGAGTCATGATATTACTTATTCTTTCGAATCAGCGATACTCCCACTGGTCACTTCTCTGGAATTCCGGAACCATGGACACAATAATCTCCCTCGATAAGCTTTCTGGACTCTTCACCTTCACAACCAACTCAATTAAACCCCGTTCTGCGACGAAGACAAGAAGGCCCTTCTCATCATTGATCCCAGAAGCCCGAGATCTACAAATAGCCCAGCCCCGGGTTCCATGTAATTTCTTGCCCGGACGCAGCATCGATCCACGGACCCCATCTATTGCCTGATGTGTGTCTGTTGTGCATCGCGGCCGGGCTCCAGGAATAACACCTAAGCCTGTTACAACTGGGCCTTCCCTCGTTCTACATCTTCTGTGTTATCATCCACGGTTTGACACGACGCTCGCGCCAGGGCCAGGGTGTATGGTGGGTTCTTAGAGAACCTTGATTGCTAAGGTGCATAAATCTTCCCTTATAAGCATCCCACTACCTGCATGCTCAGTTATCTCCCCCTTCCTAGTTTCATCTTTCGCTGTTCAAGTTGGGGTACCACAACTCGAGAGCTTGCTTGCAGTGGGGAAGATGATGAATCATCCGTACAGCGGTTCAGCGAGCTATATCTATGCGAACGGGGTGCGCACGTTGTGTTCCTAGCTTCTGCATGAATCATTTATCGGGCCTTTCAGTTCGTGCCAGATCAAGACTACGCGCGCTCTTCAACAAGTAGTGCAAATCACTATCAGGGAGGTAGATTTGTGGTTCGACCAGAGAGGAAGTCTTCACTGGTGCGCCTCCTAAGTTCAATTCCACGGTCGTATTTTGACAGTCGTGATAAGGGAGCTTCAGTCCAACGTCCATTCTCTTCCACACCAGCTCTTCCCAAGAGTAGCCTCAAATTAGAGCGATATTGGATGTTTAATGATTCGTCGAGGAACATTCGAGAGCATCCGGGTGAGCTTCCTCGAGTGACATTCGATGCACCCAACCCGCACGTTATGACATGCCGCCGAAAACTTAGGGTATTACGATTCGTTTTTGCTGTTCACAGGAAAGACACTCATCTATTCCTCGTCGCGTCAGATATGGCGGCGAAGATTCCAGGACTTTCGACACGTATGCAAACTCAAATTTAACCACTGGATCGCTCCCAAGCCCCAGCTCTCTGTCGCGTATTAGTAGTTCCCTTCCTGTACCATTATTTATTGTATGCACAACGTCTTATGAACGAGAACCGGCTTGCTTCGAAGGCCGACAATGCGAAGGAACATTTTAAACTCCGCCCCAAACGTGGGAATTGTGGGAAATTGGGACGATGTGGTTGGTCGCTGCCCGAAACGACGACGAGCCCTGCTTTTCTTTTTATTTACCACTGCCGACACCACTGCGGGCTCGCCGCCCAACTCCTAGAGCGCCCCCGCACATCACCACCCACAATATCTCCATGTTGCGTCTCGTTTCAAGCGTGTCGCGACCCACGTCGACGGGACTACTCGGAAAGGTTGCTGTGTCGGCGCAGACATCACATAGCAGTGCGTGCCCTTCAGGATACGAAAGCAGCCTTGGGATGCTGACAGGGGATGGCATATTTAGGTCGCAGGACGTTTGCTTCAACGTCTAGTCGTGGGGCGGATATCACACTCACCGTGGACGGCAAGGAAGTTACCGTACCGCAGGGTACGTTTCGCTGGCGTTGTACTTGGAGGAAACGAGAGGCGACGTATTTTGGACATAGGATCCGCGTTAATTCAAGCCTGCGAGGCTGCTGGATCGACAATACCCAGGTGTGTTGACTTACGGCCTACCTCATTACTCAAGCTAATACCATTTCCAGGTTTTGCTATCATGACAGGTGGGATCGCATCGCTCTCTTTACCTCTGTTCTTCGAAGCTTATCATCCAATTTATCTTTACACAAGACTGGCTATTGCGGGCAACTGTCGGTGAGTGGTTATTTAGATAGGCGCGTACTGTGCTCAATGTGGTTGACTACTTTCTTCGAACAGAATGTGCTTAGTCGAAGTCGAACGATCACCAAAACCCGTTGCATCGTGGTATGCCTTCAAGTTCTGAAATTTATGGGACGCATCTTCACGTTGCTCTTTAGTGCCATGCCCGCCATGCCTGGGTCTAAAGTTTGGACAAATACACCGCTTGTTCATGAAGCCAGGTGCGTACAGCGGAGAATTGCTGGCTTCCCCTTTTCCCGTCTTATTGATGTACCTTCTTCAGGGAGGGTGTCATGGAATTCCTACTCGCCAATCACCCTCTCGACTGCCCTATTTGTGACCAAGGTGGTGAATGCGACCTACAAGACCAATCTATGCGATACGGCTCGGACCGAACACGGTTCCACGAAATCACTGGCAAACGTGCTGTGGAAAACAAAGACCTTGGCCCATTGGTCAAGACTTCCATGAATCGCTGTATTCAATGCACGCGGTGTGTGCGGTTTGCCAACGAGGTTGCCGGTGTGGAGGAGCTGGGTACAACGGGTCGCGGAAACGACATGCAGATTGGAACCTACGTAGAGAAGACGATGGATTCTGAGCTCTCAGGCAACATCGTGGATCTGTGTCCAGTCGGTGCACTGACAAGTAAACCGTATGCGTACCATGCTCGTCCTTGGGAGTTGAAGAACACGGAGTCGATCGACGTCATGGATGCAGTTGGGTCGAATATCCGCGTCGATTCTAGAGGTGTCCAAGTGATGCGCATTCAACCACGGACAAATGACGATGTCAACGAGGAGTGGATTAGCGACAAAACGCGATATGCTTATGACGGTCTCAAGTTCCAGCGCCTGACTGTCCCTCTCGTGAAGCAAGGCGACCGCTTTGTGGGTGCGACGTGGGAGGACGCCCTTGCTGCCATAGCTGAGGGTCTTGCTACCTCAGGCGCGAAGGGGGACGAGATTCAGGCCATCGCTGGCCACCTCGCGGACACAGAGGCGATGGTTGCCCTCAAGGACTTCGTCAACCGACTGGGTTCCGACAACCTTTGCCTTGACCAGCCCGGAGGCAGCGAACCACCCGCACATGGCATCGATGCTCGCTCGAATTACCTCTTCAACAGCACAATCCCCGGTGTTGAGAAGGCGGATGCCATTCTACTTGTTGGCACGAACCCTCGACACGAAGCCGCTGTCCTGAACTCGCGCATCCGCAAGAGCTGGCTGCACACAGGCCTCGAGATTGGGCACATCGGCGATCGAGCGGATACGACATACGGCTACGATTACTTGGGCCAGGATGCCAAGGCCCTTAGTGACTTCATCGCGGGCAAGGGACCGTTCGTGGAGAAGTTCAAGAACGCGAAGAAGCCGCTCATCGTTGTCGGCAGCGCACTTGCTGAGCACCCTGACGGCAAGGCGATGTACAACCAGCTGGCGCGGTTCGTGGAGACAAACAAGGCGAAGCTGCTGACACCAGAGTGGAACGGCTTCAGCGTTCTGCAGCGGGTATGCTCGTATTGCCATTTGTTCTTCGCTATCCATGTTTATTAACTCTTTCTTACAGATTGCCTCTCGACCAGCAGCGTACGACATCGGCTTCGTACCATCAAAACGAGCCTCCCATGCTAAGCCCAAGTTCATTTACCTCCTCAACGCCGACGAGGTCGACCCCAAGTCGATTCCTCAAGACGCATTCGTTGTCTACCAAGGCCACCACGGTGACCTCGGTGCGCAACTAGCGGATGTCTGCCTTCCTGCTGCTGCCTACACCGAGAAGAGCACGACGTGGGTCAACACGGAGGGTCGGGCCCAGATGGGTCGTGCTGCCGTGCCGCCACCTGGTGCTGCTCGTGAGGATTGGAAGATCGTTCGGTTAGTATTCATGCCCTTTTCTCGTCTCTCCTTTTCGTTTCTTTTTTTGTTAAATCTCTACTTACTATTTCCATTTTGATTTTTAGTGCTCTGTCTGAAGTCGTCAGCAGCCCACTACCCTACGACGACGTCCTCGAACTGCGCGATCGACTATGGGAGATCTCGCCTACGCTTGTACGGTATGATGTCACGGAGCCCACCTCAGTTGATGTCACTCTGGCTGGACTGAAGACACTCGCTACACTAACAGCCGACGCGAAGGCCACCAACACGCCTCTACGGAAACCTATAGAGAACTTCTACCAGACCGACCCCATCTCAAGAGCGTGAGTGAACCCATTCATGGACAAGGTCTGGTTTTGACTATTGCTAAATATTGCTGTGTTTCCAGGTCCGTCACGATGGCACAGTGCACTCGCGCCTTCGTGAAGGGTGAAAATTACGGCTTCAGCGAGATTGGCAAGGAGTCTCAAGCTGCTTTTGCATGACCTATTATGTATTTAGAGAATTAATTCGTCAATCGCATTTTCTTTATTATTTCTAACAGCGGTGCATAACTGTATCACAGGACGCCAAAATTCTGTGCAAAGACGAATACAGCGACATGATTACAGTTACGCAAGACTGCAGACAAGGAAATAAGATTGGGAACGAGCGGTGGAGCTCTGGAGAGTCGATCAAGACGATTTCTTGAATTTGTCCCAGAGCTCGGAGACTTTTTGGGCTACGTGACCACCACCCCGGCGATGCGAACGGACCCGGACAAGGTACGTCGCGATATACACCGCGCAGAACTAAAAAAAACCCCTCAGCTGAGCAACGAAAGTCGCTTCTAAAGGTAGTCACTTACGTTGAAGACGATATATGCGCAGAAAATGCCAAAGTTCCGCCAATGCTGGCTGTAGAAAATATTAAACGTTGGGCCCATCCATTCGTCCGTTGTCCGACTAGAGCAAAACAAGCAGCCACTTGATGCATTAGGATTTGCGAGGTATCCTCCTCGAGAAGAGATGTATTGGGCCATGTATGCTCCACAGGTCTGACCGAATGGTGGTTCGACAGTAACGAGTTCTGTCGACGAGCAATTGATAGGCTGCTCTCCAATAGCTGCACGGCATGTCAGACAGAGAAGTACTAACGACATCGTGAGGCTCGCACCTTGACCCAGAATGCCTCCAATGAGATACGTGAATGGTGATAAATGGTACATCCACCTCCACCAGCCGAGTTGCGAGTAAGGTTGTAAGACACCATTACTAGATAAGCGGTCAGGATGTAACCAAGAGACAACGGTATCAATCACTTACAAGGTCAATACAAAAGAGAATAGGAAGGAGAACATGAGTCCAGCGATCTCGGCAGTCGGGCTCATGGATGCCACAGCCAAAGCAATCGTCGTGTAGTAGAGAGGGAACGAGACACCATACATTAAGTAGGTGTATCCACCGCGGTCGCTGGCGAATCCGACGGTCCAGTACCAGCACAAGAAGAAGAGTGTGGATCCAAGGACGTTCCACGGAATCTCAACCAGTATCTGTGCGGTGGTTAAAGCGGACCAATGGTACATTCGACTTTCGCGTTCCCGAATCTCGTAGATATTTCGGGACTAGAGCAGGTTATTATTGGTAGAGGGAAAGCATGATAGGGCAACATACACTGATATAGGGTACGTGAAGTTGTTGTCCAAGAGGGGCGCTCAGGATCGTTCCCATAAAGATTGCCTAGGGGAAAAGTCATTAAATCAGCGTCGAATCCACTCTGGTCCTCGCAAACGTACGAAAAGCTTGTTCTGATTGCCCTGAAGGGTATCCTTCGATTTGAAGAAGGTAAAGCCAATCAAAAGCCCTCCGATGATGTTCAACGACATTTTGGACATGAGATATGTCGGGTTGCGCCAATAGGACAAATACTGTCGTTTGAGAAGCGCGCGAGTCTGGTAAGCCCAAGAGGTGGCGAACTGGCTCTTAAATGTTGAATCCACAGGGGGCAAGTTTCTTCCCTGTTGATGTATCTTTTCGATCGACGTGGTGGCTTCCTTGGACTCGTTTGAATTCAGCCATACTTCACGCCAATTAACGTCGGTCGTCGCAGTAGCACCGGCACCAATTACGTCCAGCATATATTCGGCCCTAATGGTAGTGGTCAACAATTTCAGAAAATGGAGATTAGTAGATCACAAACGGATTCTCTCCAGACTTGCACTTCCGAGCACTATTGGCTTCGAAGTAATCGATTATGGTCTGTGCACTATCGCCAACCTCGCCAAAGTATACAGTTTGGCCACCTTTCCGCAGAAGAAGTAACCTATCGAAAACCTGGAGACAAGGATCAGCATCAAGGACACCAACTAAAGAACGTTTGACCAACCGAAAAGAGCTCGGCTGAAGGCTGGAAAGTATATCAGTCAAAAATATTCCTAAGCGTACATGAAAAGAGTGTGAACCTGGTGTATGCTGCACGACAGACGATCAGTGCCATCATTGTTCTGAGAATGGAAATTAACCGTACGTGCACAAAATAGCCTGGCCGTTGTCGGCAAGACTGCGTAGGAAAGACATAATTGCCCAGGCGCTTTGAGAGTCCAAGCCAGAAGTTGGTTCGTCCAGGAATAGGAGTAATTTCGGCTTCAAAATGAATGAGGGATTGTTTCATGATCCACTTTGAAAGGATCTTACCTTTGCAGCCAATTCAACAGCTATTGTCGTCCGCTTCTTTTGCTCAACTCCCAGAGAACCAACGATAGCGTCTGCAAAGGGCTCCAATCCGCACATTTCCAAACACTTTTCGGCACTGATGTGAAGAAGTCGGTCTTTGAACTAAGACACGTCAAGACTACTCACTAGGCATCCTTTTCTGACGTCGGCACAGAGGCAGGCTGTCGCAATCGAGCTGAAAATCGCAAAGCCTCGCGAACAGTTTGAAGCGATACATGGGTGTCCATTTGCTGACAATACCCTGTTTGTGCCTGAAAATCCGCTGGAAGGCCTTGTCCATTGAAGAAACGATGACCAGTAACAACCCCCGTGTTGACTCGTTCGGCAAGAACATTCAGAAGAGTGGTCTAGTTGAGAAGAGAAAGAGAAATCAGCTAGTCATTTCCAGAATTACCGACGTTGCAACACACCTTTCCAGCGCCAGAGGCGCCCATCAGAGCAGTCAGCTTCCCAGGAGCAACATATCCAGAAACCTCATCCAGAAGTTTGCGGTCTCCGCCGGTAACGGGGACGACATAGCTCAGATTAGACCAAGTGAACACGTCTTTCATCTTCGGTTGATCGGCAAGCGCCTTCTTCATCCGTTCCTCCTCCTCCTCGCTGTTGACAGAGGTTGGCTGATCAGGTATCTGTGTTTTCTCTTCGTCGGGTCGTGAAGTGGTCGTAGCTTCGGCCTCTTTGACGACTTGAGCTTTTGAGCCTCGCTTGAACAACAAAACAGAGCTTTCTCCGGACAGGCCGGTGTTGAATTCCGTGAAGATCAACAAGCAGAGCATGAAGAAGACTCCGAAGGCAATGATTATACCGAAATTCTGGAATGGAGTTAAGTTGGATCGAAGTAAATATGATAAGAGGGAGAGACTTACCCGCCACAAGTCGCTGTAGTAATATTCGAATGACAGTGCGAGATAAATGTTTCCGGTTACTGTGCTCTGCCCTGGCTGGGATCCCACTACCGTACAGACTTGATTGCTGAGAGATATGCCCTCATAGCCGGGTCCAGAGGGTACAAGGTTTGAGCATTCGCCGTCCAGAGTGTGGAACTCGTTCGTCATGATACCGCTGAAGGAATACAGGACAGGCTAAAATGAATGATTGAGCCCCTTGCATGCGCGGCGACGCTGGGTCGATACTGACATTTATATATGATATCCACCGAAGAGCACCAATCATTGACGGTCGTGGAATCTGGTAGCCTGTATACAAGGACAGTAGGAGCAGCATTACACCAGCTACAGCCTGTGCTGGTGCTTCGTCCCGAAATGCAGCCGCTAATCCACGGAAGAAAGCCTTCATGACGAGGCAGATTGCTAGGATGAACACGAAGAATGTGCTACGAGAAAATCTTGAGGATTATGACAGAAAAGATGAACAAGCACTCACAAGAACTGGGCAGCCGTTTGCTGAAGCTGAACGACAAAGTAGATGATGACAGTGAAGAGGATCACCGTGACCAGCGTGAAAGGAATGTCGACAATGGTCAAAGCCAGAGCCTCAATCATCGGATGGTACATCGCAGCTTTTTGATGTCGCGAAAGTATAGGTCGCTGTGCGAACAATGCAGGTATTTCGGATGAACTAAACAGCGACGGGGCAAACACGGAGCTAGGGGAGGGTATATTGAAAATATGCAGCAGCGACCAAGAAATTCGACTTACAAGAAGAGAACACCGCCGCGAGAGAAGTAGGCAGAGGTAGAATCAGGTATCTTGATGAAGAGAGTACCAAGAATAACGGCCTGCATTACAAACGTGCTGACGTGCTATAAGGAATGTGTTCAAAGACAGAAAGAAGCCAAAGCCCTTACAACGTCTGTAGGGCCTGAGCTGTGAGATTGCCTTTCATGATCTGGATCCGTCGGAGCATCACTATTCGCACTTGCATGGGGATCGAAATCATGTACGGGCTCTGAGAGGATGTCAGTGCGCGCTAATCAAAAGAGAGGTTGGAGACGAACTCGGGTTCGAGTATGGCGAGCTTGTTCTCCTTTGGCACTCGCATGATAAGAGTCTACCTTCTCGCGTTTGTCCACGTTATCAGCTTTGTAGGCCGCAATATCCTCTAGGTTCATCTTCATGACCTCCGACTCCTTGAAATATTGCTCAAACTCGGCGGCAGTCTGCGGTATTGGGGGGCTCCCCGCTTCCTGACTTCTTGTGTCGTCCTCGTCTTTGATCATGACCCGACCTAGCTTGTCCGTCACGGAAACAAGGAAATCTGGTGTCGTCTGCCTCGGAGCTGGAACGTAGCCCATATCGATGAAGTACTGTCGTGCCATATTGGCGGGTCCATAGTACACCTCTCTGCCTTCGTAAACGAGGCAGACTTTGTCGAAAATCTCATAAAGAGACTCTCCGGCTTGGTAAATGGAGACAAGGGTTGTATTCTTGCACAGATCCGTGGCGATTCGTAAGGCGCGGACAAACTCCAGAGCAGTGCTCGAGTCGAGGCCCCGGGTCGAACTGCAAGCGAAATGAGCAACGATGGAAAATTTAAACGAAAAGCACGGACTTGTCCCAGGAAGTTATCAAACTTCGAGTCGCAAGAGTTTCGCTTATTCTACAGCACCAAGTAAGACCGTATTCCTGGGTAAAGATGAGGGCAGGACTTACGAGACTCGCTTCTTCTCCCCGCCACTCACTCCACGAATGGAGGCGTCTCCAACAGGCGTATCTTTTACATGGTTGAGGCCAAAAATAGTCATCAGGATATCCGTTACCCGACGAGAATAATCAACCCTTGAGGTCTCGTCAATACGTGTTTGAGGAGCTCGTGTCTTGGTAGCAAAATGCAGAGTCTGGTCCACAGTCAAAGTTGGGAAGTGGACGTCGTCTTCGGGGCAGTACTGAACATCACCACGATAACGTTGAGCGACCTGTGCCGACGTGAGCGAGTCGTAAAAGACATCTCCTTCGACTGAGTGGTATTCCGAACGTAGATTGGCGAGGACCTTCAGAAGAGTGGTGCAACCTGATCCTGGACGTCCAAGGACCACTGCAGGTCGAGTGAGAATGGAGTTCAGAGATGAATAAAAGGAGGAAGGCTCACAAAGCATTTCCCCGGGGCGAACAACTCCAGTGAAGCCATTCAGGATCGTTCTCAGAGGTGGATGTCGCAAGGTTTTTATTTGTGAGATAAGGTTGAGAGGATTGAGAAATGAGCCCAGCGTCGGTTGAAAACTAGCAGAAGCTCCCAACCCAACGACCCGCAGATTCTCGAACACAACGCCTAGATAACGAGACTTGATATCCTCCTCGTCACGTCTGAGGAATGAGTACCTTGTTCACCGAAACAGGAGTACGTAAAACTGACCTTCTGAGGACATAACGAAGAATCTTGGCAAAATCCACTGGCTTGTCTCCACCGGCAGGTAGGGTAACCTCGGAATCTGAAGACGCGTCTTCAGAAATGGTTGACGGTGCTGCGGTGTGATGGCTGCTCTGAGTCTGTTGGCTCTGGCGGCTCAGCGTTCTCGACAGCTGTCGAACACCCTGCGGATCGAAAAAGTCGACAGACACGACGGAATGTGATCGTCCTCTCGCGTACAGCGGTCGTAGAGAGGCTGTTGGTGGGGAGGGATGTCGTTCTATTGGAGGAGGGGCATAGAACGATAGGCAACGCAAGTCTCGTTCGGGGCAATTGGCAACATTTTCGGGAAGTTGACCAGGTGATGCAGAAGTCGGAAAAGAACTGGTCTCTATCCCTTCCTGAATGTCTGTGAGACGGGATTGTTCGCCCTGAGGAGGTGGATTCATAGTAGGCAAAGGTTCGAAGACGTACGTAGTCAGGTCTGGGCTATATATGGGACCAAGCCCAGTGTCTGAACCGCAGGAGGAGTTCCATTGAGAGCAAAAGATCGATGTCAGACATTCGTCATTGAAGCTTGTAGTCGGCGTTGAGGATCGAGCGAGACGATTCGCGAGGCTGCGTAAGCAACCTAAGGGCTGTCATCCTGTTGACAACCTTCGGAGAGACATGCGCTATATGCGGATTGTATGAGCCCCAAAGGCCCCACAAGGTGCGTAAGGTGTACGAGGCGTTCATTACTATCTCATCTTATGAACCATGAAGTAAGGTATACAAGGTACACTGAATAGAACACACACCGCAAAAACACATCCCGTTAATCAAAATATTGCAGAAATTTGATTTACATAATAGGGCCCTCGCCGATGGAGGATGATAATAATACGCGTCCGAGAGTTCAAGGGGGTTGCCTGTAACGCACTGTGACACTTATGCGTAACTATAACTGTCTATTTTTAGCACAACGACCTAAGTACCCTCTGAAGTTAAAGAGTCCGTCTTACTATCGCCACACGTTGTCTGTATCTATGGTTCGAGCAATCAAGTATAACAGCAAATAGAGACAAGCTGTCGGCGAACGCGGAGCGAACGGAACGTGAAGTACAATGGGTGCCAGGTTCGAGCGAAAAGCGGCACGTAGACACAAATCGTCGATGTAACCCACCGCCTCTATTAATTTTCAACATTACGAATATATTTTTGCTACTTCTTACGCGTGTTGTCTAGCGAAAAGAATTTTCACAGTGCGGTTGCCTGGAAAGAGACGGAACATAAGGTTGAAGAGCAGTTTGAACGCATATCTGGCGAACCACATATCAAAGTGTCAGCCTCATGAGAAAATGTGAAGAGAAATAAAGAAAAAGAACGACATGAAAACCCCCTCGTATGCCAATTCAACAGCTTGCATGGGTTCAACCAGTGGTCACCGGGAACGACTTCGTCATCCGAAATGTATTCCGGACCAGAGACCCAGCAAAAGCAAGGGTCCCTGACCTGGTCACGGCTTCCTGTATGCCAGCGAAACTGTGCGCCATTGGGACGCCTCCACGCCAACGCCGGACGCCTCGAGCATATGGTATCTGCTCTCTGGGTTACGGGTGGACCATAGCGTGGTGTGATGCTGGTGTGCATAGCGTGCTGGTGAGTAATGTTGCTGCCGTGGACAATGGCACGCAACGCTCGAACTTTGGGTTTCTTTGCTCGAGCATGTCGCTTTGGGTGAACGACAGGACGTCGATGGTTCGACGGACACCACGCGAGCATCGACGGCAGGCAAAGGAGGGCGCTGAAGAAAGAGTTCCGCTTCTCCGATGCGGAATCGCGACCGAGATCGCAAGGGCACCGATAGGGAGTTTCACGTCGCAAAAGGGAGAAGAAAGAATCGATTGGGAGATGCACACCTTCATTCATTGTAGTATCCATGAGGCAGACGACATTGACATGCTTTCTTCTGCGGTCATCGTTCCAGACACGACAGAACCGTTAATGCGGTACTTGGGGAAGGAGGAGATTGTATTTGAACATGTCGCACAGGCGCAGATGGGGGTTCAAGCTCAAGCTTCAAGCTCAAGGTTGAAAAGGCAGCCCTAGGGCCGGGTGTGATCAGGTGACACATCCATTTAAAGTATTTAGTTCACACGATTTCCGTTTAGACGACTGTGGTCATTGCTTGATTCGAGATTCGCGGGACTCTTCCGCCCTCCTCCTTCTCTCATGCACCGTGATCACAGCATCTAGTGAGATGCACTACATCGACGGCTGTTGGCAGCCTCGAGGCATTTGCCCATTGCTACTATGATGGGCGTGAGTGAGATGGCGAGTCGCGACTGTCGAACAGCCGGAAGGACTGGTTGCAGACCTTGCAATGAGATTAGAGGGGGGTATGATTGCCAACTTTTCGTTAAGACATCTGATGCGCCGTGCATATTTCTAGAGTATCTTGATAATATGAGTATCAGAAAGTTCTTCACAAAGATTCTGGAGGATGAAAAGCACCGACGAGGCTAATATTCGGCGCTAATGGACTCGCGTAGGTGTTTGAGCTTTCTTCTGTTTGGGTTAGTAGCAGTGACGAGAGTAAGTAGTGGGTTCATTGCCATTGCGGGCTGTATCGCTTGTGCTGCTGAACCGATGGGATTATGTAAAGGTAACAATGGATCCAACGAATGAAGGCAATCAAATCGAGCGCCTGGCAAGGAATCCTCCAGCATCCGATTTGAGCGCGAAAAACCGAAAAATCATGGATTAAGTTCAGAGATAGATCTGTAGGAAGAGAGCGAGGAAGCCATGGTTCTATGCAGATTATGGTGGTGGAACATGATATGAGGTGCAGAGTCCATGAATGTAAACGACAGGACATGTAGGAATGTATAGTATTGTCTGCCAGAGAAGCAAGGTCCGATGTAGTATATATATGTTCGACAGCTTAACGAAAGACCAGAGGACATGGAGAGGGTTCGTGATGGTAGATAATTCCAAAAAAAAGAGTCAAAAATGGAGGCAAAAAGGGTTTGAACATAACTGCCACGAAAGTCCGTAGAAGACGTTCAACTTGGGTTGAGAAGTACCCTATCAATGGACGCGTTGATCGTGGTCTTTCGTGAGGTGAGGTCCATGCCAAAATGTTCCTCGAGCTGACGGCGGATTTCACGTTTGGTGACCGAGTTGAGATCCGCTGAACGTAGGACATTTTGGACGGCCCGATCAATGTCAGCGTCGGAAGGTCGGCTGCCACCGCCCAGAAGGTCGACATCATCCGGACTTGTCCTTGGAATGGCAATATCAAGATAATTCGTCGCAGGTCGCGAAGGAGTTGGCTGATATAACGCAGGCTCTGGCATCGTGTGATACGGCGATTGAGGCGTATTTCGGCCTGACTGATATCCAGGCGGAGGGAGCATGCCGAATTGAGATGGTGCGGGGGAGAAGCTTCTTGGTTCGTATTGCGTTTCGCGGCCGTAAAGAGACACAGTCCTTGACTCAGCATATCCTTCGTTTTTGGTCTTGTTCGGAGGCACCCATGAGCCAATACTGTGGTTTGACTCTTTATCCCATAGTTCATTTTCCTAAGATATCTGGTCAGTTCGGCCCCTACTAGCAAAATATGAAATACCAACATAATCGTTCCAAGACTTCAGCGGAATAGACCTTGGGTCGAACTTGCCTTCATCCTTTGGAAGAGATTAACTCGTTCGTTTTTGGAAATATAGATTGAACAGACTTACGTGGACAATCATCTTCTTGCCAGATTCTCCCAGTACGACACGAGTTTGACCCCATGAGAAGTCGTCCATCTTCCAGAATGAGTAGAGAGGCAGGAAGAAGGAGAATGCAGGGATGGCAAGGATGTAGAACAGCATCCAGCCAATCATGTCCCACTTGCGCCGCATGATGAAGACGAGAGCCTGCAGACCGTAGACAGCAGCTATCATGATCAAAGAAAGCGTAGGAATGGATTTGCCCAAGCCCGCTGTCAGATATATGAGATAGACGATCTGAAAGTGTTCTTTGAGTAAGGGCGAGGGAAAGGGAGGAAAATAAGACGTACATAAGCAACTGTAACTGGCTGAATCAAGGTCGAAAGCAGATCGATCATGACGATGAAACGCATTGAGAAACAGCAGAAACCACAGAGCTGTTCAAGGAAGACCAACTCGCCAAGATTGTGGATAGTCGAGTTAATCCATCGACGGCGCTGAGATAGCAAGACCTTCCAGTCATCAGGAGCCACGGTGTAAGCATGTGCATCACGGATGAACTGTGTCTTGAAGCGAGGGAAATGCTTCAGAAGGAGGGTTGTAAGGTAACGATCTTCACCGAGATGGAGAAGGTTCTTCATATGCAGCGTATCGACCCGATTCTCCGAATAGTCCTCAATCAACTGGTTAGAGATGAGCAGAGGTTTATGGGTGTCAGGTGTTCGCAACCGATAGAGGGTGAAACAACCAGGCAAGCAGGTGACAGAGCCGAAGAGGCTTTCAAATGCCTTAGCCATGTGATGCGAAATGAAGTACTCATAAACCTAACAGCATTTTATAAGCGTAAGTCATCATGACTCGAAGACGATTCAACGAACCTGCATCATCGTAATCAAGGACTGTTTAGCGTTTGCCAGCTCTGTTTCTCCACAGGCACCCAACAGCTTCTTGTCGTGGATCATTCTTGGATAGCTTGTTAGCGAAGGGTGGACATGGTAGGGAATAGAGACACTTACGCAGAGACCAGACGGTTGACGGATAAAGGATCGACAGTCGTATCGGCATCAATCATGAACAAATATTCATAGAAGGACGGGTTGACACCAATAACATTCTTGATCTGATGGTACATCTCCAGCTCCAGAGGGTTCATAGGCGAGTTGAAGTGGACCTGAACCACGTAAGTTGAATTTTATATCAACAACAAAGATAAGTTACGAACCTTGTTCAAGAAATGCATCAACAGCATTTGAGAGTCACGTTTGCCACGATTACCAGGTCGGGACCTTTCAGTCGGCTTTCCAACCTTGACGATAACGAGGTATGGGACGACGTGACCAGCACACTCATACAAGCCCGAGTAGACTTTGCCCATATTGTGCTGCTTAGCACCCTCTCCAAGCGACACGAAGCTGAGCGGCTCCGGATCAAGGTTCGGGTCAGCGCCTAGGATATCGAGCACGATGCGCGGGGTGGGTCGATCGTTACCTGAACCGACAATCATGCCATCGCAAATGACAACTAGGAGCTTGCGCTTATCGTCGTACTTCATCTGGGCCAAAGAATCGATCGTCCTGCGAAGTGAGGTGTCGCCTTCGGTGTAGCAAGGTACTTGGCAAATGACGAATTTATCGTGGTCTTCTGGTGCGCGCGCTGAGCTAAAGTTGATAGAAGCCAAAAATTTGAAGCCAATGATAGACACCATAATGATAGAGAGGACGAGTAGTATGTAATTGGCGAAGAGACATTGAGGGGACTGTCGGTTGTCGACCTTGCCGAGGAGGAACAAATTGCGAAGGCAGACTTTCTGTCGGGCCAGTACATCCTTGTCAATGTTTAGCGAGTTGAGTTGCTTGGTGATATCCTGGCCAGCTCTCAATGTGAACAGGTTGATAACATTGCCGTCCATAAAGTTCACGTTGGTATCACCGGGTGCTTGCATACCGTCAGGAGCGCGAACGGCAGGAGGGCTCTTCAGGTAATTCGTAACATCATAGACCATTCCGTTGTAAATGGCGACCGAGTTACCTGTAGAGGCCAAATTGCGGATTTCCTTGGGAGTAAGACCGACGAAACCAACACGAGCGGTATATCGCATCTGCACCATTCGTTCAAAGTACCAGTCAGGGCGTGAGTCGTTGGTGAAAACACGGAAGTCGTGATATTGTGCATTCGGGTCGGTGTTGTTCCTGGAATCAAGAATGACATACGGACTAACATTGCCATCTACGCCATTGCAGAGAGCGCTGACCTAATAATGGTATTAATACATCAAGAACAAACGACAATGAGCAAGAGCGTACCTGCACAGGGAAGATGTTGTCTGATGACTGTCCGCCGTATTTCAGGATCGATTTGGCTGGTATAACCCCCACGGTTCTCTGATGTGCGGCAGCAATATTCGTCAAATCAAACACCTCTCCTCGAATCGACGTGTACACGTTGTTCGGACTTAGTGCGAACGAATGTGAAGCGAGTTCCGATGAGTTGAAAACATGTTCCGTGGGGCAGATGAGCACTCCAAGGACGGCAATGACGAACACAGCACAACCACAAACAAACCAGATGATCATATTGAGCGCGAGCTTCTCCCGCCAGGCCTGACGGACGTCTAACCGTTTCATGCGCCCGATGTAAGTCAGGAGGGGCGTCGGCACCCAGAATGTCAAGATCCAGCAAAGCGCGACCCATCGTCGGCGTGCAGAGCTCTCCTTGAGGACTTCCGCCGTCTCGCCTTCCTGTATATCACCAGGGAGAGGATCTTTTTCCATCAAGCCTCGTTTGTCGGTGTTCTGGAACATGTTGCGAGAAGGAGCATACGACTCCGAGCCGAAATGTGATACAGAGTCGTCTCGCTGGCTTGTGAACTTGCTGCGACCATCGAAATCTTCGCTGCGTACGGACTTGTCCTCATCGTAGTCGTCGTACATCTCGGCTCTCTGGAACGGCGAAGCATTTGCGACGAGAGGTAGGGCTTGATTCGAGCCGTTGTAAGCATCAGCGTAGGCTCCACCCCATGCATCATCCTGTTCCATGTTTGGCGAACGGTACGGGGCATAGGGGTCGAGGCCTCGTGGATCAAGACCAGCTTCCGCTTCAGCATCCCGAAGCCTATTCCTCTTCTGCTCCTCGACATCGCGCGACCGAAGGTGGTCCTCAAACTTGTGGAATGCAGCTTGTGACAAGAAAACCTGGAGGACGTCAGCACAAAAAAAATCATACCTCAAGGACGCTAACTCACTTTATGCGCACCAAGAACCAAATCCCTATCAGTCAAACTGAATACCGTCCTCGCCTGCTCGATAACCTCCCTCCCGTCGCCCTCCGTGACACCACCAGCCTGAAGCCCCTCCCTATACCTCTCGCAGAACTCCGCAGGTGTCATGCCCACCTCGAAGACATTGATACAGCGCCTCGCGACCTCGCTCAAGCCGACTGCCTTCACCTGACCCTTAACGCTGCGGCCTTCCAGCTGGTTGGGCAACTGCGAGTCATTCGGGTTGATGCAGAAAACGTACCACGCCTGAGTCTCGTCAAGTGTCTCAAACAGCGTGTCCAGCGCCGCCTTGAACTCGCCCGCAACACAGGGGCTGCTACTCGTCAACAAAGCAGGATGGGATTCATCCTCATCACGTTCCTTCTCGTCGATATCTCCCTCACGTAAGGTAGGCATCCGCTTGACGGTGTTCTTCCGGCGTGTCGAGGGTGCCCGCATAGGCTTCACTGCCTGCTGCGCGGCGACGATGGTGTCTTCATTTCGCGGGTGGGCTTGGGTGGCGATAGCCTTCGCGGAGAAGAGTCCTTTGACAAAAGGGTTGATGGAACCAGTGCCTTCGAGCCCATCGGCGGCACCACGTAAAAGAGAAACGAAGTCGGGATTGATTGCATCCAAATTGCGGTCCAAGAAGCCTTCTGAGGAGTAGGTGACGGCACCATTGAAATGGTTGACCGTAAATGAAGAGAACCCGCTTCTGTCGACTGCGCCAGCCTTGAATGAGGAGTGGTTGCCCCATCTCTTCGAAAAGGCTTCCACCATTGTATGATCCGTCTTCTTGGGTTGCCGGCGAGCCTGGTCGTCCATAATATGGATAAGGCCTCCTGGAATGTTCTGCAGGAGTCGAATGCATTCCGCGTTGTCGAAATAGGGAACCTGGGGGACAAAGCGCGAAATACCTTCAATATTGTACTCGTTCACGTGCTTCTCGAATAGGTTCTTCTGAACCCAGTTCTGGAGTCGTTCATTGGCGAAGTTGATGCAAAACTGGTCAAGCGAGTTGGGACGACTTGACATGTTCTGAGGACCTGGCAGGTCAAACAAGCCAATGAAGGTGCTGAAGTCGTCTTTGCACAGACGTTGATTAATGTGCTCGTTCAACCAGGCAAAAAGGAGGGAATATAGAGTCTTCGCTAGATCGTCTCTATTCTCGGAGGCACCATCGGGATCGAGGAATACCGTGCATAACTCCTTCTTGACGAGCTTCGTTTTGTAAGAGAGAGCTGACTCGAGGGTTGATGTATGGATGCCAAGGAAGTCAGATACAACTTCGAGGACGTCGGTGTTACGGACAACGGCAGCATCCTCGTTGCGGTGGCGGTCAATTGTGAACTCGAGGTTGCCGAGGTGAAGTATGGCTGCAATGAGTTGACATGTTTGGGCAACGTGTCGCTTCGAGAACCCAATGGTCTTGAGAGCTATTTTGAGCTGATCGAAACGCAGTCCGTCATCGTCACGGCCTCCATTGGGCCGGCCTGCTGTTCCACGTTGACCCAGGTACCGGTATGTTGTCTTGTCCAACAGATGAAGATGCTGTCGTTCCTCAGGGGATGCACCCGCGACCAGGTAGTAGAAGATGTGGAAGTTGCGTTCACCCGAGGGAACCGCGGCCACACGGTTTCTCTCTAGATAGTAGTCGAGGGTCTTGACGCCTGTGAGACGACCGCGCTCCGAAAACTGCAGCTCGGTGTATTTTCCAAAACGAGAGGCATTCGGGTTGAAAAGAGTGCGTGCATTCCCGAAAGACTCGAGAACGAATTCTGCTGCAGGGACCTGGTTGGCGAGCTTGGATCCCTTCTTGCCAGGGTTGCTAACGCTGAGCTCCAGGAGCGACTTGATTGCCAGCCGTCGGTTTTCGGACTTGCCGCTACCCGTCTCTCCGCTGTGACGGCATTAGCCCAATACTCTCCGCCAACACAACGCAAGGGTGCAGCTCACCTGAAGACAATACATTGGTCCTGTGTTGTCCTCCGCATATGGTAGTAGGCGTTGTTGGCGATTTGGAAGATGTGAGGTGGGAGTCGCTCCTTCTGCTCTGACGAATCCCTGTACTCCGCGGCATACTTGTGAAGAATTGAGTCTGCGTTGGAAGAGACGTATTTGTGGGGGTTGAGAGCAACGAGGGCAGCTGTCCCGATTCTGGTATAGATGGTGTCCGTCATAAAGCGTTCGCGGAGACATGCTACCACGATATCGTCAGAAATTGGTGAGAGCTTTGTAAGGTCGGTGGCGGCTTCCAGGCGCTGGTGCATGCTCATCGTGGCGGAAGATTGCCTATTCATCGTCGGCGGCATCCAGCGGGCAGCCAAGACCCCTCAGAGACCGTTTTTACGAGGAAATGGGAGGAAAGACTCGGTCGTGGTTGTGGTGTAAGAAGGGGTTACCACGGCGAGCACGTGTGGGAACTGCCAAAACTGAGGTACACAAACTCGGAAATACTCCTTGTTTCTCAAACTCAAGGATTTCCTCACAAATCTCTCAAAAAAGGCTACCAAGGAAGGATTAGTTGCATTTGAGAAAGTAGACTGGCCACCTGCAGGTTTTCAAAGCTGTCAGGAATCAAGATTCATCATAGGATGATCGCAACAAAACTGGTCGAGACTCGGCTTTTCGCCATCTACAAAGATGCCCACTGCCTCAGTGGATGATGCGAACAAATGTATCATGGCGCTTCTGGGAAGCTGTATAATAATGTTCACGGTCATGCAACGGTTGGAGCAATCGCAATCGACGGGGCGTGGTTCGGCGTTGCGCAACATACAAATGATATTGCATCCGGAAAGAAGTGCGTCACAAGCTGCCGAAAATCGAATTAGGATGACAAAAGCAATGAGAGCAACAAGGAAGTTTGCAGAGGTAAGTAACAAAGTCATGCCTGTGAAGTATGTTTATCAAATTCGGCCTTTACACGAGAAAAATAATCAACACGTACGGCAGGCCTAGCGCAACAATGCTGCTCGATAGCCACACGAGCTAGCCCACCCAAAGCCCACCTTCTTGAGTGTTTTGGCACCCCTTTGGTAGGAAACCTTGATGTGTCTCGACGATACGCAGTTGGGAGCTTCGCTGTTGCGCCAGGCGGAAGAAAGTGGTGTCTGGGATACGTGGACGACCGGTGCCCACATCCGAGAATACTAGTATATCCTGAGCATCCCCCATTCCGAACCGATAACGTCAGCAGCTGAAAGACAAGCGAACCCTTCAGTTGACATATAACCGGATCATTGAAAGTAGGACGCACGCCATTACTATCACGAAGGACCGCAGCAGTTTGCAACGTCTCAATAAGAGGACCCAAGGAGTCTAGCTGGAGATCTGCCACTGCGACAAGAGGTGATGAGAACAGCATAGATACGAGTATCGAGCGGCAGTCGACGTACCTGCGATTGGACGACCTTGTCCTGGTGGTCAAGGATCTATCGCGGCTCGCTGAGGCACTGCCTAATGAAAGGCGTCAATTTCAATATGGCACCTGACCGTCCAGTCTGCAGCAAAAACATGTAAACAACTTAGTAGAGAATGAAAATAATGCAAATCGGAATAGATGGAGAGAGCAGGAAGACCCCCTCGTATGCCAGTTCAACAGCAAGTATGCGTCCACCAGTTGCGGCCGGGAACGTCTACGTCATCCGAAAGTTCGTCGGACCAAGGACCCGGCACTGCCTAGGGTCCTTGCCGGGCAACGAGAAACGCGAACGACGCAGAGTCGCGTGCCTTTGGGACGCCAGCTCCTACGCCGGATGAATCGAGCATGGTGTTTGCTGGGCTGGGTTCCGGGTGGATCATCGAGCGAGGTGTCAGAGGGCATACTTGCTACCGTTGGTTGTTGGTCTTGCATATGTCGAGCAATTCGAAAAAATTACGTGCTTCAGTGCGTCAGCTTGGGGAGTGGCATGCCACTGGCACTCCGTCGTTCTTCGACGGACACCATACGAACATCAACGACCTCAGAGACTGGATTGTGCTGAGGAGAAATTCCGCTTCGTCGATTGCAGAATCGCGATCGCGATCGCATTGGCACCGATAGAGGTATCCACACCAAGAGAAGACAACAATCCTCACCTTTATCGTGTCATCGATGCGATGCCAGTCGACGACCATTTACTCCTTCGCTCCTTGATCCAGAGCTCAAAGGCGGGCGGCCTCACATGCCGAAATGTGCAATGGTTGAATATTTTGATGTTTGAGGTCCTGGTAACTTATCAAGATCTGGTCGAGGGTTAAGGCAAGGTTAAGTCCAAGGAAAGGGTACAGAATGTGACTGCTTGTTCGTGACACCCCTTTATGGACACCCACTTTCCAATTACGGAAATCGAACTTGTGTCCTCCAAAGCCCCGTAGCCTCGACAAGGAGACTTCTTTCAAGGCTGAAACGTATGCCCAGAAAAAAAAGGCATCTGTATACAATTATTTTTTGCTGCTACGGCTGTTAGACTTCTAAAATCATCTGGTCTGGCTCCTTCAGCATCAACATTGTGAATAAAGCGCCATGCGGAATAGTAGTACATATTACAACCGAGTGCACCTACGTACTACTGACAGTTCGTCTGAATTTACCCAGTAAAACAGTTAAGATATCGACAACAAATGAAGAGAAACGATAAAGGCGAAGGTATAAGGGCGTTCAAAAGCAAGGCCAACGAAATGAGAAGCCGAAGACAGGACACTAAAGCGAAATACACAATTAATCCATAATAACGAGAGTGAGAACCCTTCCTTCCTTCCGATCTATAGCGTGGTGGAGATGAAGAAAAAGGGTAATAGAGTGGGAAATTAAGAATACGAAAGCAGATTACGAGCAGCGACAGATGGGTAGCATAGATGCGAACGAGTGGAAGGGCCCATAGAAAAGCCGTAAAGCGAGAGCGGTGGAGTTTCGCGGTGATTATATGATACATAGAGGTGAGGCCCGCAGCGTGAGGTCGGGCGGCTCGGTGTCGTTTTTTTCGGTGAGATTTAGAGGTGGAACCGCAGCCGTTTGGCTTGTGGATGATAACCAGATTGCTGGTCGTACGAGTTCCTCGATGGCCGAATTCGCAGAGGGCGCCCGAAGTCCTGACAGAGATCAGTTCGCGATTCGAAGAACTTGCTTGGGGACTTACCTGAGAGGAGTCCGAATCCGACTCCGTGAATATCAACGATGGGGTACACGGTATCATATCATCCTCCTCGCTCTCTTGACTCACGGAGTCGCTGTCCGAGTCCGAGTCGGGGGCACGGCGCTTGTTGCCTAGACGTGGTATAAGAGGTGTGAACGGGACTGTTATCGGCGCGATGCAGTGGTATTGCAGGACATCCAGGGGCCGATATTTGAACACGAAAGTAGCGATCTTGCGAACACTTGTGACTTCCGTGGACGAGAAGGGCGTGGCAGAGGACAGAGGCGAGCCTTCATACCGTCGATAGTAGCTCGAGTAGCCCTCATGGAGCCGGTTACCCTCGCCAATTTGGACTACGTGCACGTCGAGTGATATCGTGCCAAGGGTCTTCCAGTCTTCTCCGATTCCTGAAATAGCGAGTTAGGAGGCTGCGACTGGAGTAAACAAGATTATACACCCACCAGCAGTCCGAGGAAGGGTAGAGAAGGTCAATGGCAAACAGGAAGTTGGCGACGTCGCGATACGGGAGAAGATGGCAGACGCATGGCTCCGGGCTTGTAGCACTCTGCCACCCAGCTCATAGCCGTCCATCATGACGAACCCACTCAGATCCCGCGCGGTGTAATCGCCGCCGCGAGGTGAGCTCGGACTCGCGATCGGGTCGGTGAGGTCCCGCCATCGTATGGCAAAAGACTGCGCACAAAATCGTCAGCGTCCACGATCGTAAGGAATGACGACGCCAGAGCCGCGGATGCAACGCATAATGAAGACAATTTGCCTCCGTTTTTGCCTCCGCGATGACACCGCAACATCGAGCACACGTACCTGTCCCGGCTCACCGCTTATCCAGCACGTCGCCACTCCCATATCCTCGTCGACGTCCACAGCATACTCCATCACCCGCACCTTATCGTCAACTGTTATCCAGGCCTCGACGCCGTTGATTTGAAGAGGCATCTTAGTTCAAATGAATGAACCGGCTCTTGCAAGAGTTCTGTGCGATTATGATTCCAGGTTGAGCTGGAGGAGGAAAAGAGTGAAAAGAAGGGGTATAGTGCCCGCCTTTGCACACTTCGTCGTCGCCGATTTCCCTCTGTTGCGATGGGGGGAAGCCTAGCCGTAACGCACCACTCCTGGCCTGTAGTACTCAAGATTCTTATCTAAGCTAACGACACGTGATTCCGCCAAGCTACTACTGGCATATATAAACGGCTCATTCCAAACTCATTCCCAAACTCATTCCTTTGTCCATCCTTTGCCTTGAACCGCCATCGGCGACGCGTTCACGTGCAGACTCCTCCTTCTTCGAGTATCTTGCTCATGCAATGGACGCCCCATCCCTCGAACGATGGCCGTCGGAGAGAATGGGTCAATCCGACTCAATCGCGTCTGCCTCATGGTTGCGACGATGAATGAAGGCGTGCATCTCCCAATAGCTTCTTTCTTCCTTCTTCAACGTGAAGTCCCCTATCGGTGCCCTTGCGATCTCGGTCGCGATTCCCCATCAGAGAAGCGGAATCCCTTCTTCAGAGCTCTCCTCTGCCCGTCGTTGACGCTCGCGTGGTGTCCGTCGAACCATCGACGTCCTGTCGTTCACCCAAAGCGACATGCTCGAGCAAAGAAACCCAAAGCTCGAGCGTTGCATGCCATTGTCCACGGCAGCAACATTGCTCACCAGCACGCTACGCACACCAGCATCACACCACGCGATGGTCCACCCGTAACCCAGAGAGCAGATACCATGCTCGAGGCGTCCGGCGTTGGCGTGGAGGCGTCCCAATGGCGCACAGTTTCGCTGGCATACAGGAAGCTGCCGTGACCAGGTCAGGGACCCTCGCTTTTGCTGGGTCTCTGGTCCGGAATACATTTCGGATGACGAAGTCGTTCCCGGTGACCACTGGTTGAACGCATGCAAGCTGTTGAATTGGCATACGAGGGGGTTTTCATGTCGTTCATTTTCTCACTAGTTGCTGACATTTTGATCTGTAATTCGCCAGATATGCTATACAAACTGCTCTCCAGGCCCCATGTCCAGTCCCCTTCCAGGTAGCCTCTCTGTTAAGCTCTCTTTGGTAGACAACCTCTGTAGGAGGTAGCAAAAGTATACCCTTACTGCTGAGTAATGAAAACAGTGGGTTACGCCCCCGATCTGTATCTGGCTGTGATTTACCCAACTCTCTTTGTCGTGGTTGAGCGACAGATTCTAAGAAACAGTGGTTGGCTGTTGGTAAGTATTATTTTACCGGTCTGTCAATATTCGTTCCCCTCATGCCCACCACTCAAGTATGGAAGGCTGCCTTTTCGTCTCGTACCGGTCGTCTTCGTGTCGCCTGCTTCATTCGATAACGAGTCATAAACTTGACTTCGTTGGCCCAATCATCAGTCAGGAGCCGCCGGATTTACCAACATCCTAGCGCCACAACCTTTGTGGCGTGCTCCAATATCCCCAAAGCCTGCTGGCTCAAATTTGTCCAACTTTCTTCCTAGTACATACACACATTCTGGAGTCGGAAGGCGACTTTTAATCGCCGCATGAGGCGTGCAACGAATGATTGGCTTCGTTCGCCATGACGCATGGCTGCCACACGTCAGTATATAAAGCACCAGCTGACGAACCTTGCTCTCCTACCGTTCGTCTCCCCTCCCTTCCCTCGGTCTCTCCTATTATGTCTGCGATGGAAGTCAGCCCATCGGATTTGCAGACTGTCAATGCCCACACATCATTCAATGCGGCGGATGCGAGCGCTCTAGGCTCTCCTCGAGACGACGATAGGACCGAACGCTCCCTTTCCGACGATTCATTCGTTTCTGTTACATTGCCCGACGACGTCGTCCTGGAATCTGGGACAACAGTGCCTCCTCTCGAATTTCAGGCTGGTACGTCGCCTGCAATCCATATACGTACATTACAATTTTTGACAGTTATTTAATAGATGTTGAGCTCCTCTCCTTAGTTCCTGTCATTGAGAGGTTGATTCATTCCTCCACCCTTGAAGGCGGCGAATATGTGCGTTGTCCCTTTTGTCCGGTCAGGCATATGCTGAACTTTGCTATTCAGCGCATCATGGGAGATATCACCGAGTCGGAATGGACGTCGCTGAAGTCGTATGCCAGGCGTGTGCGAGAACTGAAGCTGGGCCCAGATGATGGATCCACATCGCCAAAGATTGCGGATATGACCTTCTTCCGCCTGGCGCTGCAGCAAAGGCCAGGCAAGGCACTCTTCCCTTCGTTGAAGCAGCTTTCGATCCTAGGAGCCACATCATCCTTGTTCTATCTCCACCTTTTCCTCTCACCCTCACTCACGTCAGTTGAATTCACCGACATCACCGAGATATCACAGCCTGCCATAGCCTCTTTCCTCATGATGCTAGGAAGCCGGGCACCGTCACTGCATCGACTAGAACTTAGTTCTCTTCGCCTTTCACCCACAATAATCGCTTCCCTCCAGCAGTGCAAATCACTGCGCCATTTCGTTCTCAACGACCTCAAAATCGCCCCCGAGCTCAACCTTCTGGATGTTCTCAAGTCATTGCCGCTTCTGACCGTGCTTACAACCAACGTACACTCCGAAAATGTCTCGGATGCTCGGCCTGGTGGCTTTCATGACCAAACCTCATATTTGAATCCAACTTCCCATTCATTGAAAACACTTCACCTGTCCGGTCCATCCCCATCAATCAACGAAATAGTGCAGGGCGCAGTGACGGCTTGTGACACGGTTAAGGACCTCCAGATTATCATGATGGTTAAGGGCCCGACTAGGAGGGTGGGTAGTAAGAGTCGACAAGTGATGCTTGAAGCGCAGGCCTTGAATGAGGCTTTTGACTTCCTGCTCACACTCCCACTGGGAAGATGGGCACAATCACTGACCTCTCTCGCAATCGGCGTCGAGGACACCCCGACCTTTCCAGAGCGGCTATTCGAGGCGCTCGAGGACCTCCAGCTTCTGAAGTATCTTCAACTGTGGGGTGCTACAATAAAAGACCTCGATGGGTCTCTGCGACAGCTTTCTGGATCCTCGTGGCGGAAGAACATAGAATCGCTTCATTTTCCGTTCGCATGGTGCGAGAAAGGATCCAGCGCGATAGCCGTCGACACGTTGGTCCATTTCGCGGCAATATGCCCGAAGCTAGAGTCTCTCCACGTTCTCGTCGACATACAATCTTCTTCCGATAGGCGCTTCATCCTCCCCGACGGGCAGAATGCCAATAACATCTCTCCATCCCACCTTCGTAAATTGTCCATTGGCTCTTCATCCTTCCCATCTATGGATGTAGCAAATATTGCAGCACTCGCATTCACACTTTCTGCACATTTTCCACATCTCGAGACTATTGAGACAGACGAATCCTACTCGGGGGCGCGTTGGAAGGATGTTGATTCGCTCTTGAGGATGTCGCGGGCTAGTGCAAAGTTTGCACTCGAGCGCTTGACAGTGGTCATTGGTGATGGTCTGTCTGCGTAAGGCAGCCTAAGGCTTCTGCGCATGAGAATGAAATCTGAACCCTGTTGGAGTTTGATAAGATGTTCATATCATATGCATGATTGGTGCTCTCTCAGAATTGTGGACAGAAGAACAACGGGTAAAGAGCTCAACATATTCACCAAATCCCAGATACAAAATGTGCGATCGGGAAGCTAGATAAGACGAGTCTGCAAGAACAGAGTATCAGGGCACGGAAATTACAAGGTCAAGATACAGGTCGTTTTTAAATTGGCAGGTAGGAGCATAAATCGGAACGATTCCAGTCCAGAACGAAGGATATGCTATCACGAACACACAGATAGAGCCTGCATCTGGCTTCTCATTCTGCCCTGTTCCAGCGCCGTCGCCTCATGCCTTACTGCCTGGTACATTTGGATCATCTCATGCACCTGCGCCCACCGCTCCGAATCATGGCCCTCATACGCATTCACCCACCGCAGCTTCGGGAAGAAGTAGTCAATATGCCGGGCGAGGTGGAGGAGGTCCCTCAGCTCCCATGGGTCGTCGGCGGTGGAGATTGTCAAGGCATGGAGATTGTGCGCAGCTTCGTGCGGGTTACCTGAGGACACGAACGTCGGCAGGTCAACGGTGCTTAGCGGAATACGCAGGTGCCGGAGGTGCGGGCACCGCTCAGCGAGCGCACTAAGGGAGAGGATAGTCGGCCGCGTGCGTCCAGCTGAGATGAACGGTAGGAGTAACGTCGATAGCTCGGGCCATGCTACCGCGAGGTCCTCGATGTTCCTGTCGTGTAGCTCCATCACATAGCCCTCGAGCCGGACGTACGTGAGCTTGCGCAGCGGTAGAAGCGGTGCCAGGGCTGTGATGTCGAGCTCCTCCGCGGTTTCGTCCACTGCCTGATGCACCAGGGCTATTCGCCGTAGAGAGTCCTTCCAACAGGCCACGACGTCTGCCAGGAAGTCCTTCTTATCGACTGGTGGGTTGGACGGGGCGACAGCGACGAATGTCTCTAATCGCATCGAGGCGACGCGGGGCAAGAACGCTTGGATAAATGGCACTTGCGCAGTGATCATGAGGCTCCGTAAATCCTTCAGACCGATGTCGTTCTCGAGTGGTGGGATGTTGGAGTCAGTAAAGTCGAGTGCAAGATCGACGAGCGACGGCAGGCTTCCTATGTGCTCTAGGATCTCCATGTCCAGCGACTCGCCCATCCCTGCCAGTTCCAACTCCTTCAGGTGCTCAAACTGGATCACCTTGCGCACCGTGTCTCTCGATAGCCCCCTACCACGCAGGACAATCTTTTCCATAGGTGCCCCGTCGGAATGAAGTGTGTGTAGTACTGTTCCGCATAGCTTATCTTCCACATTAGAGATGTTTTCGAACTCGAGGGTTTGGAGGGACGGTGAAAGGAAGAGGCATATTCCTGATATCAGGAAGTCGTTTTGGCTGGTGGAGGGACAATGAAGGTGCCGGAGAGATGGAAGAAGAGGGGTTGTGCGGAGCTGGGCGAGGCGGAAGTAAACATGCATGGCGATGTCGAGGTTGTCTGGGTCTCTTGTGTACGAAAACTTGCGCACTCTCCGCCCATACCAGTCGAATCGCGCCCAGTCTTCTGGCGATATCCTCCCCCGCAGGACCTGCGGGTCGAGTTATGAGAGCTACAGGCAGCGTGAATATAAAGTAAACTTACATAAGTGTCGTCGCTCTGGAAGAACGCGGGCAGCACCTTCAATAAAGGGAATAGAGAATCCAACGACCTCCAAAGTCGGTCCAGGGCCGGTTCCAAGAAAGATCTACACGTTAGGGCGACCCATAGGAGGACCTGTCTGCTCCTGCTGATGTCGTCGGGGTCATAGTCGTATTCGTACGAAAGGTATTCGCAGATTTCGTCGAGGATGTCTGGGTTGCTGTGAAAAGGTAGTCGAGCGCTTCTAGCGATAGATCCTGAGGCCGCCGACGTCGAGGCCACTGGAGATACCTGCAGGTTCATCTGATCTGATCTCTCCAGGATGCGACATTGGGGGCGTGTTGAACACTTACTGTGGGGTTTGTTGATGATGACGGTCGAGGAAAAGATTAGACGCGTGAGGCTTCAAAAGTTTGATCAAAATCAAGCCGACGGCTAAAATACTTGGGGGACTATTGATACAATTACGGGATTCGAGATCGTAGTAAATGGGTTATTCTAGTCAAAGGGAACAGGTCGTATTCCAGGTCCAGACAGTTTGAGACCACCGTCGTGCTGTTGCGTCTCTCGAGCAGCAGCGAAGATAGACGGGACAGGGATTCCACAACAATCGCCCCACCCAACCTCTCTCTGGCCTGCACCGCCGAGATCTGCATGGGCGTGGGCATGACCTCTGTGGGCATCGTCGACAATATCGTTCGATTTAGGCGGTTCAGGTCCTTCGTATTTCAGGATAGAGCCAAAAAGGAAGTGTTGAATCACAGGTAGCTTCCCAAGAACCTCAGCGAGATACATCTTGATCATCCCAGAGTTGACTTTGTCCCATGTCTTGACCTAGAATAGGATGAGCGGGTTAATGGACTATGAGTGAGGTCCCGCTCACAGCTGAGATGTCGTCAAGCATGGGCGAGTGCCACCGCAAGGAGGCTGTCTTGATCTTCAGAATGATTCAGTTCCGGAAGTTGAGCAAATCTAGCGAAACCTGGCTCACGGAATTGATGAATGCGATGCATGCAAAATACATGTAATGCTGTGAATACTCTTCGACGATTTCAGGATCATGAATCGCCTTCGGCCGGATATACTTGTGACCACGAAGTTGGGCAGAGCCAAACAAGAAGGGCAAGAAGTGGTAGTCGTCCAAGCCCCATACACCATGCGATCCAGCTGGCTCGAGCCAATATGTTGACTGCAAAACGCGCATAATTTGAATGTATCTATAAAGGATCAAATTAAATCCACACTAATTAGGAGATGGACTACACGCACCTCCAAAACACCTTCAGGACGAGAGCCTTATGGTCGGCCGCTTCAAACACTCCTAGACGTTCTAGGCATATACTACAAGGGAAAAACTTCAGAGCGTATTTGAAGGGGATAGTCACGGACAGTACATACAGCCAGCAGAGAAAATTCAGTTCCATTCCACTGCCATAGTCGATTCGAGTCCGATTGCCCCATGATTCGTTGAAGTAGACGGAGACTTCGGGTATGCTTTCAGTTGGAAGATTTGGTAGAGCATTGTGCCATTCAGCCGATTTCTGATGCACATATCTCAATAAGCAATTCGCCTTCAATGAGGCCGATCTTACCTCCGAGACCTTATCGTAAAAGGTTCTGAACGCAGGGTTGCCAAAGCGCGAGGCTGCGTTGTCGACTGGGGGCGTCTCTTTAGCCATTTGCTCCACCTTGTCTAGCATTTCCAGTACTGCAGCGACACCCTGATCATTCATATGTTTCTTGCACAACAAGTACAAGATCCAATACTCACTTTCGACGCAGGACAGTCATCCGTCAGCTTAGCCCCTACAACTGCATTGTTGAGGGTTTCAATGTAGGACACGATATCTTGATGGGTCTTCGATTCCTGAAAGGCTTGGCGTTGTTCTTTGATTAAGATTATTTTCCGAGGAGGTTCGTAAGTCATGGTGGTAGGAGACGAGGTTGAACGAGACTTATTCCACTGGTGATTTCTCCGAACCCTAACCTTACATTTTCTAGAGCCTCTTCCTCACCCACCACCATCTAGGGTTGCGGGAAAAACTAGGGAGTTTTATACCAAGTGTAAGTTACTAGGTAAATTACATAGTAAATTACCTATTTTATACATTGGCTCAGGTCATGCCGGTATAAAATGTATAAAATCTTTTCTCACAAGCATGGGCTGCAAGTAGGGCTGCCAACCGTGCCGGGTACGGTGACGGCCGTCCAAGGACGGCTGGAGGTCGGGTTTAAATGAGTGAGAACCGGCCGGGTATTCAGGAAAGGGATGTACCATCGGGTCGGGTCGGGAATAAACACGGCCGTGTACGGCCGTCCTCCAACCCGGTAACATAAGTAACCCTCGGCGCCTAAATTTGCTGATTGGTCCCTCCGACTGTGTGGGCCTTTGGCATGGTGAGATGTTGGGTAGTAATCTTTTCAACCCAACTCATTCGGGCATTTTTTAGAGAGCCTTCGTAGCATGCCACGGCCAATGCATTCAAGCGCCCATCGAACAACTTCGGACTATTGGATTGGACCAGCGGGTGCACATAGCCGCATCCCGAATCACCTCCACTAGCCACGGAGACCCATCTCCTGCACACTTATCTCTCTCTATTTCATCTTGTATCTTCTTGACGCCCTCATAAGTCGTCATAAATTCATCCCTCATACTTATATTTCGTCGTTTTTGTGGGCTTATGACATCATTCAAAATATCAGCTTCTCTGGAGTTCTAACACATTATTAATTAAGCGCTCGTCCCAGGTTCTGGCACGTTTCGCATCGCACCTCTCTTCTTCACTCACTCAAGCTACTCAAGTCTCGCACACCCAGGGAATGACGCACCTCGCAATTTGCGTCGCGCCGCTACTCTATCGGGATATGTAGGTGTTATATTTTATGCATATTTGTCTACCCATTATACACAGTTAACCTACCAATCACTAGGCATATCATTCGATACAGAGATGAGTAACAATTACTCTCAAACACGGCTTTCCGTTGACGGATTCCACTGGCTGACCAAGCACAGCTTGGACAGGTGCTGTGAATGGTTCAGCCGTCCCGGGTGAGGGAAGCCAGGAATGGTTCCAGTTCGGCTACCCGTGCCGTGCGTTGGCTGCCGTCTACCGTCGCACATGGGTTCGGTTGGCAGCCCTAGCTGCAAGAAGTCTGCCATTTGGTCATATTCAGAGGGTGATTTCACCAAATTTCCTGCCAAAAATCGGATGAATTCATCTCAAACGCAACATAAATGTTGCCCAAGGGTTAGTGAAGCCAAATTTTCATGTACTTCTAGGCAGAATCAAGTTGATCAACCCCATATGTCAGAAAAATCAAATTTCACCTATATAACCATATATGGGCATATAAGGACCTGTTAGGGCATCAGAAAATCGGGGCTCATATGGATGGCAAAAAGTCACCCATCCAATTGTATAATATGTGCAAGGATTATCGAACTTATGGCCCTAAAACACCATATTAGGCCTGATTCCGTGTCCACAGCTGTTCAGGCCTTCTCCAGGGTTATGAGGGCGAATAGGTGTCTTCAGAAAAACCTACGAATGCTGACCGAAAAAAGTCATATTCGGGTGTACTGATGCTTGTCCTTATCCAAAAGGAGGGAATAAAAATTAATTTCATTTTCTACTCTAGGAGAATTACATGCCCCCCCTCGGGATTTACATTTCCGTCGTCGTACAAACAAAAGAAACCGACATTTCGAGCTGCTTGAGGGAACGGCCAATCGAGTTGCAGCCTTGAATGAAATTAACTCAAATTCATTGCGGGACCAAATAAATCCTTACCGTTTGTGTACAGAAGTGAGCCAGCCGCCATCCTATCCACCAAAGTCAGCTGCAACTTTCTAACACATGAAGACGGACACACGTTAACAGAGTCAGCGCCCCGCCTGCTACCTGCTTCTTACAATCGATGCCTTAGAGAAAATAAGAAAGCCTATTTGTGGTGAGTCAACGTTAAGATACAGAGACGTACGATCGTAGGCACGCACCGAGTATAAGACACCCTGCTAAGTGAAGTTTAAGTTAGTAGGTGATACGTGAACAGAGTGAGGACGCACCATCAGACAGAAGCCGGGTACCACCGATGTCCATCCAATCTCGAACTCAAAGTCAGCGGGAAGGAACTGCGCTGGAATAAGACGACGAAAGCCCGCTTTTATAACCCTTTCCCGCCTGGACCTCAGCGCCTAGATATTGCCCCAAGGCTAATCTCCAACTCAGAATTCACAGGCCTAACCGACTGCCAGAGGGATGTGGGTGCTTCGAGGCACTAATCTGGATCCTAATTCGACCCCACGATGTGTAAGTATGCTGACGAGACTTTTCCCTTCATCCTGGTCTATTGCCCACGGCCCCGGAGGTACAGACTTTAGGACAGCTCCTGTGACCTAGGGTATGCTCAGAACTTCAAGTCCGCTCGTGAGCTGAATAAATGGACACTCGCCTTAGTCGAAACAAGTACCCTTTGAAGATAATTTTGACGTTTCGAGAGGGTGAGAGGTATCTTCTTTTGAACTCCTTCTTTGAAAACTACGGCTTTTCGAGGTAAAGTGATCAGATGTGATCAGGACTTACCAGAGGTTACGGATTTCTGATACTCACTGACGCTTGACTTACCAGCGCTTACAATTGATTATTAGTAGCATCACGCCAGCGTATCAGCGGGGCCAGGGGTGCCAGGAGCCGCAAGGCCTTATAATGGAAATTGTGTTTTTCTGACATAGCTATTAAATTCTGCGCCTACTATTATCTGATGACTTTTTAAAAGCATTCTGCCGTGTTTCTTTTCAACAATGGTCGCTGGGTCAGTGCGTGTCGGTCGCTGTTTGGTCTTTGTGAATGAACATCTGACTCAGTTACATCAGAAATATCTGGGGTAATGGTAAATTGTTGGGACCCGGATTGGGCGAGTAACCGACTGAAAGAATGCTGGGATGCCAAGCTAGGGGGGAGACAGGTATACTTATGTCTCGTGTCCGTAGATAAAAATGGTTAAGGAGCACGAATATACCTTTCTAACTTGTCTGCAGGCAGAAGGCTGCAGACAGCATTGATTTGTGCTCGGAATTCGCGGGTTTAGGCTCACAATGATCAAAAAGATCAGTCATGTGTTGGGAAAAAATCGGTAATCTACATACTAAAACCAAGGTTTTTGTCCGGGAGTCAACTTTGAAAGTTGACAGGCACAACGTTTTCCTCTGTCGTGTTTGGGCCTGACCAGTCAAGCAAGTGATCGAGCGCTTACATTTTATCATCCTTTGGCCATTCCATATTCAGCCACTATGCCAAAAATTGTTGGCTCACCGACAGCAGGGGCTCTCAGTATTTTCATCCCCTATCGAGCAATCAATAAGCCCGTCCAAAGTTGATTCAATCGAGAAATTGCCCGGGATGGAAGGGAGAGGAGCACGGCCTTGAGTAGAATTCGAGTAAACAATCATGCAGTGTGTCAAGTTGGTGCTGAATTCATGACCTGCCGGAAGTCGCTCGGCACGACGGAGCGCCCCGCGCGACGGAGGGGCGAAGGCGAGCGGCACTGCAAGAAACAAATAAACTACAAGTATTTCAGTCAGTGTCAGTACCTATCAGTTCTATGCTTCTATCCCCCACCCCCGTGCGAAGCACGGGCAAAACTCTAGTTTACTATATAAAAATGTTATTTACCACCAAGAAATTTGGAATTTGTAACTTACATATTTACATGCACCGAGGGGAGTTTTTCCCACAACACTACCACCATCATATCTACCGCTGCCTGCAATGCCGACGCCTGCTGCAGCACTGCGGGCATCGCTAGAGAAGCACAATGAAACCTTTGAATCGCTACTGAAGCTGATTCCGGCCCAATACTACATCGTCAACGACGACACAGAAGAGGTTAGTCCTTAATCGACGAAACACTTGCATTCTTTTGACACTCCAGTACAGGCCGCTTCAAAGTATCAGAAACATAGCAAAAAGCTAAAAGCGCCTAAGCAGGCGATAAAAGAGGCTTCGAAAAAGGCAAAACGCGAAAAGGTGTGTATGTCATCTCTAACGAGAAGTTTTATTTACCAGCCATCTTACTGTACGCTAGCTCGATCCGGCAAACCACAAGTCCATAATCGACATCCAGAACGAGGCTCACGGAAAGAAATCTGTGAATGGCAAAGGAAAGGGCAAGCGGAAAGCCTCGGCTGCTCTGTCGGACTCTAAGGACGACGATGCTTCAATAGACGTCGATGTCGATATACAGGATGTCGACGATGAAGACGACCACGAAGACGACATGGACGTGGAGACCCTGCTAAAGCCTATGCCGATATCCAGTGGGGTAGAGTCACTACGCGAAAAATTGCATGCGAAGATGGCTCAGCTGCGTCAAAGAGGGAGGGGAGAGGCGGGTGATAAAGACGACCTGCTGGAGGAACGGAGAAGACAGAGAGCCGCAATGCGTGAGCGGCGGCGCAAGGAGACGAGGGAGAAGATTAAGAGAGAAGAAGAGATGAAAGGGAAGAAGAGCAAAGATAAAGAGAAGCAGAATCGGGATAAAGGGAATACGACGAAGGTACCTTGGCAAAGGCTCGCGAAATCCTCACATTTTCACTAATGGAGTACCTTAGACACAATTGCTCGTTCCCGACCAGCCATCACACAAAGCCGACGGTCCTCAAGCGCGAATGACGACCGTCGCGTACTCATCTATCGCTGGCTCCTCGAAGAAGGGCCAACAATTCAAAACCACCGCCGACCCACAACAGGCCTTGCAGCAACTATCCGCGCGGAAAGAGAAACTGGCGGCCATGCCAGAAGAGAAGCGCAAGGCGATTGAAGAGAGGGAAAAGTGGGCCAAGGCTGAGGCCCGGCTTGAGGGCGTCAAGGTGCATGACGACGAGGCCCGGCTGAAGAAGGCTGCAAAGAGGAAGGAGAAGCTTAAGGCGAAGAGCAAGACGACCTGGTTCGTGTTGTTTCCTCACCATCTTCTTTTTTTTTTTTTTTGGTGCAGAACAGCCACCTGATTTTTTCATCGTGCAGGGAGGAGAAAAAGGATCAAGTCACGGCAGCCATGGCTGCCCGACAGAAAAAACGCAACGATAACATTGCCATGCGGAATGAGCGACGACAGGACAAGAAGAAAGGTGGCTCGAAGAAGGCTCGACCTGGCTTCGAAGGGAAGTCGTTTGGTGGGAAAGGGAAGGGGAAGCCGAGTGGCAAGGGCAAGTAACACTATCTCAAGGCTATGCTCGTCATCTGTAGTGCTTTCGCTCACAATTCCATCTCTTTCATGCGCCGATTCTTCTTCTTCCAGATGCGGAAACGCTGTTGCCGGAGTTTTTATGCCTCGCATTCATCCTGCCTCGCACCTCTGCTTCCACCGTGATCACTTCTCATCCCTCCTAGTCCTTGTGGGGTCTTTCCTTCTCAGTGGATCTATTCGGCCATTCTGCTTTTCACTGCACCAAATGCTGTTGAGTGGTTGGTCCTTCGTGAAACTGTTGTTGACTGTCTCGCAGGATTATTGGACTGCGTCTATAGGCCGTCGATCTAGCATCGGTGTTGTGTATGATGTATCAAGACAAGTACCGCTCAGAACATTCAAGTGACTGGTATTCAAACGCTGTTTCTTCAGGATTTAATTACCACTTATCATTAAGCTCTAGGTATCTACGCTCCTGCGAGTAAATTCCCCGCACTAGACGATGGCAACTTCAATAAGCTAACGGCTCTCGCTATGCTGCTTAAGTAGACGCCAACACTCCGTCCTGCGAGGAGATCCTTCATTACATAAAGTGTGGTCTCTGATAAAGTAACGTGATAAAACGCTTTTGCAGTTATATAAAAAAACTTACTCCTACGTTGGTGTTTGGGCGCCTATGACCCTCCAAGGTTGTGAGACTGGGAAGTTATGGAAGGCGCGTACGGTATCAGGAGCTCCATGGAGAAGCTATATTTTACCTCATAGGTCATTCTATACAACATATATCCAAGCTTGCAAAGCTCTTTAATACATGGGGGGGTTAGCAGGGACCCATCTATCCTTCTCTTGGCGCTGCTGAATATCTTTCGGCTCGACATGGATAATGGCACCATTCCCTTCTAGCTTGATAGTGAACCTGGATCCAGCAGCCATCAGACCGACGAGGACGCCAACGCCAAACGCTCCTAGAAGTTTTGCACCGTTGTTCTTCAGTAAAAAGGGTGAGTTAGGTTTCCGACAGCGTGAGCAGGGCTTCGGCGAATTGACTTACGTCCTTGAACCACTGGCTGTTCATATCGGCAGGCGAAGACATTTTTAAGGGGAGCTTGGTATCTGTTGGTAGGGCGCTTTCGTAAGGAGAGGTTGAAGAAATCGTCTATCTCAAGACTTACAAACAGGGGTATAGAATCTGGGCGGGGAGCGGGCCGAAGATTGTCGGATGTACCCCCACCTCGAACGTCGTTGGCTCTTTATACGTCGTCTCGCCTCTGTGGCCCTCCGAAATGCGTCTGCAGCACCCAATAGGTAATTGGCACAAGGCCACCCGTTGTCGTTGACTGCGGCCAGAATATTTTGTTAAGCGACGTGCAGGAAGCGCACAATGAACAAAGGCCGTGGCGCCACACGGCAAGTGCTGGATTTGGCAATATTTTCTGTGCTAGGAAACCAATCGAATGAGCCTAATATTTGATGGGCCGCCATAAGGCAAGGTCAAAATATAGGTACACAGCATGTCGACGCTTCTCGAGGCCACACAGGAAGTTGCATATGCCGTGCACACCTTCCAGAAAAGGGGGTTGACGGAAACTTGAACAATGAAAAAATGGACGTTGTGGCTACACGAGTAAATGAAAAGGAGTAGATTGGTGAATAAATACGTCCGAACGAGAGTACGAATCAACCAAGCGGCAACCGGCGTGCTGCTCCAGTCCATGATATATCCCTCTAGAGTATGCACCCCAAGCTAATAACCTTTAAATATTTTTGATCTTACTACTTTTATATCTTTTAGTAACCGAATTAAAATAATCGCTCTACCCCCTGACGACACCAACAGTAACCTCCGGGCCGCCCTCCTCGCCCTCCTCCCGAAAGTCCTTCAGGCTTCCGATAGCGCTGACGACTCTCTCCCATGCCCACCGTGTTAGCTTCAGCACGTCATCATCACCTAGGTCCTCCTTGACGTGCAGCTCCAGAGTAACGACCAGTGACTCTTTCTCCCTCTCCCTCTCCCTGTATACCCCATTGCCATTCGCCAACCCCTTCGACAAAGGCGCAGACGCGAGACTTGGTGTGAGTTGCCAAACATGCGGGGCAGGAAGATGCACGACTTGCGGATGCCTCTCGACCTCGCGCATGGCTCGGAGGAAGGCCTCCATCTTGCCGCTCGCCATGCCACGCGGAGGAGAAGTCTGGAGGAGGACGGTTCCAAGGACGAGGCAGGCCCGGTACGCGATCTTGAACGTCACGAAGGCGATCACAGCAGCGAGGATAAGGTCAGCAATAGGGTGCTGGGCGCTGGTGTGTGACGATTAGCGAGACTTCGAGGAGGCAGGAACAAGAGGACCATACTAAGGTATGAAAAGCGCTACGCAGAGGATTGCAACACAGAAAAAGAGTGGGCTCGCGACGAAGGGGTTAGAGAGGAGGCGTGCCAGGACCGTAGTCGGTGGTGGGTCATGTGCAAGGCGAGAAGGTGACCATATCGAGCGGAGAAGAGAGCTTAAGGAGGGTATCCGATTACCAGTGACTGGAATCTCAACATCAGACGTTATGGGCGTGGCTCCAGAAAGACGGACGTACTGTTGACCAATTTAGTGTGATTATCAAAGAAATAGGCAGTCGCAAAGAGTGAAACGAATGTAAAAAAGCTCATAAAGATAGGAAAATCGATGCTGAACGCCATCGTCAGCTGTCGTACCAAGATTAAGCTAAAGGAGGGGTCGGCTTACCCAATACCCTCCTCTTCGTCGCCGCCATGGTGGTGGTGATGGCCGCCTCCCAAGCTAAGGAGGACATGCTCGACGGTCTCTTTGCAGACGTAGACCGCCGAAAACATAAGATAAACCGCCTGTGCAAACATCACAACAGTCTCGAGGCGGCCATTGCTGAAAAATCATGTCAGACATGAATCGTAGCAAGCTCGATAAACTCACCCGTATGGCCGCCTGACCTTTTCCTTCTCCTTCGCTGCCTGACCACTCTTGGCCGCCGATGCCAGCCAGCCGGGAACCACACCGCTCAATGCAACCCCGAACGAGTCGAAAACGATCCAATACCCCAGTCCAGTTGTCGCCAACGACCCAACTTGCTGTCCGGTTACCCACAACCATGCTCCGAGGAGGAACTGGCCGATCGACGAAGCCACAGCCGCCGGCGATATCTCTTCCGGTTCTTCTTGTTCCACAAAAGCGTGCCCATTCCTTACTGGAGGTAGCTTGAACCCACTTGAGGTGGAAGTTGCTGCTGCTGAATCAGGAAAGGCGGATATCGGGCCCCAGGGCGATAACGGGACTGGGGTCGGTTGGGTGTGCAGCTCCTCGTCGCGCATCGGAGGTAGCCCACTGCCTGGCTCGAGGAACGAGAAGAAATTGTGTGATAACGAGTGTTTGTGGTGGTGTCCCCGTCTCGACGTCGATGACGAGGCCGACCGCGGACTCATGAGTTCAGGCGTTGGCAGGCCAGCACTCGACGGCGGCCGTCCTCCGAAGGTGAAACCCTGGCCGAGGGGTGTGATGGGCTGTCGCCGAGCGCCTGGAAGGCTCACATTCGTGCTAGCAGCGGGGATGAGCGGTGCTTCTTCGTCCACCGGAACCTCCAACTCCTGCGACCCGTCCTCCGAAATCGCGCTCTCCGGTAGCGAGCCTGGACGCGGGAAGAAGATGGACAGGTTGCGAGAGTGCAGTCTCGAGTGTCGGCGCGAATGTTTCGCTGCTGGGGCACCTTGACTCTCGCCTTGCTCGGGTGCAGAGTGCGACGGAGTGATGGCTGGAGGCAGCATGGTGGGCGATTTGAGAGGTGGATGGGGAGGAAAAGCCGCCCCGAGAGGCGATGGGGCGCTGGGCGTGAAAGATGATATCGACCTTGTGCGGCCGTGTCCATTCATCGGTACTGAAAATGATGACCTCAGCGGGGAAACGGGTGAGACACCATTCGCAAACGTTGTTCGGAATGGCCCTGCAGACGGTGGGTGTCCGTTTGCCATTGAAGCACTTCGCGTATGGCCATGGTTGTGAGGGGTAGACATTGTCCGAGTTCGTGGCGAGGGTCCTATCGTCACTGCTGGTGTCGTGTCACCAGCGGGTGCCACTATGATATCTGCATTCTCTTCCTCGTCTTTGCTCGATTTTCGACGATGAATCTGCTCTGTTTTTACAGACATCTCGACGGGCAGAAACTGGAGCAATTTTTAGCACGAAATCCGGTTCAGAAGAAATTTTGCCGGACGGACAAGATACGCACCAGTTTGTTCAGTATGCACGCTGGAATGCGATTCACGGTCAAAGAGCGCCAAATGAGTACCTAGCGGAGGGTATTGCAAAAGGCAACGTCAAAAGCCTTCAGGACCTCATTGAAGTTGAGAATAAAGGGGCATCTTTACAAATCGTGGAAAAGTTCCTTCTGCATGAGGAAACGGGTAAGCCCGAGGCCCCTGTCTAGGAAAATACATACTCAAGCTACTAGCTAATAGCTTTCATATGGTGACTACACATGGTAGCTACACACGTGTGGTGAATACAGAACAGTTCAATCATATCGGCTCCAAAACAGGGCGAGAGACCATTAAAGTTGGAGGAATCTCCCGGCACGCTTATTGTGTTCGCATTTCTATCAACTCTAACTCGGCTGACATTAGTGTCAAACCGAAGAACACAAGCTCAAAAATTCCCATACTCCTTCGTGAAGCACATGGACTCTCCATCGCCGAAGAGTATGCGAGGTAGATCATACAAAGCCCGTTAGATAATAGGATCTGCCATAAGAATAAGTACACTGTAAACCTAATGAGCAAATAATATTGGAGAGTTAGGGTCTCTTAAATAAATCCCGCTTTGATTGGGGAACTCGGAAGACATTCCATATAATCGTCATTGAGATCCTGAAAGACCGCTCTCTCTGAAGGGGGGACATGTCGGACATCGTAGTTGGAAAGAACTGGTTTGGAGTGCCGCATCGCGCAAAGACCTCGTGGGAATTGTGGGCGTCCGCAGTGCTACACCTGCGTTGTGCTATCAGGCTTTATTGGTGTGCTCTTAAATGAATAGCACCGCCTAGTTGGACGTGAAAATCTCATCTCATGTGGCGGAGGTGGCTGTGTAATTGAGCGTCTATCTCTGGCGCCTCCCCGATTCTCCCATCACACCGAAACAAACCGAAATCCTGGCCACAAATAAATTAAGTACTATCCATTTTTCAGAATGAACACAGACTACGAATTTGTGACTGTGCATGTCAATCCGCCACTCACAAGTTGACCATGCACGCTTCGCATCAATCGCACGATTAGATTGTTATCTACTTGAGCCTGTCTTGATCTCACAGGGTCGCCAAACCATGAGAAAGTGGGTCGCCGAGGCCCTGTCATAGATACGATTGCTGTTCTCTATAACGTAGATGGACTACTCGAGAACAACTAAATATAGTGACCGACTACAATTGAGTGCGGACAACGACGTGGGCGGTAACATAACGTGGGTAAGTACTGAGCGCCGAGCGCACAATGCCGGCAGTAATCAAGCAGTGAGAAGCAGTGTCTCAAGATCCTTCCTTGCTATCTCGCTCTTTCTCTGGCGCTCATGCTCTCTCAGTTTGTTGCCGTCGCCGCTGAAAACTCAACTTCCTCGCACTTCGAGCCACCCTCCCTGTCATTCGACAACGGCTTGGTCGAAATCTCCGCCCTCACCACACTTATTGGGTCGTCTGCAGCAGCTTCCCTTGTGTTGGGAAGTCGAGGGCCCGCAGGCCTAGCATGGGCGGCGACGAGCGCTTTCTGTGTAATCGCAGTAGTGAAGGGCTGCCTTAGTGGTGCCATACCAGGATGGCTGCAGGAGACTATCGGAGTTCGCTCCTCAGCATCGGACCTAGCAGTCGGCCTTCAGTTGGATCTGGGAAGCAATTCATACGGCGCTAAGAGGGTCAGGAAGACTTTGGACAGGCCAATTGCTATTCAATGTCAAGGAGATATAGGGAATGAGAACAGCTCGTCTATGGTATGTCATTTTTGGCTTACAGTCTTTCCTTACATAACCGTTGAATAAACCTTCTCCTTGACATCACACAGAAAGACCTAGGAAGCGATGTTTACGCCTTTGATTACTCCACTTCAGCCATGCTTAATCGCGTACCAGAGACGGAACCTGGGCAACTAACTCGCGCTTTCGCCTACGCCCGCTACAACTTTGTTCGAAAGCACAGCACCGGGATCCAAATGGGGACCATCAGTCTCTCTTTTTTGAAACTCACCGAATCCTACATTTTATGGAGAAACAACAGCGAGATGCTCGCCATGGTTACATCTATCCCTTGGTTCTATTTCTTTGTCGCTGCCTTCGTCGAGGAAGTTATCGAATTGAGGCGCGCAGCAAATCCAGAAACGACGTTAGGTCCAATCGATATTCTCTCTGGGACTGTCCCTGCAGTGGGACGACCTGGGAGCAATCGTAAGATTATAATTGGCGCAGCTCAAAATCCAAGGCACGCTCTCCGTTGGACGATAATGTGGAGCATAGGGGCCATTATATGTACTTCCTCAACGTTGATGACTTATCTTTTGTTGGGAAAGCAATCGACGGAGGTGGTTCTGGTGTGGGTTGGATTCCAAGCTCTGTGGATGGTTCTCCGTCTACTGGTGCACCATCTCATCGAGCCAGACGATCCGGTCGAGAGTCGCCAACTAGCGGACCAATCTTTATCGTCGCTTTCTCCCGATATGAAGATGCGAGTGCTGAAGCTCGCTATGGCGTTATCAAAGTACCAAGCATCCATACATCCGCGAGGCGACTATTCCTACCCCTACGACTGCTTCACGGCGTCGGACATCCCTGCGTTGATCGCTCAACATTCCTCCGTTTATCCAACTGACAACCTCACCTTTTCAGATGCGAGTCTAGCTTCCATCCAAACTTCCATTAAAGCTGTTATCGGAGACACGACTCTTTCAAGCGCGACATGGATTTCTGGTTCTAAACCAACACCCATGGACCTATACGACAGCTGTGTGGTGGTGTTCAATATTGGGACGAAATATAACCTCTCCTCCGATATCAGCCTTCCGTCGTATTCATCATCCGTCCTTGCAATACCAGCTGTGCGAGTTCTTTCGGGCAAGACTGTCGGGCCGTCATTGCCTACCGATCCGGAAAAGGACACCACGATTCATTTTGTGCCAAAGGGGTCTTCCAATGCAGGTTTCGGATTGTCGTGGCTGTATTGGATACCTCTCGATTCCGGTGATTGGTTGTTTGTGCACACGCCGGAGGATTCGTTGGATGTTCGCGGACGACAAGTCGGACGCTTGATGACGGATGGGGAGGTTACCGAACAGCTATCGGCTGGCAGGCTGAACATTGGGTTTTCGCATGTCGACGATGTAAAGGCGGCCCTGGAAATGTCGAAGCGTGGTTTTATGGATATACGGAGAATCCTTGAGTAGGCTCAGTACCGGGTGCTTTATGATAGAATGTGCGTTGCCTCTAGTGGATGATCGAATATAGTGTATCTTGCTTTCAGTTGCCCAGCATGACATATGGCCCTATTAGAGCCTATTAGACCGTTGGCCGTTCCCTACTTATTTATGCTTTAGAAATCTGTCAGAGATTTCGCGTGGCGTATGTGGCTGTACAATTGAGCGTCTATTTCTGGCGCTTCCCCGATTCTCCCATCACACGAACAAATAGAGATATGTTCATGAATAAATTGCACTACGCCTTTTTCAGAACGAAAACACACTATAAATTTAAAAATGCACTTGTAAATACGCCTGTGGCAAGTTGATCATGCGATGACGCGCTTCGCGTCAACCGTACGATTGGATTGGTATATCTTCAGCAGCGTAAGGACGTATTCCCACTGTTCGGAATTGAAGCCTGGTCGGGTCTTCAATTCATCAAGAACAGGAAATAGGGAATATAGATACTGCGCGACTCTGAGCCTGTCTTGATCGGGAGCAGTGTTGCTCCCAACTGACAAAACCTTCAAACCATGAGAGAGTGGGCTGGTAAGGCTACGCTCGAATTCTTGCGGTTGGTCCAAGAAACGATCGATTCGGCACTGGATGTGCTCCATGGAAGAACAGTTTTCTGCAATATATCGGAGTGTATGCAACGAGATGCCTTCCCGGAGCTCAGAGATAGGGAGAGAAAGAGCTCGGAGGTTGGAAGTATCTGGTAATAAGCGAAGAGATGCATCGACCGCTTCTATATCCCATCCAACAATGCTGAGGTCGAGGAGTGTTGGGATGTGAACCAGGGATTGAAAGGCCGAGGAAGGGAATGCTGGGTAAGTATACCTCGAATCCCCATTGACTTGTTCGACACAAAGACTCTGGAGCGACTCTTTTCCGAGGGAGGATAGTCTACCAAAATTTTTGTCAATTATTTCCCCGTCAATAGGAGGGGGAGGGGGAGGAGGAGGATGCGTCGGAAGACCCCAGATTGAACCTGAACCGCACTTTTCCTTTTCTTCCCATAATGGCGGTGAAATGTCCCACGGAGTTGAGTCCCGCCCTTCCTCTCCTTCCAACATTTGCGTCCGTGCTGCACGACCTTTTTTGCAGCACTTGCAATGTTTTATATGACGAATCATAGGCATGGGTTTTGGCTCGGGTAATTTCAGCGGCTCTTTTTCTGGAAGTGGAACGGGGTTAACGGGAACGGGAACCTTCGCCATCCACCATTCCGTCGACATTGCGGAAGGCACAAACGTCAAATTGGCTTCATGGAGCTTGGCTGTACGAAGGAAGTGAAGCAAGTCGCCAATGAGCATTAGATTCCCGGTAACCGATATACTGGAGAGCCGAGGAAATTTTGGATGCAACAACTGGGAGGAGCCAGGATCGCGGTTGTCAGAGGCAGATTCCTCCGATCCGAACTCCAATATAGGCGCGGGAGGCTGTGGAGGGTCAACGCGGCCAGCATATTGGGCATTGCGGGCGTCAACGACCAATTTTTCTAGCTGGGAAAGAGCGCCGACTCGTTCTATGAGTGTAAAGTCAAAAGGATCTACCACGTCCTTGAGTTCGAGATAGCGGACGTGCTCGAACCGGAAGAATGTCTGTAACAGTGGTTCCGGGAGACGTCCTGGCCCCAGGATAAGTTCCTGGACGTGTTGAGCGCTCATCGTAATCAGCGCAGTCAGGAAGGAGCGGAAGCTGGGGGCGCTCGCGCTTGAGAGTGACGCGATTTCAAGGGTCCTGATGGAAGGCGATAGAAAGAGGGGGAGGTGGGAGAGGTTGGAATTGGCCTGAACAACACTCAGTCGTTCAAGGGACGGGAAAAGCGGCTTGTCAGGATGCTGAAGCTGCGCCAAACGGAGGATGGTTTCGATCGGGATACAAGGAATGTTCTTGTCCAATTCATCCCGAAGAGTGAATCCACGAACTCGTTTGGCATAATGGGAGATCAGGTTCCAATCCTCTGCATTTATCGCACCATCAATATACTACAAAAATCGAAGAATGGGTATTAGAAATGTAACACTTGGCCCGAACGAATCATGACTCACATAGGCATTGTCCTCGAGCAGGAGAGCGGTAGGTGGCAGACACATCAATAGTGGAAGGAAAGAATCGATATCCACCAGCACGATTGGCGTCTGAAGCTGCGGGGGAAGTTCTATCCCGCATTCAAGCGAGTCTAGAGGATTTGGCTTGATCACGGTATCATCCATTTCATCTTCCTGGATTATGATATCGGAATCGCGGGAGTTGTCTGAGATTTCATGGATGTTGGCAGCAAGTTCACTGACTGTAAGCTGAGAAGGAGAAGACATTTCCACTTGAATGAGCTGAGAGGCTCTTGGCGGCCTGAGGAGAAAGAGATGAAGAGGAGCGTCGACACCGATGATTGATTCAGCGTCTGATAATCTGACACTGACAGGTCTATTTCCACGATCTTGGATAATTTGATCCTATGATTCTAAGAATAGCGGAACCGTTAGCTATAAATCGAGCGTCTCAAAATGTACAGCGACTTGCCTATGCATCGAATACCATTTTGTTGACTCACCTGGAATGCCCAACGCGGCACGCCTCAGCCAATCTATCCTCGCGGCCCTTCTATCCACCTTCCGGCCTGTCCCTAAGCATGTTGTAATTGCAGCACACCAAAAAAAAGGTAAGCTGGGTGGTTAAATGGCAGTGCATTTCGTGAATTGAATCGGAGCCTGTTGTTGATCTTTTTCAAGGTGCACATGATATCCATGAGGTGTAAACCTCCGCCGTTCTCAGGTAGCTCCTTGTATCCTTCATCTGCAATGTATGGAATTTCCGGGGTGAGTGGGAATGACGGGCGGCATTCCGTAGGTGTTCACGTACATAGTTTCGGAATTGTGGGTCGCCCACAAGGATTCTTGGTAAATCTTCTTCAAGTGGTTTAATTGACAGGATTTCATCTTCGTCTAGAGACATGTTTCAAAAAGATCAATCAGCGCATATTCGTACACGTTCAAGTTGTACTGACAAAAAATGCGCCTTTTGGAGATACCAATGTGTCGGAGGCCGCAACGGCTCAGGATAGTCGGCGAGGTCCTCATAAATAGCTCCTCGAAGGGATGTCAGGTAGGAAGCCATCTTCGTGAGTGGAAAATGTGAAAACTCTCATGTGGCCGTTGTGGATTGTGGGGTCAGTCGAGGTCAGTCGACAAGATCAACGATGCGGCCCGGGAAACACGTCAGGTCACCACGTGATCGTGTTGTACGTCGACCGTGACGCCAATGCATTGCTTAGTGTAGGGTTGCGGGAAAAACTAGGGAGTTTTATACCAAGTGTAAGTTACTAGGTAAATTACATAGTAAATTACCTATTTTATACATCAGCTCAGGTCATGCCGGTATAAAATGTATAAAATCTTTTCTCACAAGCATGGGCTGCAAGGCTCAAAGTCTGCCATTTGGTCATATTCGGAGGGTGATTTCACCAAATTTCCTGCCAAAAATTGGATGAATTCGTCTCAAACGCAACGTAAATGTTGCCTGAGGGTTAGTGAACCCAAATTTTCATGTACTTCTAGGCAGAATCGAGTCAATCAATCCCATAGCTATTAAATTCTGCGCCTACTATTATCTGATGGCTTTTTAAAAGCATTCTGCCGTGTTTCTTTTCAACAATGGTCGCTGGGTCGGTGCGTGTCGGTCGCTGTTTGGTCCTTGTGAATGAACATCTAACTCAGTTACATCAGAAATATCTGGGGTAATGGTAAATTGTTGGGACCCGGATTGGGCGAGTAATCGACTGAAAGGGAAATGCTGGGATGCCGAGATAGGGGGGAGACAGGTATACTTATATCTCGTGTCTGTAGATAAAAATTTAATGGCAATGGTTAAGGAGCACGAATATACCTTCCTAACTCGTCTGCAGGCAGAAGCCTGGAGACAGCGCCGGTTGATTTGTGCTCGGAATTCGCGGGTTTAGGGGGCTTCACGATGATCGAAAAGATCAGTCACGTGTTGGGGAAAATTTGGTAATTTACTATGTAAAAAACGTTATTTACCACCGAGAAATTTGGAATTTGTAACTTACATATTTACATGCACCGAGGGGAGTTTTTCCCGCAACACTAGCTTAGTGCTACCTAAGTATACATACTTAGTACGTATCTCTCCACCATTGCCGTTGGAACTGAGTCCAATGACTCACAGTCATAACACCTCAATCAACAATCAATACGCTCGCAAAGAACAACAGTGATGCAAGGCTCAACGAAGAACTTCTTCGGTTCAGATCCGGTCTCCCTTCAAGTTCTGCCTCCTTTTCATACGATCGACTGCTCTCACCCACCTTGCTGTCCAAGAATTGTCAGCTGCAGACGAAGACCCCTTCTGCTTATTCCCTTCCATTCTCGCAGGCGATTCTCCTAATCTCCGCACCCTCTTCCTTGATGGGCACATCACCCCGCGCATCGTCGATCATCTGGCCTCCTTTTCACACTTCGGTCCGTGGAGATCTCGAAAGAGAGGCAAATTACAGCTGTAGCCCGACTTGTGGAAGTCCTGTCTGGCTCTGCCGTCCCTTGACCTATCTCACCATCGTCTTGGATGAAGGTACCAACGCCGATTCAAGTCCGTTTTCTGCAAACACGATATTTCCCTTCCCATCTCTCAAATATCTTTCCTTGTCTGGCCCATGAGGCTCCTTTCTTCTCATCGCGGCTGCTATCCACACCCCTCAGCTCGAAGATCTAAGGGTAAAATGGTCACGCCATCCAGTTGACGTATCCAGTGGCTTACAACAGCCACAAAGTCCCTCCGAACTCTGCACCTCAATGTCGAAGGCTACGCGTTTTGGTCTCAACGAGACTTGAACACGCTGCCCGCCCGAATCATCGACATGCCCCATTCCTCCTCCATCCAGCACGTTGACATCAGTGGGTGCTTTTTGCAAGTCGCCGACGCCGAAATCCGACAGTTTTGCGAATCGGGGCAGTGGGCGTCGCTGGTGACGCTCCGCCTACCCAAGTCTCTCCCGTGCAAGGCGCCAACGTTGAAGAGCTTAGAGGTGCTCGCGACGCACTGCCCGTTTCTGATTATGTTGGTGCTAAACCTCGAGCTGACCGCGGACAACATCCGGGCGGCGCGCAAGGTGATAGAGCAGACCCCGCCCCTGCAGCATAAGCTCCGCAAGCAAGTGCTTCAGCGGCTCGAGGAGGACGATCTCCACGATGTGTTCAGGCTTGGAGTGATGGTCGCGGAATACCTTGACCATTTTTTCCCGTTCTTGAAGGGGCTGAAGCCGTTGGATTATGGGGCGGAGTGGTGGAATGGAATAGGGGATATCCTCAAGACGTATAGGCAAAGAAGGTCCCAACAGCAGTGAACAAACTCATTGTTGAGGATAATGTACGGCTCCTTCGCCTGAGCACGTTGAACTTGGGCAAGGGGCTTTTCGTATTCTTGACATGGATACATTCACTTTTGGGAGCATGTAAGGATGGAACGAGATTAAAGCTGGAAGAGGTCGTAGGAATTTTGTCCGACTACTGCCTTGAAACTGGACCTTGGATGCCCCAATCCTCAGGGTCGTCCTGATGCCCTGATGCCAAGTCGAGGTGCGCTGGTTTGTTTCGAACAAATCCTTCTTTGACCGCGACCATGTCTGCAGAAACCGACGCGCGTGCCGTCGTTCTCCAAAACGTCGACCTCTTGTCGATCGTGTTCAACTATCTCTCCGCCGACCGCATCAAATCCGATCAAGACGCGTTGGAGACGAGGAAAGGTCTCCGGTCTGCAGCCCTTGTCTGCAAGGACTTCGTGGAACCAGCATTGGACTGCCTTTGGCACATACTGCCGTCATTAATGCCTCTCTTGAAATTACTTCCGTCGTTCGGTCTCATAGATGGAGTGTATGTGAGTATTTTGCTCTCTTGTTGTCTTGGAATCAAGTCGAAATAACGATTTGTAGATGCTCGAAGATGTGGAAGAGGGTGATTGGGAACGATATGATATTCACGCACGTCGCGTTCGTATCCTTGACCTCAAACCTGATCAAGTTTCCTCGTCGCCTTTTGTCTACCCCCGAATCATGCGACATCGCAAAGGCCCTCTCCTACCTGCTCTGCGCGAGCTCCGTATTCCCGACAACACGTCCATCGACCTCACACTCGCTTTCATCGTCACCACACCGGACCTGAAAGTTGTTGAGATCAAGAACAGCGCCATGAAAGACGCGAAGTTTTCCTACCCTTTCCTCACATCTTTGAGCAGTGAACATCCGAAGCTAGAGCACTTGACAATTGACGGCGACCGCGTCATCAACCTCAAGCCGATCCTCAAGCTAACCCACCTGCGCAAGCTTGAGCTGCGTCTTCCGAACATGCATCTCTCGACAAGTTTCATGGAGGGGCTAGGAAACATGGAAAATCTTCTGGATCTTACTCTGCACGCTGGTGTACAGACGCAGGTGTCCATCCCGGAGCCGGTCAGACGAGATCCTCTCCCCAGATTGCCTCCGAATACAACTCGGAAATTCAAGCAATTGAAACATCTCCATGTCCTCGGGACGATTTCTTGTATCGCACGCGTCATGGAATACATGAACCCCAGGTCCTTGCTGTCTTTTTCCCTCACAGAATCGCGAGATTCAAGCGGCAACCCCCTTCGGCCATTTTGGACCCAGTGCTTCGGTTGCCTCGCCTCGTCCGAAAAACTTGCATCCATCACAATCAATCACTGCTCGCAAGGAAAAAAAGAAGACTACCTCAGCGCCTCATCCCTCGAGCCCCTCTTTGACCTGAGCGGCATGCAGCATTTGATGATTCATGGCGATTCGTTCACAGCCACAGACAGTGAACTGCTCGCCCTTGCATGCGCCTTCCCTCGTTTGAAGAGCCTAGTGTTGCCCAGTGGGTGGCACACCTCGGCGCCAACTCCCAAATCGCTCTGCCACCTGGCGTTGTCGTGTCCAGAGTTGGAGGAGCTTCGGATCTGTCTCAACGTTGACCAAAACCTCGCTAACACCGTGAAGTCCATGACTGATGACGTTGCAGAAATGCCTCTGAAGCACAAGCACTCGCTACGCAGGCTGTATATCAATTCGTCGTTGGGCAATCTTTCGAACTCGCAGAGCATCGTGTTTGCGCGCGTCTTGTGGATACGGCATTCCCTTTCCTCGAGGTTCTTCGTGAGTATAATGACAAAGTGGGCGCCTGGAGTTTCATTTGGGAACTTCTGGTGGCTTTTCAGGACATTAGGTGGAGTTGTCAGTGAAGCTTCTTCTACGAGAAAACCTGTCTCTACACATTAGAGCAACATCTTCACAGAAAGAAGGTCAGGCTCGAAAGTCGACGAAGTCGGCAGTAAATTTTCGGAATGTGTGATCAAAGATGGTCAAGGAATCAATGTTGAAAGACTCCCGCAACTCTCCTTTTGAAAGTAGGGGTGATGGCACCTTCTTTCCAACAGTCCTCTCAAAGCTGTACGTAGCACACCTCTTTAGATATCAATGGAGCCTGGATGGTCCCCGTCGGCTTGCTCAATTGTCATACTTGCTGTCCTCAAGAACGACCAATTCACATTCGGTTCGCTCTCCGTGTGTTAGTTTCTCATTGCGTTGGGTTTCAACCTCGTCAGTCCATGCATTCTAAGCCTGCTCTCAAAACAACTCCCAGGTGGGCAGAATAATTGGGTTAGCCATGCAGCAACTGTCACGCATGGGTTACCGGCCCGTTCGTCGAGGTGCGGGTATAAAAATGGACATGATGAACGATGTTGGCGTGCATGGGAATCGTTGCTTGTCCTCCCAGGAATTTGGTACACAAACAAGCTGTTTTCATTGCCACGTTCACAATACAAGACCTGTAGAAGTCAATGCTCGGACTCGGCAGAGAACGATGAGGAGAGAGAAAAAGTAACACTATTGTGTATCCACTCGATGCCGGAGACGACTAACATCATCAAGAGCAGCTCCTTCTGACCATCTGAATCGTCGCCTGAATGTCGCGGACGAGACTCCAATCGGTGCTAGTTTGATTCATGTATCTTTGGAGAACCTCGAGGTTCGGGAAGAGGCGGTCAAGAATATGCGCAAATTTGACGCTTTGAGTGTTGGAAAGTGGGGCCGACGAGCCAATGAATAACTTTCGTAGCGGGTGGTCATGGTCGCGGGTGAGCCGGTCGGCTTCCTTGGCCATGCCCTCCAGCATCTTGTCGATGTCTTGATCATAGCTGGGAAACAGGCTGACCTCTTCAAGGCGAGGGCATTCCAGCGCAAAGTAACACAACGATTGAAGCGGAGGAGCTGATCTATACGACCCACTAGGTAGCACCAAGTTCTTCAGGTGTGGGAATGCGCAGGCGATGTTGCTTATGTCGAGCTCCGTCATGACATTGAACAAGAGACCGTTGACATCCAAAGATGTCAACATCTTCAGTTCAAGGAGAGGCTCCAACACAGTATGAGCTCGGGACTCGTCTCTTCGCTGTTGGGCAGCACAGTTGATTTTAATGGTCGTGATCAAGGAAGAAAATCTCGTCAGGTGGCGAAAACACTTGATCCAAAACTGTTGGGACGAGACGCCAGACGAGTCTTGTATTTCCGTAAGAACGAACGACTTCAACGAAGCGAGGCGCATATATTTCACGATGTGCGTAATGCAGGGAAGACTTCCGAGGACATGGAGGCGCTCCAATTGCCTAAACTTGCTGTAGGCGGGGTCGATGTCCAGATCTTCTACTCGGGTGTGGCATTCTCGTCGGATGGGTTGCGGGACGACGTTTGGGACGGCGACGCCGGCATGGATCGCGAGGTCACGGAGAGCTGTCATGCTTCCAAGCTCCTCCATAAATGTCGGAGAAAGGTGGACGTTGGCGAGCCGCAGCTCGAGCTTTCGTAAGTGCGCAAGCGTCAGTACGGGCTTGAGGTTGACGATGCGATCGCCTTCGAGGATCAAGCTCCGCAGGTTCGTGTGCTTCCTTCCGATAGACGCAAGGAACGGATAGAAGAATTGCGTGTCCCTGATGGCGCTATTGTGCAACTCGACCACTCGAAGTTCAGGGGTGGAGAGGATCATTGCAAGTGTCAGATCGATGGAGGCGTTGTCTGGAATTCGGAGCTCGCGGAGGCAAGGGAGAAGGGGCCCTTGACGCTCTTGCACGATGATTGGATATGCGAAACGCGAGATTGGGATCTGGGAGGGCCTGAGGTCGAGCACGCGAACACGACGCGCATGAACATTGTATCTGCTCCAATCGTCTTCGCGGATATCTTCGATCACCTGAGGCCAATTTGTCAGTCAACATCGATGAAAAAGATAGTGGCTTACATAGGTCCCATCCTGTTGGCCAAACGACGGCAACAGCTTGAGAAGAGGCGTCAATGAGGGCAGAACGCGCCACAAGGCGTCTAACGCAGGCTCTGTAAACGTTTGGCAGACGAGCACTGCGGCGAGCAAATCCTTCCTCGCTTGAAGGACATCTTGGTCAGAAGCACTTCGATCTACTGGCATATGGTTGAAGACGATGGTCAAAAGGTCCACGTTTTGAAGGACAGCTACAACAGGGTCCATCTTCTCATCTGTATCTCTGGAATGAGATTTCCTAGACAGTTCACAGGAATGTAGTACGGCCGTACCTGTATTCGAAGTGCTGCTTGCTGCAGAGGGCAGTTCCGAGGTCGATGGGGTCACGAATACCCCATTCCAGAGAGAGTTGTCGGTGTCAGAGGGTTGTTGCGCCATCTAAGGAGGACGAAAGGCAAGAACGTCAAAATTACCTCACGCGTCCTCGAGGAGATTTATCTGGTCGCCTGGCCGTAATCGATGGGACTTCATTGGTGGAGAACCATGACCTTAGGCGCCCTAGGCGAATTCGCACGAAAAGTTTCTCCAGGAGAGGGTATTGCGTGCGTAGCCATGGGAGAATTCCTGACGAATTGAGCAACACGTAACCTTCTCATCCTACTGCCATTTGTCAACAAAGAGACGAACATCTCGAGAATATAGGTGCGTAGATTTGCTCTCTATTGAGGTTGTAGTCAATAGATACATATCTAATGTTCATCTTCCTTCTTGTCTGTGTACTCCTTCGCCCACTGATTAAACGTCGAGTCAGATATTGGAAACAAAGTAGAAGTCAAGGACGTACCAACATAGAAGGTATTGGTCGATCTGGTTGCACAACACGCTTCTACAATGCGACACGACAAAGTTGGTATAATTCATGGAGGAAGTTTCAACCACGCACCTCAATGGAAGCACTGAATTGCCAGACACCATATGTGATGGCCATGATTCCAACAGCAGCCACCGCCGTATTCGAGGCCCAATTAGAAGGGCGCGTCCACCAACCACCTGCCGAATGAGAAAGGCATGTCAACCTTGGTTCCTTCACAGATTCCGCGACGAAACTTGCCTGCTGGTGACCAAACGTATTTCGGGTATGGATAGCGACCTCCTCCGCCCTGTTATAATCATTGAATCAGCGTCAAGGCACTGAAAGTCAGACTGAAGACAGACCATTGCTAATGAAGAGAATATGGTTAGAAGGAAAGACAGAAGGGACGAATTGAACACGGAGCACAAGAAGGGCTAGGGTTAGCATTCAGATAAGGGAAGATTAAATAATGATTATTAAGTAAATAATATGTTGATATTTGGCGCACATGTGTTTTCTTGAAGGCCGTCTGCATTGCCGGTCACTAATACCCTCCTCCACATCGTCGACTGCTACGTCAAGCCCATATTCTATGTAAGTCAAGACTCGTACATTAAGATATCAAGGCTATCTAACTTCTTTGTTTGGGTACAGTTCTGGAACGGATAGAACGTGCACAAATCGCAGCCTACTTCCTGGATCTCAATGAAAGTATAGAACAAAATAAACGACAAAAGGGCAGTAATCTGGCGCCATGTTCGACTACTTCAAGAGGCATAAAGTCACCCTATTGAAAGGTGCAGGTTTCATTGGGGGAATGTATGCTGCGCGAAAGTATCTCCGCGAGCGTTTGGAGGAAATGAAGGAGTCAATGGAGATGGAACGAGCGGCTAAGGACAGGTGCGGTTCTCTTTAAACGCGTCCTGATTTTTACTGAACCACTATTCACAGCCTAAGAAGGCGCTTCCAACAATCCCAAGAGGACACTTCGTTCACAATTCTCGCTCTGCTAGCCACTCTATCCGAGCAAATTCTACAGACCATGGACGTCGAAGCTCTGACGAAGGAGCTTCAAGTACGTTCGAGGGCACGCAATGCCGTGCTGGCATCTGTGCCGATACTACCTCTCAATCCCCCGATCCAAGTTACGCCGTCTTCATGCCCACCTTCTAGCTCTCCGGAGGAAGATACACGGTCAGAAGTCGATTCGGTGTTACTGTCCCATATTTCAGATGATGCGAATGGAGCATCGCCATCTCGGCTTTCTGAATCCTTCACTTCCGCCTCGGGTTCGGTCACGCAGAGCTGGGTGCAGTCCTCCGGGTCGGGCTCTCGAGATTTGCATTCGCCTGCCCCATCCATGTCGGTCGCCTCTTCTGCGCCAGAATCCCTCGACGAGAACGGGAATTCAAATCCAGAAAGAACTGGCGCGAGGCCAGAACCATTGGTACGATTCTTAGCTCCCCTGGGAGGAAAAGAAGTTAAATGTATTTCAACAGTCGGAGAGCGTTATGAGCAATCTAACTTCCGCTACAAACTCCTCCGCTGTTTCCGACTCCAGTGACACAAGAACAAAAGCCGAGCTTTGGAATGAAGTCAAAATCCTAAGTAAGCTTTTGTTTTTTTCTGGCCAAGATGCAGGAGCATTGATATCCGATCTAGCATTCACCAGAACACTGACAACCCTCTATTCAACGACCCTCCTTTCCTTACTAACGACACTACAACTTACCCTGCTCGCAAGAACCAAATACATCGCCTCCGTCATCTATCAAGCCCAAGAAGAGCGTATCCGCGAGCAACTGCAAGAAGAATTCTCTGTGACAAACCTCCTGATAAACGGTATGGGTCTAGGCGAAACGGGCGGTGCTGGAGCAGCTCTAGAGAGACTTTTAAGTGGTGGATCGGTAGATGAGGAGGGCACCGAGGAAGAGGATGAGCTGGAGGCCTTTTTGAAGGCGGAGGTCGTCAGCGAGGAGGTTGAGAGCAAGTTCTTGACGATGAGTTGGTGGTTATTGCATGTAGGCTGGAAGGACGTAATGGAAAGGGTACGGAGAGGGGTCGAGGAGGTCTTCGAAGGGTACGTGTTGAAAGAATGCTTGCAGTACAGCTAATTAACCATTCATCCTGTAGGGTTTCCTTGAAGACGAAACTTGCTGCTGTAGATTTACATAGGTTGATTAGCGACGTACGAAGACGGGTTGAGCATGAGATCACATTTGAAGGCACAGAGAAGAGGACAGAGTGCGTCCATTTCCTCTGGACTTGTTTGCATGGTCCCTCACCCGTTTGCCCAGTTTCTTGTCATCTCTGCTACCATCAACACCAGAAACGATCCATCTCGTTCTTACACAAGGCGGCTTCACACCATCACCCTTAGCAAACACACTCTACCCGCACAACATGATCGACTCTTCTCTATCCCTGGACTCCTCCCAAATCTCATACGATTTTGTCAACTCGCCTGCCCTCGCCATCTCCGCCCACGTACCCCAACCCCAGCCACAAGTCCAGTCCTACGTCACAGCCCCTCCACCGCCGCACGCCCACCTCCTCGACGAGCCTTTCGCGTCGCTCATGTCTGAGACGCGCTCCGTCCTCGCCTCGCGCGACTTTGCACGTGTATTGGAAGTGTGTCTCGATCGTGCAACGGCGGTCCTGTTCGACGGACTGGAGAAGAACGTCTTTACCCCGAGTGGGTCGATCGCTGGTATAGGCAACGGCAGCGGCGAGGAGGTGCGGATTCGGCTTGCCGGCCTCCTTCCTGGTCTCGCGAGGTGGAGCCAGCTGGCGCTGGATGGACTGCCGAATGAGCTTGTTGATGTGAGTTTTTTGCCCGTTTCCTCCCGTCTTCGTCTTTAAGTTATTATCTGGGTACCACATGCTGACGGTGCTCCTGCAGAAAATATTGGATCTACGGGAGGTGACCTGCCTTTCTGCCATTGTTTTTGCTAGGTTTGAGGATCGATTCCAATCGTAATGTGAGGCGATACAACATCCAATGGAATACTTAATTTGGCCGCAACGTCTCCGCTGTTCGCTAGCCTTGTGGATTGCGTCTCTCGTACTTAAGCAAGGCGTCTTTCGCCGTTCTCCGGCAAAACGGATCGAGAGCCGAGGAATGTCGCCTGATCATCGGCTTTGCGGTGCGCAATCGAAAGCTCTCCTTACGTGTAAGATGTCCTTGGGCGCCTAAGGCTGGGGCTTCTATTCAATGGTGACCCATCGATAACGACCAGATGCAAAGATAAATCATGCGTAGGGAAGAAACATCGAGGCGAGGTTTCTGCTCTTTCTTCCTCACGACCTCTATTCCGTCGTTCCTCGACTCTTTCCATCTCAACTGGTAGCCAGCATGTCCGACGACGCACCAGGACCAGCTCCTGCTTTTACTCTAGCAGAGCCCGAAAGCTCATCGGATTTAAGTGCGTCGGAGTCCTGCTCTCGTACACAGCTCAATTATGTCCTTTCTTGATTATGAGACAGATGATAGGACTCCTGCCCGCCAACAAGTACTTCAAGACGACAATCTCCTAGGGCTCGTGTTCGAGCATATGGCTATTGATCACAGGCTGCCAGATAATGACGTATTAGATGCCAGCAAAGGTCTCATCTCTGCAGCTCAAGTGTGCAAGGCATTCATGGAACCAGCCCTGGACTGGTTGTGGGAGGTTCTGCCGTCTTTGATACCATTGTTGAAATTCCTGCCGTCTTTCGGCGAATCGGATGGGTACTACGTCAGTATGCACTCTCTTACGCTATTACCAGAACTCTTAACCCGGAAAACAGGTCCTGGAAGGCATACGCAAGAACGATTGGGAAAGATTCGACTATCATGCGCGCCGTGTCCGCATTCTCGATCTCAAGCCTACGAGAATCCCGGTGATGCGTTACCTCTATCCATATCTAGCACAGTGCCGAAGTGGACCTCTCCTCCCGGCTCTCCGGGAGCTGCGTATTCGCAATTCCTCCTCTTGCGACATCTCTCTCGCCTGCATCATACCCACTCCTCATCTTCAAGTTATCGAACTGCAGAACAGCGCCATCGCCGATGCCCATTTCTTCTCCCTCTTCTTCACGTCCGTAGGGACGGAGCACCCCAACCTCAGGAGTCTGTCGTTGGAGGGAGAACGTGTTGTTGATCTCAGGCCATTGCTCCAACTCAGGGACCTACGAAAGCTAGAGTTACGAATGCCCAACATACACCTTTCGACAACCTTCATGGAGGAGCTGGGGTGCCTAGAAAGCCTCGTTGAGCTTACACTCCATGCTGGCGTTATCACTCCAAACATCATTCCGGAACCCATCAGACGAGAAGCCCGCCCTCGGGTGGCATTCACCTCCAAATACGCAGCATCTTCTCCGAGCAAGATTCGTCATTTGAAACGCCTCCATGTTCTCGGAACCCTGCCCACTATTGTGCGAATCTTGGAATACATGGATCTCAGGTCGTTGACCTCCTTTGTTCTTACCGAATCACCAGACCCGTCCGGCACCCGACTAGATTCCTTTTGGCTGATGTCGTTTGAACACCTTGCCGCCTCCAGGTCCCTGACATCTATTGAAATTAACCAGACGTCGGATCGTCCCAATGGAGAGGAAGGTTACTCTCTTTCCGCCGCAGCACTTGAACCCATATTGGGGCTCAAGGCGTTGAGGTCCATGATCATTGACAACGCTTCCTTCAAAGCAACTGATAAAGAAATGAAGCAGTTCTGTTTAGCGTTTCCGCATCTAAAATCCCTTATACTACCCACTAATCCCTACATCTCCTCTCCAACCTTCCTCCTTGTACTCAGCCAACTAGCCATGCAATGGGTTGAGCTGGAAAAGCTCTGCATCAGCCTTAGCGTTAATGTCGACCTCCAGGACACACTAGACGCCTTGAAGAGAGAAGCCGACAAGATGCCTCGGACCCATAACCACCCACTTCGTAAATTGAGGATCGGGGTTTCCAGCGCCCAATTTTCCACGGAGCAGAGTGTTCAATTCGCGCGTTTCCTCGATCGTGCCTTTCCCAACCTTGAAGTTCTGACTGGATGTGGCTCTACGCAGGTCGTAGATCATTGGGGAAGGGTCACTAACGAGCCTTGTGACCCTTTGACCCTGGCCCGAACAATCCAAGCTGGGTTTCGGGAAGCAAGGAGCTGGTGGATTTCAAATTAACAGGCCAATATGTACTTGTCAGTGTTTTTTCAAGTTCCTCTGTAAGTACTATTCCCATCCTTCCGTCCTTCTTTCCTATCTGAAACTCCCGTCAAACATTCGAAGAAAACCTCCTTCCACCATTCTGTTGTAACCTTCGTCTCTTGTGTTTCAATATATGTAACTATCGTGTCAAGCTGGGGGAATGTACGACCGATGAATTGTGTCACAACAGCCCTCACGTCAAACGACTCTGAATGTGGCACTGTCCGACTGGAGATTTCCAGGCGTTTGAGAGGGTGACCCGACGTTGTCGAGCTCTCCTCCTTCATTGCGTCCACGGCAGCTTTAATATCCTCGATGGGACGTAAATTGAGAACAACGCAAATGGAAAGCGACTGCAAACTCGGGCAGCCCTTGGCGATGTCGCGCAACACCAACAACGAAACCCAATCGCATGCTCCAGCTCCACTATTACGCACGAAGCAGGGCAGTTGAAGAGTCCACAGATGAACCCACGAACCACCGTCGCACCACCGTCGAACGTCGCTGTCGGAGGTCCTGAGGTTGATCTGCGAGATCGTGAACGATCGCAAGTGGCATCCTTCGAATCAGGAAAGATCGGATATCTGCATGTCGAACGGTGACGCCTCGCCCGTGGGCTGCGGAAATGCGATTGAGAGGTCGACATGCTCAATCGTCTGCGGGACAGCCGTATTCCAGAGGGGCGCCTTGTCCTTCCAGGCCGACCATCTCCCCTCCGTGGTCAAATCGGGGTATGGCTTGTATGTGACCTCGAATGTCCTCAAGGCGGGAAGAAGCGGGAAGGCGTTGAGTATGGCCTAGATGTCCAGGTAACTCATCGCGAACCGCAGCGTCTGGAGCACTTCGAATCCTCCGGAGCACCTAGCAAGCTGCGGGCTGAGGACGTTTCCGTGCAGTGCGACGAGATCGAATGTCGTCAGAGTCGGTATACGTGACATGCCCATCAGGAATGCGAGCGAGTGCGGGTTGTCCGTGGCGACTTTGATCTTAGACAGCCGGGGGAACTCTCGCCGGATCCTTACGGTGTCTTCGCTGAAATTCCCGTTCGCTCCGAACGACTCGAGGGAGGGCGTGCCGCTGGCTATTGCTGCGAGGAGTGATACGGTGAAGAGCTTCGCCTCGGTGCTGATAACACCCCAGAGATTGAGCGAGGTGAGAGTCGGAGGTGTGTAGTGGAAGACGCAGGATATGCTCTCAAAGAGGCCATCTCTGATGGGCCGAACGAAGATGCTCCGTAAGCATGGAAGGAGCGGTGCTGGGTGCAGTCGAGAAAGCTGTAGATGAACCCCAGGTGCGATGGGTTGTCTTTCTTTCAGGCTTAAATTGCGTACACGCCTGGCATAGCTGTCGAAGCGGTTCCAATCACCCTGGTTATCGCACCGCGTAAGATCTGCTCGATTATTAGACCGGAAAACGTATCAGAAAGGCGAGACCCACGTAATATCTGCTATCGGAGATCTTGAAAGCAGGAAGCATCATGAGAAGTGGAATCAAGGAGCTCATCCTTTTCCAGCGCTGGATCGAGAAAGTCTTTGCATGTCAAGGCCGCCTATAGGAGACATTGCTGCCTCGTGGGCTCCTTCGACCGATTTACATATCCTGGAGCATCCGTTGTTTCTTCTCCTAAGCAGGGAATACTGAACGAATATGGTGTCCAGTCGAGAGACCACAGAAATCAAAAACCAATCCTTTCATACTAGACGGACTTTCGTACCTGTCTTTGTCCACGCCCATGTCATAATGCTGGTGTCATTTGGGCCTTCGGTCCGAGGGTAAGTCAAAGTATTGTTTGGCGATCGTAGTCACTGGAGGACCGAGGGACAGTTTGGTGTCCTCAACTGGTGTCTTTTTGCGGGGACAAATTCAAGTCAGATCCGGAAAATATACCCGCAAAAAGGCCCTCGCACCTTAAGAAATCGAGAGACGACGGCAATTTGGAAGGGATTTCGACATTACATCAGAGGTCCACGACGCATCCAATTTCAGGACATTGAGAGTCGGCACTCGTTCCAGGTTTTCATCTGCTTTTATCTGGGGAATAGCCAAAGCGATGGTTGAACGTTTGAACGTTGAGTGTTTTGGAACACATGATTGACGGCGTCAACTCAGTGACATTCTCTGGTCTGTGACCTCGGGTGAGTGATTAGACACGTGCATCGTTACACACGACGCGTCCGTCACGACGTCAATCTGTTTAGTCATCCCTAGTTTCAAGCTGCTCTCACAGTAGACACCTCGCTCTTCATACGATGCGTTCGAAGCCTCTCAACGGTCCCAAAGTCATCAAAGACAACGCTGACGTCCCCAATAATATAAAATCCTCCCGCAAGAGAGCGGCAAAGAATGGACGCACTGTATCCAAACGTGGTGACACTACGGCTCTTGATACGGATGCCGACAGCGCAGATGATGTAGCAGAAAGTAAATCCAGCAACGGCGGAAAAGGCGCGAAGACTACGCGTTCTACAAGGTCCAAGAAGAGGCTAGAAGACGAAGAGGAGTATCAGGACAACGAGGAAGACTCGGAACCCCAGCGAAGTGGCAAGAAAGTTTATGACAGCGATGCCCTCGACGAGGATTCGGACTTCGAGGGCGATTCAAATGGCAAGAAGAGAAAGCGGAAGTCGACAGCACGGTCCTCACCAAAGAAAACACGGTCTCCGAAGAAGAGAAAAGTCGAAGAGGAAGAGGAAGAGGACTACGACGAAGACGACCTGCCAGAAGGCACTGAAGTCGTTGGCAAGGTTGTTCAAGCTCCAAAGACGGGACGTGTTCCTCCAGGCCAGATATCTCAAAACACACTCGACTTTCTGGGTAATTTGAAGAAGCCCGAGTGCAATGATCGTCAATGGTACGCCATGCAGTTCCCAAATATTAGCACGATACGTTGACGCTTTATTGGCCATCCCAAGGTTCAAACTGCACGGTATGCACGACCTTTCTTCACTGTCTACGGACCAACTCTGAGCTTTGCTCAGAACCGGTGTACCGACAGGCTGAGCAAGAATGGAAGGATTTCGTAGAGGCATTCACCGAATCCCTCATAGAAGTCGATCCGCACATTCCGCATCTCCCCCCAAAAGATTTCATCCACCGCATTTATCGTGATGTGAGGCTCTCTCGCTTTGTCTCTTAGGTTCAACTCAATCGGTCAACAGATTCGGTTCAGCAATGACAAGACACCGTACAAGACGAATTTCTGGTCAACCTTTACCAGAAGTGGAAGGAAAGGAAACTTTGCTGGGTGTAAGTTTTCGTTCTTGTATCAGACCTTCTCTAATGCTTATCTTTGCAGACCACATGTAAGTTGCTGGCAACGTGGCTATCTCTAATCCTCAGCCATTCATACATCGACATTGTACCTCTTAGATCAGGTATGTCGCGTCTTACCTCTTTCGTCGAGCAACCGAAGTAACTTTACCTCTCGAACTAGTTCAACCAGGAAATGAAAGTCTCATCGCTGCAGGCATCTGGTGCCCAGCTCGTAACGAATTGAACACGATTAGGTTCGGCTTTGGCTCCTATCCTCATTCTCTTATTTCCTTCCGCTCGCTAACGTCCTTCCAGGGCGAACATCCAACGAAATCCTCGACGGCTGCGCAGGATCATATCTTCCCCCGAGTTTGTCGAACATTTCGGTAAAGCTAAGCCCCATCCGAAAGGGAAGCAGCAGAACATCTTCGGGCAAGACGGCGAACTGAAGACGGCTCCGAAGGGCGTTGACAAAGATCACAAGTCAGTCGTTCCTACCATTGACGTACAATCTAACTATTGGTCGAACCTCAGGGATATCGACCTCCTGAAATGCCGTTCCTTCTGCGTCGTCCAACGGTCTGCACCTCGCTCGTCCTTCCACCTTTCGGACTCCTGACACAGGCCTTTCCAGCTTTAAGGACAGTGAGGCATTATCGCCTGATTTCAAGGACCAACTGGCGCGGGTTGCCAAAGTGATGCAGCCCTTCGTACATTGGTAAGCTGTCTGCCGTCATCACGTAGGCACGATCTCACTTCCCGAAACTCAGCCTCAACGACATGATGACGATTATGAGTGCCGACGATGAGGACGACGATGATGAAGAGCAAGGGGAAGGACAAGCTGACGAAGATTGAGCAAAGTCATTGTTTTTCCTGATCTATCGTGTATGCTCAAATGTAAGAACCTCTGAATCTACAACTTCGCTGATATGTCCATTACCATTGCCCACATCCTTTCTGACTTGGCGAAACGCTTCCAGCACACTGATGACTCGTTCGTGTCTTGCCTGTTGTTCGCCTAAACGCCTTCCAAGTTTAGGAAACAAAGTCTGAATCGCGAAATGATTAGATAGTTTGGCTCATCCCGCTCGCTCCTTAGAAAGGCATAAAGTTCGTGGACATTCTAGAGTTCTGAGGTTGAGCTAGACAACCGAAAATGCTAATAACGTTGCACTGACAATTTTTGTGGCAGGAATTGAAGAGGACGAGATGGTTGAGATGAAACGAGAATAGGCGCCCAAGATGCCAATCGTGGGAAATCGGAGAAGCCTAACGGTTTGAGTGCTACACGTAAAGGCCGTGTTTGCCCCTTGAAACAGTCCATCAAAAACAAACCATGGGACTATATTCTAGGTTAAGCCTTGTGTGAAAGAAATTGGGGCACTATGGAGGTCTTCTGATGTCCAAGCATCAAACAAGTTGGATTTGCCGCAAGATCCCCATTTCAGTGCCGCGCCAGCGCCAATCGATAAGGAAGAAGATTTAGATAGATAAATGGGAAGCCCTTGGGAATGAGTCCCTTGTCTCCCGTTGTTCACCTCGATCCGCAAGCGCCTCCCCCGTACTGGAGCATCATGAGCTACAATGGGTTATCAACGACTTTTGCAAACTCTTCATGGTCATTTGGTACGTTAATTGTGTCTTATGGCCAATCAACGACATCTAACGCTCTTCTAGTTGATAATGTTCCGACCACTGAGGAACCGTCTCCTGCCCCTCCTGAAATTGTGGCCACTGATCCTCCAAATCCTGAAAGTGCGCTCAAACAGGCGATCAGCACATGCGATATTATGTCGAACGTATTTCGGCATATGGCCTCCAATCCTGTATCCGATTCAGACGAACAAACGTCTATGTCCAGGAGAAGCCTCATTCTTGCTGCTCAAACCTGCCGCGCCTTTGCAGAGCCTGCCCTCGACTCTCTGTGGGCCGTCATACCGTCCTTGGTGCCGCTTCTGTTGTTGCTCCCCTCGCTCAAAAAGGTCAACGACAAACTTGTGAGTAGTCGTGTAATAACTTTCCCCCGAAAGCTTGCTCACTTCAATTTGGCATTTTCTCGATCAGGTCCTCGGAGATATCGCGCCTCAGGACTGGGAGCGGTTTGACCTTCACGCCCGGCGTGTGAGAGTGATTCTCATGAAAAAACCCCATTCACCGGTTTCGCCTTACGTCTACCTTCGAATTCCTTATCACAAAACCAACGCTCTTCTCCCAGGGCTGAAGGAGGTCCGAATTGCCCACCTGACCAATCACGACAGTATCGACCCGTCAGGTCTTTTCACTGTTCTCACTCCTGACGTTAGCCTCGTGGAGTTGAACGAAAACGCGGTCCGAGACAGTGAATTTTTTGGCACCTTTCTCTCTTTCACCATCGTCAAAGCGCCGAAACTCCAGCACATGATCTTACGTGGAGACTCCTCTGTTGATGATAAGCTCAACTCCATCCTCCAGTTCAAGGATCTCAAAACGGTCGAGTTATCTCTGCCGAACGTTTTTCTACCCGTGGAGTTTATTCAGGAGCTGGGTAACCTTGAGTACCTCTACGATTTGACACTCGACACGGGAAAACGTCCAAAAGTGCCATTATTTGGTCACTCGGCCTATGTCGCAGGACAAGGGAGGAAGACAAGAAAAGGACAGAGATCATCTCCTAGTGTTCCTCGTCCAGTTTACCGGGCCTTTTCGAAGCTGCGCCGGTTACACTTGGTTGGGAATTTGGAATCGTTGGCACGAACGATGATATATATGAAGCTCGATTCGCTTGCCTATTTCAGTCTAGAGGAGAGGCAAGACGGACCGACCCTGTCGGAAGCACCGACATTGTGGGCGCACTGCTTTAGCGTTCTTTCTTCCACTGCCACTCATTCACTCAAAACTATAAAAATCACTCACTCCACCGACAGCTATAGCTCCCATCGACTCTCCGCTACGTTGATCTCACCCCTCCTCCAAATCAAGAGCATCGAAAACCTCGAAATAACCGCCACTACGCTTTCGTTGAATGACCCTGAGCTCCAACAGATGCTGGGCGTTTTCACCAAGCTCAAAGTGCTCATCCTCCCGGCCCTTTGCCATGATCATTCCCCTACACTTCGCCCCCTCTTCCGCCCCCTTGAAATATGCCCAGTCCTTCAGGAAATCAGTCTTTGCGTTGGCAACACGCATAACTACGCCGACGTCGAGATACCCAGAGGCGATGGACATCAAGCCCTTCGCAAACTGCGCATCAGCTCCTCATTTGGATCACTCACCGACACCCAAGTGATACGCCTTGCGCGTCTCTTCGATCGCGCGTTCCCAAATTTGGAGATAATTGAAGGGTACGGACCGCAGGAGTACAACGAGAGCTGGAAAAGGGTGCAAGAATTTCGTCAGGCGGTGCAAGAGATCAGAAGGGAGTTGGAGAGAGATAAGTACCTGATATTGAGAGAATTCGAATATGAGTTTGCGTATAAGACATGTACTATAGCATGACGTCGGTTGGGATTGCATCCTCATGATGCGCCTGAAGTAAATTTCATGTCAACCTCGAGGGGGAACAAAGGGCGACGTCCAGTATGGCGTTTCATGATACTTGAGCTAGAAACTTGGGGGCAACTAGTGGATGTTACTGTATTATTCCTGATGGACCAAAAACAAATTGAACCCAATCTAAGTATCAGAAAAAGTATCTGTGCAAAGACGATGTACATGCACTGGCACACTGCGATCACTGAGAACCGAGCTCCCGCCAAATCGTCCCATCACTCCGGAAAATCCTGGGGGACACCACGGAGAGCATAACGTACGCAGACACCCCATTCAAGAACAGGCGCTTCTCAGTTCCCTATCATGGTGCTTCTCCGCCACCACTTGAGACCTCGGCGGACGCATTACGGGCGAGCGTTGCACTGCAAGCCCGTCTTCGGGCTTTTCGTCGACAGAGCTGCAAAAATAAATCCATTAACGATGGAGACCGGTGACCAGTTGCCCTACTTACTCGCTGACGTCGAACGAACCCCGTAGCAGCCCGGGCGTGCTTCTCCAACTCGAAATTGCATTTAGGAGGATATCAAGAGTTTAGAGTGCACTTGGATCTTGATACATTGTATTCTTCCATTGCTGGCATGACGGCAAGTCGAGACAGTGCTGCGAAAACGAATTCGAAGAGCTCGAGGGCGTACCAATAGTCATAGTCAACTTAGCCTTTGATTTCGGATCGATTCTTTGTGCCGAAAACTCGAACTCGATTTTGGTTTGACTTTGGTCTCAAAGCTGTTGCGTACGACTCCCGAGCGGGTCTACCTTGAACACACGAACACACGCCCAGCTGTGTCCCCAGGATCGCCGAGGTTGTGGAGGCAAAAATGCTGTAACTCGTTCTTCACAAACTGCTGCACATTCTCAAGACGTCGTCGCATGACACCCTGCATCTCCATCCTCCTCTTGGATACATTAATTTGAACGCGGGGTTGCACATCACAACCTCAAGGCCTGTCTACGCGTCGTGAATGAAACGCGTTGAGATGAACTGCTATTGCGGAGACACTTACTTTTCCGACATTCCACCGCGGTGGGCTTGGCACCGACGACGCAGGAGGTGTGCAGCCCTACAGCGGCGTAACCTAAGCTTCTTCTAAATCTGCGCATCTCGATCTTCCGAGGTGGTTTCCGGTGGTGGTGGTATATTCGAGTGAGGTGCGTTCTCTTTGCGGTAATCCGGCATCCTGTTTCCACGTCGTGCTCGAGGCTCGACAAGCCGGCAAGTCGACTTATACCACCGAAGTAGACGAGGGTGTTGGTCTGAATGGAGCATGTAAGATTCCAGGATTTCATACTTCCTTTGAGATGTATGAGATTAGACTACACAGAAAAAGAAATGGACGGAAAAGAGAGAGCAACTCGAACAGGTTCCGATCGGAGGTGCGTTCAACTCTAGACAGCTACGGTAGAGATACAAACAGAGAAGGCAGGAAAGAAGCAAAAAAGCAAAAAAGCAATAGAAAGAGTAGATGGACGCGCCGTGATAACGTAGTATATTACAGAATAGACCTTCAATTTTGCACGAAGCTCAATTCACAGAGAACATAATCCAACTCCAATGCGAACCATCTACTTCGGAGGCGGTGTAGAAGGCCCTGCAATGCAAGAAACAATCAGACATTTCGGCTACTCAACCTCAATGAAGACGGCGTATTACCGAAAAGGCCAGTACGGGGAGGCGGCGAATTGGGCACTGACGGTGGCCCGTTGACCGTTGTGGGTACGAGAAGGGGGTTGGCTGTACGAAGATCCGTCGTCAGTCGTCGTCACGAAGGCAGTGGGGCAGAGGTACGTACGCCTCCACTGGGCCCAAGCGGGTGCCTCTGGCTTCGGTGCTTCCGGGACCGGGGTGGGAGGAGGTGGAGGGGCCGTTATAGCTTTGGGTGTTGTCCTGGCTTTCCTCTCCGGTTTCTTGTGAACAACGCGCCAGCCTGGTTTCGCTTGCGGCGGTGGGGCACCCTCGATCGCGGGCGGAGCCTCCGGGGGTGGCTCAATTGCCTGCTCATACTTTCAGTGCCACAGGATCGAAATACGATATTTTGGTAGACTTACCGGCGGAGGTGGTCTCCAATCTGGCTGGTACTCCCCACCAGCGCTGAACTTTGACTTCACGGCCATGAGCTCTGCGATTTCACTGCGGACAAACGAATGTTAGGTCGCCTGTGCCACCAAGAAATGGACAAATCAAACGCACTACTGGAGCTGCCTCCTCTCATCCCTAAGTTTCCCAATCTCCGCCAGCAGATACCGCACTTCCGTTGCAATTCCTTTCGTGAAATCCATGGACATATTCCGGCTTTTGGGTCGATGAGCACGACGATGTGAGGGCGATTATGCGAGATAACTCACCTTCCTGGCGTCTGCGGAGAATAGCTTCCTAGAGGGGGTGGTGGTGCCATGTTGGCTATAGAGATGTGCGAGCGATGGTGAAGGTTCTGGCAAGGATCGTTGAACGACGCCGTTCGCTCATCATGCCTGCCGGGCACGAGGCTTGCCCCACGCCCCTTCCGTATATGGAAGGCATGGGAATATCTCGCGGATTTTCTTTCTTTTTCTCCCCCACAACGGCGGCATAGCTCGATGCCATGCACTCCCCCTCTTTCTTAGAGAGAAGAAGTTTGGACAAAATACCGTGAGTCGATGAAGGTTTTTTTTTGCGGTTGACACGCTCCGAACTTCTCTTCTGCGTGATTGACCTCGCCGGTCTTGCTACTACTTTTTTTTGCCAGAACAACTATACTGAAGCTATACTTGTAGCGTTTCTGATTTCACGGAAAAAAATTGGACCCGGATCGAAGGCCTCTTAATGCTAAAGTCATGTTCTCAGAGCAAGTGGCCTACACCGTGGAACGCCAGGGAATTCTCTGTTCAGTTCATATCACACCAGAGTGGATCTTTTTCTACTTCTTACGAACTCCTGTCACCCTCGGCCTCGTCTGCGTTTCTTGTGCTCATGAAGTAGGTCCAATTGGCACTGCAGCCGCTTTCCTAGATCCATTACTCCACTCGTCGTGGTTGTACATATTCGATCGAGGACCCGCGAACGCCTTGACTCTGAGACAGGGGATTTTGCCTGTCGGATCTCAACGGCAGACCTCCTTGCGTCGGGTGCTGCCCGAAGATAGCTTGCTTCCCGTCTGACCTTCGTCCCGCAAGTGTTCAACAACGTTCAACTCTTCAGTCGCTTTGGCACGGCTTCAAACCTTTGATCTTCCTCTCCAAAAACGCTCGTTCGCGCCTTTCGATTTGCCGGTACTCTTACTGGACCACATGAGTAACACATTTCCCGCAATCTCATCAAGGAAGGTTGACTGGGAGCTATCCAAAGACGTATTCCCGTCTTTCAGCTTCGAGATCCTAGTACGGCCTTTCTTATCATCTATCTCAGCATCAAAACTTAGGCTACTCGAGACCCTCATGACATTGACTTGTCATCGCACCTCTGTTTTCAACGGTGATTACACTACCCAGTTCCCACCCACTCTTCACTGTCGTCTTCGGCGCACAATCCTATAGGCTACTTGTTCCTAGGGATTCTTGGAGTTGACTTCGATGTCATCCAGACGAGCTAAGGCCATCTATATATTTATTCCAAAACACTATCTGACGGTCTCCAACACCAGCTATAGCCTACCAGCACCATCTACCTGCTATAAATAACCTTTCCATTCATCCTATCAACTCCTCCAGTGCATCGAACAGGAACCCAACTTCTCATGCGCACGCGCTCTGGTCCAGTTCCCCGTCATTCTTTCGCTGATTCCCTGATTCAAATTTCGTGCGAGAAGGAGTTAGGCCGCCGCACGATCGAGTTCAGGTGCTACCCTCCATCTGTCATGTAGAAACGAAGCTGTTATGATCATGCCACTCAAGCGCACTTCTGTCCAAAAGGCGTGGAACTCATGTTATTAACCTTTCAACGGTTCTGAGCACCTACGAGTGTTGTCGTGCGCAGTCCGCGAGATTTTCCCGAGATGCGTGTTGGCGCTCCTTCGGCGTCAGGTGTGCACTATCCTTTGTGCCTTGTCTGTTAATCAGGAATCAACATTGTAGACGTGCTGTGGGTACGAACTGCACTTACAATCGAGACACATACAAGGATCCCTGTCTGTTGGTGCCTTTCATCGTGGCCAGCGCGATAAGGTGCTTTCGGAGAAACTTCGCATCAAGCCCCTGAGGGGAAGGTCGCGTCATGATCATCGTTGCTTGCAATGCTGCTTAGAAGACTCTTCTTGCTCGTAAAGTATCTTACCTGGAACAAACGTTCGCATTGTCTATTAGCTGAGAAGCTGATAGACCGTCAGACTTCACAGTTTGACTTATGCTTGGGTGTATACGAGTCAAACCTTGTGTAGAGGCCCTCAAGTGATCAGGCTTTCATGAAATTGTTGATACAATTACAGAACGCCTTCCTTCAATACAGTCCCTTTTTCCCTGTTAGTCGATAAGGAAACCTTCTAACCCTCCTGGAGGAGCTTGTTCAAATCCACAAGTTGCCCATCACTGTTCAGCGCAGCCTGGATGAACGCAACGTCCCCAAGCGCCTTCAGCGGGTCTCCCAGCCCAAGCCCATCATCTTTGCCCCCAATCGTACCAAAAAAGCTTCCCAGCTCTGCTGCAACTCCCGACGACGGCAGCTCCAGCACCTCCTCGTGCTCCTCATCCGACTTTCCTTCCACCTTTACCAAGCTTCTCACCTTCACAATGACCCGGGGTGTCGGCGCCCACTCCATGTTCACCGCGACCCACCCGTCGGTCCCGGTGATCACGAAGCCGTCCGCTTGCGGGCGGGCTTTCGTCGGCGAGGCCCAGGTGAACTCTGCGGTCCCGTGGAAGTGATCAGCGGCTTTGACGATGGCGTGGATGGTGTCGTGTGGTGCGAGGTAGTCTTTGGCGAGGGAAGCGAACCCGGAGAGGTGGGTCAGTGGGTGTGGGAGCATCACACGAAGCGCGGCGATGGTGTGCTGGAAGGGAGGGGTTACGAAAGGTTAATTTCACTAGATAAAATCGAGATTCGAATGACTTACGACACCACCGTCGAGCTGTGGGGTTCACAACGTGCGGTTAGCACATTCTCCGACATTCGTGCGGACAATAGGGAGATGGACTCACCAGAAACCCTCCTTGATACTATCCAGAACACGGAAATTCAGCAAAACGCCACAAAATGCAGGGTCCTTAGGTTTGTCGCTTACTTACATCGGGGATTGTCCGCCAAGGCGATTTGTACCACTTCGAGTCCTTGTCAATGTGATTGACCACGACGGCCTTGAAGAACTTGACCTCCCCAATTTTTCCGGAGCGCACAATTTCGCCAGCTTTCCTATACCCGGGCTCTGCCTCGAAGTTCTCTGCGACCCGCCAGACGAGGCCCTTGGGCTTGTACTGCTGGTTGTATGTATAGATTAGATCGAGGCCCTGCTTCACATCCGGGGCGACAGGCTTCTCGCTAATAACGTGCTTGCCTGCTGCGAGAGCTTTGAGGACGATGGACGGCTGCAATGTAATAGGAAGGACGACAATGACCGCCGTTATGTCCGGCCGCGCAAGGAGGGCGTCCAGATTGGACGACGCATCTCCTCCGGTGTCGTGATACACAGAAGGAGACTCAGACAACTTCAAGGCTACTGCGGCCGCGGCAGCGAGATCGTGGGCGCTTTTCTCTGAGCGGGAGTAGACCGCGCGTAGCGGGGGAGCCACGTCGCCCAAGACGGCGAGGGCTGGGAGGTGTGCTATCAGACGCGTGTGGGCAAGGTGAATACTCGGCGATTAGCTGTAGATGGCGTCTGCCAGGCTTTCTACGGACCTTCCTTTGCAAAAATGCCAGCGCCTAGCAGCGCGATCCCTGTAGATGCGGCCATCTTGTCTCCTGTCGCGACTAGATAGTGGTCGTTTAGAAAGAAGTCGCAATGTCCAGAGCATTAGAAACTCTCCGAGTCTGATCCCAAGGCAGCGGAACATCACGTGCACGTGCCCCGACATTCCTCCGCTGGTGGGTTGCCAGAATCCCAGGAAATTCTCTTGTTGCTACTTTTTCTGCAGGTACGGAGAATCTCTGGTGTCCTTGTTAAGGAAATCTTGATTCACGATCTCACCCGCGTGTCAAAATAGGTGTTCGAAGTCATGGTAGGGCCTCAGAAACCGGGCGGACATATCTCGGGAAAGGTCGAATTGCAATTCCCCAGGAACTCAGTGATATCGGGGGAATGTCCTTGGTTTAAGAGAGAGCACCGTCGGTCATGTCGCTCTTGCTAACTTTTGCGCCGGTTTCTCCTCTCGAACACGCCCAATGGCCGCCCCTCCAACTCGCAAATTTCCGAAGGATTTCCTATGGGGGTTCGCCACAGGTGCGTTCGCTCTCTTCTCCGGGTGGTGTGCGGTGCGGGGGAGCGCGGGGGCGGCGGTGGGGAGGACCCGTATCGCGTTCTTCTGTGCCCTACCTTTTTGGGAGTGTTCACTGATATCTGTTGTCCAATAGCCTCCTTTCAGATTGAGGGCGCCGCCGACGTGGATGGACGTGGAAAGTCGATATGGGATGACTTTGCAAAGACGCCGGGGAAGACGTTGGACGGGAAGGATGGGGACGTCGCGACGGACTCGTACCGGCTGTGGAAAGAGGATGTGGCCCTGCTGAAGGAATACGGTGTGAAGTCATACCGGTTCTCCCTTTCGTGGTCGCGGATTATCCCGCTCGGCGGACGCGACGACCCCGTCAACCCCCAAGGAATCGAATTCTACAGCAATCTCATCGATGCACTCCTCGCCAACGGTATCACACCCTTCGTGGTACGTCCATCCTTGCTTTCTACCACAACAGAAATAAATTCTCGCCGTTGCTTCCTTTCCTCTTAGACCCTGTATCACTGGGACCTACCCCAAGCCCTCCACGACCGATACGGCGGCTGGTTGAACAAGGACGAGATCGTGAAGGACTACACAAACTATGCACGAGTACGTATATTACCCCAACTCCATCTATTTCCTGCGCGAAGCTGACGCGTCGCTGTCTTTTTCTTGCCTTTAAAAGGTCTGTTTCGAATCCTTCGGCGATCGTGTTCAGTACTGGTGCGCTTCCTTTCCCACTTAGCCGCTCGAAGCCATTTATCCCTCTGATCACATGCACGTTTATATTTCTACGGCGACAGGTTGACAATTAACGAGCCGTGGTGCGTTGCGATTTTAGGGTACGGGCGCGGCGTTTTTGCTCCCGGACGCTCGAGCGACCGAGAGCGCTCGCCGGAGGGAGATTCATCAACTGAACCTTGGATGTGAGTCTATCTCTGTTTTCTTTCTTTCCGTTTTGTCGCGGAGCGAGGTTGATCCGCTTCCCCAATCCACTCTGATATCGCTGCATTTGTCTGCCACGAACGCTTGACTAAAGTTCATCCACTTTTTTTATTAGCGTCGGGCATAATGTCATCCTCTCACATGCTCACGCCGTCAAACTATACCGCGAGCAGTACAAGCCTACACAGAAGGGGCAAATCGGTATTACACTCAACGGCGACTGGGCAATGCCTTACGACGACGACCAAGAGAGTGAGTACCTGTTTCTTTTTTCGAGCGGCTCCAATTGGCGCTCCAGCTCCAACTTCTCGCCACACTTATTAATACTAACCGTTCGTCTTTGTCTTCCTCTTCCCCAGACATTGACGCCGCACAGCACGCGCTCGACTTCGCAATCGGTAATCGGATTCGCTCGCCTTATCTTCCCCGCTGCACCGCTGACGGCCTTTCTCCTCCTTTTTTCCGATGATTCTTCATAGGCTGGTACGGGGTATGTGCATCACCTCGCCCCCACCCCCATCTGATTTCATTGGACTGACTGACGTGACTTAATAATGTCTTGTTCTCCATATTCTAGGATGCCGTTCACTTGGGCTTCTACCCGCCCTACATGCGCGAAGTCCTGGGGAACAGGATGCCTGACTTCAGCCCTGACGAATGGGCGATCGTCAAAGGGTCCTCGGACTTTTATGGCATGAACACTTATACGACGAACCTGTGCAGTGCGTATCGCATTTTTCTTTCTTTCTGTCGTTCGACACTCCCTTTCAATTTCGACGTTGCCTCGTGGCCTGGGGAGCCCGCTTCTCTCCGTCCAGAACGCTACCCCACCATCAAGAATTAATTCTCGTCTTCTCGTCTTCTCCTCTCAGCTCCCTTGCCTATTCTAACTCCATCACACCTCCAGGAGCTGGCGGCGACGATGAATTCCAAGGGAACGTCGACTACACCTTCACGCGTCCCGATGGCACGCAGCTCGGTACACAAGGTGAGTTCTACTTCAGCCCATCTCTTTTCCTTAAAAGGAAGGAGAGTGGCGTCAACGTGGTCCGAGGCTGAACACTTCTCCCAGCACACTGCGCTTGGCTCCAGGATTGTGAGTGTTATCAGATCGTAATGCCCGAGAGACGGCCGCTCATCGTCATTGCGATTGAATAGATCCTGATGGGTTCCGCAGCGTGAGTCATTCTAGATGCTTTGACTGGATGCCTGGATGCTGAACGTTGTCCTTCAAACTTTCAGCTGTTGAACTACTTGTGGAAGGTGTGCTTTTCTCGATTTTTTTTGGTATACTGTTCTTCCTGGTGTGTTGTGCTCATCGGCCCGGAATGCGCAGCGATACAAGCTTCCTATCTTGTAAGTGATGGACCCTTCCTAAAGGACACTAATTAACACCTGTTTGACAGTGTCACGGAGAACGGTTTCGCCGTCAAGGGCGAGAACGACATGCCCATCGAGGAGGCCCTCAAGGATAACGACCGCGTTCACTACTTCCAAGGAACGACCGCTGCCCTCTTGACAGCGATCCACGAAGATGGCGTCGACATCCGATCATATTTCCCTTGGAGTATGTTTCTATCAATGTGATGTTTTCCGTGCGTCCGGCGCTAATCCGGGGAAACAGGTTTCCTCGACAATTTCGAGTGGGCCGACGGCTACCTCACCCGCTTCGGTGTCACGTACGTTGATTACGAGACCCAAAAACGCTACCCCAAGGACTCGGCAAAATTTTTGCTGAAGGTCCGTCATCTTTCTTCTGGTTCGAGGGTTCGATTTCGAAGCTCACCCGGCGGTGTCTTTGATCGACCAGTTCTTCAAGGAGCACGATAGCTCCAGAACCGATACACCGAAGAGCGACTCCGCGCCCGCTGCAGCGAAGATCGTCGACCAGGCGAACTTGAGCGAGGTCAGCAGCACGTCCACCGTTAAGACCGACACGCCCCCCTCCCCTGCGGCGAAGCCCAAGGAGCCTAAGTCTGTCAAGACACGCGGCTTCAAGGCACGCATTTCGCGATACCTCTCATCTATCGTTGCGCTCGTCAAAGCGTAATAGTCGTGTCCAACCTCGCATCGTCCCTATCTTCACTATCTCCTCCAAAAGAACATTTCCCGTCCGCACGCACGCCCTCCGCAGGATAGTTGTCCAAGTAATCTACTCCGTTCGTACTACTTCCCTTCCCTTCCCTTTCTCGCCTGTCCCTTGCAGCTCGCTCCGTCGAACATCCCCGGAATCTTCC